CACATGACCTGAGAGGGCTGAGCTCGGCCTTGAGATGATCACTCTCTGTCCGTGTGTGACCCCCTTGGCCCCTAGTGTCCAGGAGTAGGCCTGACCACCTCAGTGTGTGTGGGGAAGGGTGACCTCTTTTAGCTTTCCTGTCCCTTTTTTGCTCCTCCTTCCACCATACTTCTGTGTTACCTGTTTCTGAATGGGAAGGACAGTTTTTTGAGGAACAGGATGTGACTTCCTTGCAAAGATGTTGCCCTGGAAGTTCGTCCCCATGCATTCACCAGCTTTCTTCCCTTTGCCATGAATGGCATCATGTTCCAAAAATCCTGTGGCCATGGGCTGTTTGTCAAGACCAAACAGGGAAGAGGCTTTTAAAATGTGACTTTCCCCCTCCAGTTGGAGTACAGGGGAGCAGGGGCGGGGACTGGGGCTGGGCTTGCAGGGTCTGTGTGTGGGCAGCGGGGGACCAGGAGCCCAGTGGGAGTTGGGGGATAGTTTATAGTCAGCCGGCAGCTGTGGGCCTTGCTGCCCTGGTGCTATGATGGGGTGAACTGTGTGTGTGGTTTCTTGATTTTGAGGGTTTTTTTTTTTTGAGGTGAAATTCACACAACATAAATTTAACCAATTTAACATGTACAATTCCATTGCATCTAGCACATTCACAATGTTGTACGACCACCATCCCTCTTCAGTTGAAAGCATTTCCATTGCTCCAGAAGACACCCCCCCGTAACTATTAAGCAGTCACCCTTGCCTTTGGTCCCCAGTAACCACAAATCTTTGTGCTTCTATGGATTTACTTACTCTGGAAATTTCGTCAAAACAGAATCATACCATATGTAACCTTTTGTCTGTGGTGTCTTGCACTTGGCATAATGCTTTCAAGGTTCATCCACCTTGTAACACAGGTCAGAGTTCATTCCTTTTATGGGTGGTGGACACTGGGATTGCTTCACCCTTTTGGGTGTTGTGGATAGTGCTGCTGTGAACACAGGTGTGTTGGCATTTGTCTGAACACCTACTTTCAGCTCTTTTGAGTGGACCCCAGGAGAGGACTTGCTGGCCTGTGGCTGTTCTGTGAATAAACTGTTTGGCATCAGCACCTGGAGCCAGATGTCAGCCCTGCAGACTACTGGGTGGGAGGGCTATGGGTGAGTCCCGAATAGTGCCCACCCAAAGCCTGGTGCTCCTCACAGAGGAGTCCAGGATGGAAACTGGGTTCCTGGAGTATCCCTCAAGAGTCGTACACATGAAATGCCACCATGAGGCAATGGCACAGGGGGCCATGCAGGTGCAGGGGTGCTTCAGCTGCTCAGAGGTGCATGCCTTCTTTCTTTCCTTTTTGTCTGACCTGAAGATCAGCTGAGCTGCCAAGGAAGAGGAAGTTAATCCTTAAACATCATTGGAAGGAGGGCTGTGGAGCATGGGAGCTGAAAGCTGGAGAACCCAGGGAGACACGGAGTGTTCACAGTGCTAGGTGCTAAAAGCTGCTGGCCCATGGTGCCCCACAGTCGTCCCCAGAGGACCTTGGGGTCAGCTAGAGGGAAAAGGCCTTCTCTGAGCTGTTCGTCACTGTTACCAGTTTTCAAGCTTCATTTATTTGGCAGCAGAACACCCAGCCGCTTGAAATGAAACCTGGGGCTCACATATATGATGCTTGAATGTTCTCATGTTGAAGACCAGGAAGAGGAATGGCACCAGCTATGACACCACCCTGACCCCCCACCCCCTGCCCCATGCTATACCTGAGGTGGCCCCTGAAGCATGACCTCCAGGGATCGTCACAGTTTGATGTGCTGTAGAACCACTAATGTACTATAATACTTGCGGTAATATTTTTTAATAGAATGTAGTATTGGATGTACATAAAAAGATACAAGTAGTATACATTTGCAGTATAAATCTAATAAAAATGAATGCTCATGAACCTGCCACCTGACTTAAGAAAGAGAACACTGACATACAGTCAAAGCATCCTCTGGGCCCCTTTCCAATGGCATCTTTTCCACAGAGGTGACCTGGGATGATTTAGGGGTGGTAGCCAAGGCCCAGGTGGTTAGCTCAGGTACTACCCTTCATGCCAGTGCTGGTTGAGCTGTTCTAGGGAACACAGACAGAAGCACATTCCAGTGGAGTCCCCTGCTTTTCTGAATCCGCTCCACAGGCTCAGGGATGTTATTCCTGTGGCATAGTAAAGGTGTCTATGTTTGAGGTCCTTCAGGTCCCTCTTTGCAGACAGGGACCGAGGGAGAGGACTCCAGGGGCCATGGGGAGCAGGGACCCAGGGAAAGATCTAAGACTATAGGGAGTGGGGACCCAGGGAGGAGAGCTCCAGGACTATTAGGAGTAGGGACCCAGGGAGGGGAGCTCCAGGATTATTAGGAGTATGGACCCAGGGAGGGGAGCTCCAGGGCCATGGGTGGTGGGAATCCAGGGAAGAGAGCTCCAGGGCTGTGGGGAGTGGGGACCCGGGGAGGAGAGCTCCAGGGCTGTGGGGAGTGGGGACCCGGGGAGGAGAGCTCCAAGGCCTGGGGAGTGGAGAGCTCCAGGACTATTAGGAGTGGGAACCTGGGGAGGAGAACTCCAAGACCATAGGTAGTACCTAGGGAGGTGAGCTCCAGGGCTATGGGGAGTGGGGACCCTGGGAGGAAAGCTCCAGGGCTGTGGGGTATGGGGACCTGGGGAGGAGAGCTCCAGGACTATTAGCAGTGGGGATCTCGGGGGACAGCTCCAGGGCCATGGGTAGTGGGGACCCTGGAGCAAAGCTGCAGGGTCGTGGGGAGTGGGGACCGAGGGAGGGCTGCAGGTCCCTGGGGAAACAGGTATTCCCTCCTCCTGGCCTCCTCACCAAGGCAGAGGTCTGCATTTCTGAGAGAAAGGTTTTCCTGTCTGCCTGTGCCTTGGAGTCTGTTTCATTTCCAGATGGACCGTATGTAACACAGCCACGGAGAGAAAGTCTGGGGTTAGATGTCGCCTTTTAAGGTAGTGCTGTTGGATAGAAAGGACTCTGAGTAGAAACCAGGAGATAGACTTAAAGGCATGTTTGTGTTTAGGCCCATGGCAACTGAGAAGTACAGGGCTGCTGCCTGAGCAGAGGTGCAGAAACATGGGGACATGCTAGGGGAATGGGTGGCTAGGTCAGCAGTTCTCAAACTTTTGGGGTTTCGGACCTTTTATGCTCTTGATTATTGAGGCCCTGAGAAGGCTTTAGTTTATGTGGGTTATGTTCATCGGTATTTCTTTTATTAGAAGTTAAAACTGAAAAATTTAAAACTATTCATGAAGTCACTTTAAAGTAACAAGCCTATTATGTAGTCACGTAAGTAACATATATTCTGAAAAATAACTTTTCTAAAACAAAAAATTGCTAAATAGCCCTGTGTTTTCACTTCTTTGCAGAGCTCTGTACTGTCTGTCATCATGAAAGACAGCTGGGTTCCTAGAGCTTCTGCAGTCTACAGCCATAGCATGTCCTGTAGCCTTTGGGCAGCTGTACTGTACTCTCGTGAAAGAGTGAGAGAAGGGGCAAAGGATGTCTTAGTATTTTTACGAAAACGGTTTTGATGGCCAGGCACAGTGGCTCACGCCTGTAATCCTAGCACTTTGGGAGGCCAAGGTGGGCGGATCACAAGGTCAGGAGTTCGAGCCCAGCCTGAACAGAGTGGTAAAACCCTGTCTCTACTAAAAATACAAAAGTTAGCTGGGCATGGCAGTGTGCGCCTGTAGTCCCAGCTACTCAGGAGGTTGAGGCAGGAGAATTGCTTGAACCCGGCAGGTGGAGGTTTCATTGAGCTGAGGTCATGCCATTGCACTCCATCTTGGGTGACAGAGTCAGACACCATCTCAAAAGAAAAAGGTTTTGACTCAGGGACCCTAAAAAGGGCCTCAGGGACTCCCACCCTTGTGGACCACTGGTCAAGCTTAAGTTGGGCCATTGGCTGGAGGAGCATGCTGGCCCCGATAGGAGGGGCGTTGCAGTCCACTGTTGTAGGCTGCGCTGCTGCCTCGGGGCCTGCTTGGCTGTGGCTGTGTCAGCTTCCCACAGGTGGTGTCACCTGACTTCCAATTTCTGAAGTCTGCCCTTTGCCCACTCCCAGGGAAGTCTCCCGAATTCCTCCCCTTTGCTCCCCGGCACGGTGGTGAGTTCCTGTTCTTTTGCACCACCTTTTGTGCCTTTGTCTCCTTGTTGGTATTCTTAGAGGCTTTGCAATCTTTCATCAGTAGCCTCGAAGTGTCTGGTAAACATCAGGGGCATCCCTGACCTGCCTCCATAGAGAGCAGCAGAACGGGGGGCAGGGAGTGGCCCAGTTGGGAGGTGAGACAATTGCAGTCTGCAGGAGCTCAGGTGGGCATGGCCGTTCTGAGTTCTGGGTCCAGCAGTCCTGGTGTAATTAGCAGGATCCCTTTTCCTTGCCCAAGTACCCCAATTTGGATGATAAATTATGTTGAGTTCCTGACTGATGAGGCTCTGAAGTAGATGGCTTATTGGCCCAGCTTTTTTGGGGGTGAGTAGAAGTGGTAGCCTGTGCCCAGTCTTGATGTCTTGGCACAGGTAAGGAAGAGTCTTTCTGGAGAACAGTCTGCAAGCTTCGCCAGCTTCTTGAACTCCTGCACAGTTGGCCAGGCTGGGTGTGTGCTGTGGAAGAGTGGTCTGTGGCTGGCTCATCTGGAAGTAAAGGCTGTAGGGCTCTTCCTTCCATGTGTGCCTCATGGGCGATGTGCTTGGGGGCCGCACTGGGTCCCTCAGCCCCTACATGCAGCCTCCCGGGGCCGTGGCCCCAGCTGCATGGATGTGGGGCAGAACTGAGTGCTGTGCTGGTGAGGACCAGACCCCCACTCCTGGGAGAACGTCTTACTTGGGAATATACCATTCACCTGTGTCATCCTTTACCTTCTGGAGTGGCCTGCTAACTTGTGGAGGAGTGTCCCATGGGCCAGGGCCAGGGCCAGGGCCAGATGTGGAGCCAGGGTGGCCTTGGCTCCCGTTCAGCTTCCATCGCTTCCTAGCTCTGTGGCCTCGGATAGACCTTGAGTCTCTGTGTGCCTCAGTTTCCTCAGGTATAAAATGGAGTTCATAAGGGCTCATAATGCCCTAAACCCTGGGGTCAGCTCCAATGCCAGCAGGGAGGGGTGCAGACCTACCCTTGGGGTCCCATAGCTGGGGTGTGTGTCCTCCCCACAGGATGCTTTCCTGCCAGCTGGTGAGCTGGTGTTCTTCGGAGGCTGGGCTGCCTCCCTGGACATGGCTCTGGGTCCTGATGATGTTGAAACACTTTCAGAGGCCATAGCTCCATCTTTAACACCTGCACAGTGGCTGGCTGCTCCCGGAAGCCTGGGCTGGGAGATGATGATGATTGCATTGAGGAACGTAGTTTGGGTTTAGAACTGTGTGGTTGTACAGCAACAGAACAGTATTTTCCAGGGCTCAAGGCCCCATGGACAGCTCTTAGGAGTTCTAGCACAGTTTAGTCAACACAGGACAAGCCTGTGGCCTCTTGAGGGGTATGCAGTGGTGACCAGTGCTCGTCGGCCCTTGCAGGCTTGTTCTGAAAGAGAAGTCCCCATTCGGAGCATGGTCAGAGGTGTGTGCTGACCCCACTGTGGTGAGGCAGGTGGTCACAGCTCTGCCAAGAAGCTTCCCTCCCCAGATGCTTGGATTTAGCACCCCTGCTTTTCTCATAGTCCACCTGGGTGGCCACAGGACACACAAAGTCTTGGCAGGGGTGAGGCTTGAGACTGGATTTTAATGTGCCCTCATCCCTCACTGTCTTATTGACTTACATTGGAATGTCCCAGAAAAGAGAGGCAACCTTGAAGTCTTCCATGATTTACAAGCTTAGAAAGAGGGCCAGAGGGCTGCTACCCCGGTATCCTTCCTCTTTCAAATTTAAATGCAGAAAACATTAAACAGCCTGTTTGCTGTGAGTGTGGAAGTGTTTTCTTTTGGGAATAAGAAAAGGGCAAGAATCAACCTGAAAACTACAGAGACTGTATTAGCCATAGTTTGCACACATTCTGCTTACAGGTGTAGGCCCGTCTTCAGTACTGTGTGGAACTTTTCCTCTTGAAGAATTTTCCTGGGGATGAACACTCTGCTTGGAGTCTAGGGTGGAGCCTGCCGTGAGGAAGCCAGTGTGGGATTTGGGTCCTTGGCCTACCCTCAGAAGTAGAAACCCTGTAGCACTTGAACTGTACAACTGTTCTGGGCTCCCACTGGCTGCTTCCACTGTGAAGCACTCCTGTGAGCACTGGTTTGGTTTGTGTACCGGGGTAGGTGCTGGGTATATGTTCCTGACCTTGAGGCATTTTTGATTGTGCAGTTACCCAAGGTATGCTTGTGTCTGACATGATCTTCTTTTTTTTTTTAATAAAAAATGATATGGACGGAATAGATGTATTTTTCCATTGTAGATGATAAAACTGAGAATCACAGAGATAGTGCCTTGCCCTGGGCCACTAGGTGGTAGAGCCAGGACTTGAATTGGCCTTCTTGTTCCCAGGCCAGTTTGCATTAAATACCTGGAGCTGTGAGGTCCGGTTTGTGGAGAGTGAAGTATAGGGGTTCCCTAACTGCACCTACTTCTCCCAGGAATGACCAAGACCCCCCCCATTGAAGCCTCTCTGCTAGGGTTATATCAGAAGTCCTGTATGCTCCGTCAGACAGGCATCTTTCCCTCCCCTGAAAAATAACTGATAAGTGCTGTGTAGTGGCATTTCTATTACAAAAATGGTCAAATCAAGCAAAAGCCTCCCAACCTGCTGCTGATCCCTGCAGTCCATGCAATAGCTGTTTTCTCATTAACTCTCAATCCTTATCCATCCTTACATGTGTTACAAACAGAACCGACCATGAGCCCCTTGGGAGACCTGTGTACTTCATGTTTTTATCTGTGGGGCCTTGAGTGGTGCCAGCTTCAGGGCAGCTGCTGGAGAAATTCTATTGCACACCTTCAGGGGTTGCTGGTCACCAGCAAACAGAGCAACAGAGCCATGAGGGCCTGTGCAGGACATGCTGGCTGCATTCGATGGTGTGAGTGGTACCCTGGAGGGCTTCTTGAATCCTCATCCTCACTGGTTATTAAGTGGTAGCATGTTAGGAAGTGGATGTATCATCAGTCTCAAAACTGTTTCTCTGTTGGGCATTGAGCTTTTCCCATGTCGGGAATGGGACTATTTGCTTCTCTCTGTGTGAGTTCTTCAGGCCCAGGCTTTGGATGTGGGTTCACTGTACCAGGAGCACGGAAGCACTGTGGCTCTTGCGTGTGGCCATGTGCTGCTGTCTGAGTGCCAGCCTTGCCCACGCCCTGCTTCTTGTCCTTGGTGGCATAGTGCACACAGTGGTATAACTGGAGACTTTGACTCAAGAGAAAGGAGAAATACAAGTTAGATTCAGCCATGTGAGGGTGCAGCCCTGGCTCATGTCTACTTGCTTCTCAGAGTGCTGATCGTCCCTCACTGCTGGATACTGACCAGTATCATCGTAGTGACCTGGGAGCTCTGGGTGTGGGAGGCAGAGGTGCAGTCTGGCTCCCCCAAGTCTTGGCTGGGAGGGCAAGCACCTTCCAGCAGCACTCAGAGCTGTTAGGGTGCAGTTACCTTTTCAGCTGGATGTGAGCACTAATAAGTGTACCCGTTGACTCATTCATGTGTTTTACTTATTTGGTCATTGGAGCCCAGCTTTGTATTCGGTGCTTTGCTGGATGAGGCAGGATGTTGTCCCCAGCGATTAGATGTGGTATTGTGAGAGAAAACGGACACATTTGGCCTGGGGCCAATTAGCGTTTTTGAAGAAGGTGTGGGATTTTGAGGGGGCTGTGTGTGGGACAGTGAGTCACCTTATTCCATGGAATAGAAGATGTTTGTGTATGACGGGTGAGGGGCATGGGACCTAGTGGGGTGGCAGGATGTGATGAGATAAGAAGGGGGAGACCCACCTGTCTACATTGACTGTTTGAGGGCTGCCCTCTTCAGTGCCAGATTGTGCAATGTGTCTGACCACCTTTCTTCCCGCCCACTGCTGTCTAAGAGCAGTTGAGTCCAAGCAGACAGGAAACCTGAGCTAACCACCTGTTAGAGATCCTGTCACCAACTGTTCCTCCTCTTGGAGCCACAGACAGGTCACATGGAATGAGAGCCAAGTATGTCATGTGGGCTGGTTGTTATGGGATGGCTTTGTCCAGAGGACATCTGGGAAGTGTCAACATTGGCAGCTTGATAACACCCAGAAGAGCAGGTTGGGATGTTTCTTCGTCCTTTGCCCCTGGCCATCCACTTGGGGCAGTTGGACAACTCAGTTGAGACAGTTGGGCTCTTCCTGACATGCATCGCAGATCTGGCTGGGGAGGGTGGTGAAGGGAAAGGGCAGAAGAACTCCTGAGAGAAGGAATGTGCATGGCCTCCAGTGAAGCATCTGGAGAAGCCAGCAGAGCATACATGGTGCAGCTAAAGGCCATGGCAGGCCGGTGCCCTGGAGGAGGCCTATGGCCATCCAACATAGATCCCTGAGGACTGACTACAGAGGCCACAGTGGCTGGGTTTTGTGTTTCCTTTTTTACTAAACTTCTTATGTTGCAATAATTGCGTTTCCCCTGTGGTTGTAGGAAGTAACAAAAATCCCATGTACCCCTTTGCCCGGGTCTTCCAATGGTGACCTGCAACACTGTGGTACGGCACCACATCTGGGATACTGGCTACAGTGCACAGAGTACCCAGCGTCTCCATCGCCTTCTCCCTCCCACATCACCCCAGCCCCAGCCACCCAGGAATCCTCCATTTCCATAAATTGGACATTCCAAGAATGTTAGGTGAAGAGAATCATACAACCTAGAACCTTTGAGATTGGCTTTTTTCATTCAGAATTCTCTGGTGATTCATTCAAGTTGTTGCTTGGATCAGTAGTTGTCTCCTTTTTATTGTTGACTTGCATTCCATGATACCAGGGACACCTAGGTTGTTTCCAATTTTGGGCTATTATGAACAAAGCTGCTATAACCATTCACATGCAGTTTTTGTGTGAGTGCATTCTCTGAAATAAATATCCAGGAGTGCAGTTCCTAGGTTGTATGGTAGTTGCATGTTTAGGTTTTTAAGAAACTGCCAAACTGATTCCCACCAGCAATGTATGAGTGATATGAGTGGTGTACTTACTTTGTGACCGTGCCAGCATTTGGTATTGTCACCATTTGTTTTTTTAGCCGTTCTGATAGGAGCATAGTAACATCTCATGTGATTTTCATTTGCATTTCCCCTATAGCTTTTGGTGTTGAACACCTTTTTATGCTATTTATCTTCTGTGGAAAGTCTTCTCCTGTCTCCTGCCCATATTCTAATTGGATTGTTTTGTGTTTTTACAGTTGAGTTTTGAGGGTCTTTATATAGTCTAAATACCAGTATGCAGTCTAGATACTAGTTCTTTGTCAGATACCTCGTTTGCAAAATATTTTATCCTACTTGGTGGCTTATCTTTTCATCTTCTTAGCAGGACTTTGTACAGAGCAAAAGTTGTTAATGAAGTCCAATTTATCAATTTAAATTTGTTCCATTTTGTGTCATTTTTTTTGTATAACGTTACTTTTTGTATCAGCTTGAGGCATTTTTTGTTTTTTTTGCCTATGGACAAACAGTAACTCTAGCACCTTTTGTTGAAAGGCTGTCTTTCCTCCATCGAATTCCTTCTGCACTTTTGTCAAAATTGGGCATATTTGTGTTGGTTTATCGCTAGCTTCTCCGTTGATCCATGTGTGAGTTTCCACTAATACCACACAGTCTTCGTTACTGTGGCTATATAATAAGTCTTGTAATTTAGTAAATAGATTATATCCCTTCATTCCTTTTTAATTAAAAATATTCTAGTTCATTTGCCTTTCCTTATAAATTTTAGAATAATCTTATCCATATCTATAAAAAATCTTGCTGGGATTTTGATAGGAATTGTGTTAAACTGAGTATCAGTTGGGTGAGAATTGACATCTTAGAATCTTCCAGTGCATGAACACATTATGTCTCTCCATTTAGCTCTTCTTTGATTTCCCTCATCAGTGTTGTGTAGTGTGCAGCAGTTCCTATACATGTTATGTGGTATTTCTTTCTTTCTTTTTAGCAATTGTAAGTGGCATTGTATTTTAATTTCAGTGTCCATGTGTCCATTGCTAGCATGTAGAAATACAATTGGTCTTTGTATGCTGATTGTATCCTGCAACTTTGTTGAACTCATTAGTTCTAGGAGATTTTTGTAGATTCTGGGATTTTCTACACAGACAACTATGTCCTCTGTAAAGATTTTATTTCTTCCATTTTGATCTCTGTGCCTTTTATTTCCTTTTCCGGCCTTACCGCACTGGCTAGAAATTCCAGCACTATGTTGAATAAGAATTCTGAGATGGACATCATTGCCTAGTTCCTGATCTTAGAGGGAAAGCATTCAGCGTTTCTCCATTATTATAATATTAGCTGGAGGTTTCTTTAGAGATACTCTTCGAAGTTGAGTAGGTTCCCCTCTATTCCTGCTTTTCTGAGAGGTTTTTAAAATAATTATGAATGGGCGTTGGGTTTTGTCAGATGCCTTTTTTGCATCAATCGATAGGACCATGTGGCTTTTCTTCTGTAGAGCATGAATTTGGCGGATGACATTGGTTGATTTTTGAATATTAAGCCAGCATCCCTGGAATAAAGTTCCCTTGGTCATGGTGTATAATTCTGTATATATATTGCTGAATTCTATTTGCTAACATTTTGTTGGTTTTCGCATGTGCAGCAGTCCCCCTTTATCTGCAGGAGATACATTCCAACATCCCCAGTGGATTCCTCAAACCACGGATAGTACCAAACCTACTGAACCTGATTGTTCTCAGTCGGAACACATTTCTGATTGGAAACAACCTATGTATTTTCTCGTATCAAACCCACAAATGCTTTTTTATCTTTTTTTTTTTTTTTTTTTGAGTCAGGGTCTTGCCCTGCTGCCCAGGCTGGAGTATAGAGGTACTAGCATAGCTTACTGCAACCTCGAATTCTTGGACTCAAGTGATCCTCCTGCCTCAGCCTCCCAAGTAGCAGGTCCTATGCCAGGTCTTGCCACCACACCTAGCTATGAGTAATTTTTTTTTTTTTTTTTTTTTTTGTAGAAACAGGGTCTTGTAATTCCCAGGCTGGTCTCAAACTCCTGGCTTCATGTCATCCTTCTGCTTCAGACTCCCAGAGTGCTGGGGTTACAGGTGTGAACCACCACACCCAGCCACAAATACTTTTTCTATCTTAACTAAGCACTTTATCATGCACTAGGGCTGTAACATTTGCAGTTTGAGGTGTGACAGCAAAACTAGCATGAATTTCTTTTTCTTTCTCACAATTTCACAGATAGAAGATTTATTCTTACTATAGATCTTAGCAACCTCAGCATATGATTTTTTTTTCCTGTCGCCAGGCTGGAATACAGTGGCACAATCTTGGCTCACTGCAGCCTCCGCCTCCCTGGTTCAAGTCATTCTCCTGCCTCAGCGTCTTGAGTAGCTGGGACTACAGGGGCATGCTACCATGCCCAGCTAATTTTTGTATTTTTATTAGATATGCAGTTTCACCATGTTGACCAGGATGGTCTCGATCTCTTGACCTCATGATCCACCCGCCTCCGCCTCTCAAAGTACTGAGATTACAGATGTGAGCCACCGTGCCCAGACAATTTTTTTTCCCCCTCAAATTGAAAACTTTCACTGTTTCACTTGAAGGGAGCACTTTATGGCTTCTTTGGCATATTCAGATTGCTGTCATCACTACTCTTGTGCTTTGGTGCCATTATGAAGTAAAACAAATGTTATTTGAACACAAGCACTGCAACACCACCACAGTCAATCTGATAATTGACGGCTGCTAAGTTACTAAGGGGCAGACAGAGTATACAGCTGGATTCGCTGGACAAAGGGGAGAGGATCCACATCCCAGCTGGGATGGAGCAGGACAATGCAAGATTTCATCACACTACTCAGAATGGCATGCAGTTTAAAACTTGTAAATTATTTCAGGAATTTTCCATTTAATATTTTCAGGCTGCGGTTTACCGTGGGTAAGTGAAACTATGGAACCATAGATGAGGGAGGGGGAACTACTGTTTATTAATGAGGGATATTAGCCCATATTTCTTTTTTTCCTTTTTAAAAAATGTTTGGGCTTTGTCATATAGTTTGTCTGGTTTTGGTGTCAGGGTAATAATAGTTTCATAAAATGAATTCCAAGGTGTTTCTTCTGGTTTTTTAGAAAAAATGATATAGAATTAGTGTCAATTCTTTAAACACTTGTAGAAATCTCCAGTAAAACCATCTGGGCTTGGAGGTTTCTTTTTTGTGAGTTATAGAATTACATATTCAATTTCCTTAATAGTTATAGGATCATTTAAATTATCTGTTTTTTAGTGAAGTAAGTCAGTTTCCTATATGTTGTCAAATTAATGTTTGTGGAATTGTATTAGTATTCCTCATTATCCTTTTGAAGTCTGCAGAATCTGTAATGCTATCCCTGTTTTATTTCTGATATTACTTTGTGCCATGATGTCTTTATTCTCTTTGTTGGTCTTGTCAGAAGTTTGTAAAAAAAAAATTTTTTTTTTTTGAGATGGAGTTTCACTCTTCTTGCTCAGGCTGGAGTGCAGTGGTGTGATCTTGCTTCATCTCATCTCACCACAACCTCCGCCTCATGCGTTCAAGCGATTCTCCTGCCTCAGGTTCCCAAGCAGATGGGATTACAGGCATGCCACCACGCCCGCCTAATTTTGTATTTTTAGTAGAGACAGGGTTTCTCCATATTGGTCAGGCTGGTGTCAAATTCCCCACCTCAGGTGATCCGCCCGCTTCGGCCTCCCAAAGTGCTGGGATTACAGGCATGAGCCACCATGCCTGGCTGAAGTTTGTCAGTTTTATCAGTCTGTTCAAAGAACTAGCTCTTTGTTTCATTGATTTTGTTTTTGTTCTAATTTCATTGGTTTCTACTTTTATCTTTCCTTTCTTTTTTTTTTTTTTTGAGACAAAGTCTTGCTGTGTCGCCCAGGCTGGAGTGCAGTGGCGTGATCTCAGCTCACTGCAGCATCTGCCTCCTGAGTTCAGGTGATTTTCCTGCCTCAGCCTCCCAAGTAGCTGGGACTATAGGTGCACGCCACCAGGCCCAGCTAATTTTTGTATTTTTAGTAGAGAGGGGGTTTCACTGTGTTGGCCAGGCTGGTCTCGAACTCCTAACCTCCTGATCCACCTGCCTCAGCCTCCCAAAATGCTGGGATTACAGGCATGAGCCACCATGCCCAGCCCGATTTCTACTTTTATCTTTATTATTTCCTTTTTCTTGCTTTTAATACATTTTGTACTTCTTTTTCTAGATTCTTTAGGTAGAAGCTTAGATTATTGATTTCAGACCTTTCCTTTTTTCTAATGTGAGCATTTTAGTCACGTTTGGTTCCCTCATAGGACTGCATTAGTTGTGTTATTGAAATGGGTGTTGAAGTCTACAACAATATTTGTGGATTTATTTATTTTTTCTGTCAGTCATATTAGTTTTAGCTTCACATTATTTTGCAGCTCTGATGTTTAAATGTGCATGCACATTTAGGCTCACTATGTCTTAGTGAATTGACCCTTTCATCATTATATAATATTCCTCTTGGGGTCTGGTCATTTTCTTTGTGTTGAAATATAAATTATCTGATAATACAACAACTCTGCTCTCCTTCGATTAATATTTACAGGATGTATCATTTTTAGCCTTTTCAACCTGCCTCTGATCATTATATTCACAGTGAATCTTTTATAGACAGTGTACAGTTGAATCATTTTAGGAATCTACCAATCTCTTTTAACTGGTGTATTTAGATCATAATTATTTTTGTTTTTTGTTTGCATCTCTGGTTGTTATTTCTGTTTTTTTTTTTCTGCTTCCTTTGTTGTACTTGAACATTTCTTTAGAATTGTATTTTGATTTACATGTCAAAATACAAATAGTTTTTAAGTATATCTCTTTGTGTAGATTTTTTGGTGGTTATAATGAGACGTTCTATAGACATAACTTGTCATAGTCTCTTGGTGGTGTCATTTTACCAGTTTGAGAGCACCGATCTGTACACCCCTTTACCTTTCCTTTGATAATTGTCTTAAGTGTTTCCTTTACATACATTTAGAACCACATTACACAATTTTTGCTTCAGTCATGAAACATAATTTAAAAACTCAAGAGAAGGAAAGCCTAATTATTTACCTTTTTAAATGTTTTTAAATACTGTGTTCTTGCTTCTTTTCAGATGTTCCAAGATTCCTTTTTCTATGATTTTGTTTAGAGAACTTCTTTTGATCATTTTGGTAGGAGTAAGTCTGCTAAGAAATTCTCTTAGTTTTCCTTCATATGAGAAGGTCTGGATTTCCCTTTCATTCCTGAAAGATATTTTTACTGGTTATAGGATTCTAGGTTGACAGTTGTTTCCTTTCAGCAGCTGAAAAGTGGTGTGCCACTTCCTTCTGGTCTCCGTGGTTTCTGATAAGAAATGTGTAGTGATTCTGCTTGGTTTTCTCAAATCTGTCAGGTCTTAATTTTCTCTGACTGCTTTTGAGATTTTTTTCTTTGTCTTTGTCTTTCTTTGCCTTTTAGATTTCTCTTTAGTTATTATATGTCTTGGTCTGAATTTCTTTGGGTTTATCCTTTGTTGGTCACTAAACTTACTGAATGTGTAGGTTGCCAAATTTGGGAGGTTTCTAAGCATTCTTTGAGCCCTTTTTCTGCTTCTCCTCCCTCTCCTGCAGAGACTCTGATGACGTGAATGTTAGACTATTTATTACAGTTCCACAGGTCCCTTTTATTTATTCATTTTATCCTGTGTGTTTTTTTCTCTGTTGTCAGATGGGATGATTTCTGTTAGTCTGTCTTCCAGTTCACTGGTTCTTTCCTTGGCCCCCATCCTTCTGCTCTTGAGCCCACCCAGGAGCTTTTAATTCAGTTACTGTATTTTAAATTAAATGTTGGATAATTCTAGCATGGTTGTGTCTTGGTGTTGGCATTTCTTGGTTGTCTTTGTTCATTCAGTTTGTGACCTTCCTGGTTATTGTATAATGATGATTTTTGGTGGAAACCCAGGTGTTTTGTATTCTATTGGGTCACTCTAGGTCTCATTTGAACCTTCTCTTTCAGTTGACTTTTCTGACAATGTTTCCATGTGGGAAGGGGGTCACCATGACCACCTAGTTACTCAGGGGGAGACAGAAGTCCACCCCTCCGCCTCCACTGATGCCTAAACTGGAGAGGCTCCTCGTCATGGGTTCCCTTCCCACTGGGCCACAGTAAAAACCCTGACCCTCCACTTGGCACCCTCTGACACACTCTAGCACAGAGAGGGAAGGGTCCTCATTGCTGCTGGTGGGATGTATGGCCCTTGTGTCTTCTGACACCACCCTGGCCGGGGTGTGGGACACTTCACAAGGATGGAAATCCAGCTTTTGCTCACTTGGTGGCAGGGTGAGGGGAAGGCTGGGGTGCAGGCTTTCCTGTGGCTTTTGGCTAGAGTAGGGCAGTTCTTGTTTAAGAGTTTTCTGTCTTGTTTGTCTGCTCTTTTCTGGTTCGTCAGCTATGGATAGTAGCTTTTGATTGATTTTTTTTCTTGTTGTGTGCCCATTGGCATTTTCAGGTTACCAGTTTCTCCAGTACCCACTCTGCGATACTGAGATAAAAAAAAAAAAAGCCTTCCTCAGGTCTTGGTTCCCTGGCCCACCTACCTTCTTTTCTCCACCTTTCAGAGTCTTCTCATGTTTGTCTTGCACATGATGGTCCCAAATTTTTAGTTGTACTTAGCAGGAGGAATAGGGAAATCTATATCTACCCCATCGTTCAGGAAGCAGAAGTTTCACAGTACTGTTTTTGAAATAGTGTCAAGTTGAAGGCACACCCAGACCACTAGCAGCCTCTTCCTAGAGGCCAACCAGAAATGCAGTCTCTGGCTTGTATGGATCACAAGGGAAGGCCAAGTTCAATTGGAGAGGAGGTAGCTCCGGGGAGCCTCTCATGTGGTCACGTTTATACTTGGTCTGGAGGCATATACATCCTCTGGGAGGACCTGCATAGGAAAGGTGCCCCGTGTGCAGGGCTACTTGAAACAGGACTCAGGCCCCATTTTTTGTGTCCTTACAGCCCAGCTTGGATCCCCCATGTCAATAATGGATACATGCTTCTCATGCCTCCCTCCAAAATGCCCAGCAGCTCAACCAAAAAGCAGCAAAGCTAAGCCTACCCATGCAGTGTTTCCAAAGCACACTCCCTGATTCCTTGTGGGCTTTCTGTTTTAGTGTCCCAGTTTCCGATTATTATAGGTCACTCTGGAAGAGAATACCTTAGGGCCTTTTAGAGGCGCTGCTCCAGAAGCAGGTGGGCATGCATGGGAGCCTCTGCCTGTGGGCACTTCTGGACTCACAGACACTGGTCTGCTGTTCGGGGGAGGATGCAGCATTTTTAGATAGGCTGAGATGTAGAGAAGTGGCAGTCTTCCTGGGAGGCCTTTCCCATGCCTGGGGGATGAGGACAGGTTGTCTGAGTCAGGACCTAGGTTATGTAAGGAGAAGGAAGCTCAGAGCGGGCACCAAGCACCCACTGCTGGCCTAGAACGGCGGGGTACTCACCTTCACTCGCTCTGCACACCCGCCTCAGGATCAAGGACACAGCTAGGGCCGGGCTAACCCCATCCCTGCCTTCCTGGAGTGAAGGTTCTGGGGTGGGGGTGGGGGACTGTCATGTCATAGTAATGTAATTGCATAATGAAACCATAGGTAGAAATTAGTTCTGTGATGTACAGTGACAGTAATGGCAGAAGTGAGTAGTTAGAGACTGACAGGGGAAGATCAGAACTGACCCTTGAGGAAGGGGCGTTTTAGGGAAGCCCTGAGGGATGGCAGAGAGGGCCAGGTTTTGGGGAGCTGAGGAGGCTGGAGGCAGCTGCACAGGCCGTATGGCTAGCTGTGAGAGGGAAGAGTGGCAGTGCCGTAGCCCGCCAGGTTCTGGTCCCTGGCTCCCTGGGCTTGGGGAGTAAGTTCTCAATAATTACAGATTGCTCCTCGTGGCTCCATGGTACCATCATTCCTGCCTTTGCACCTGTGCGTCAGCTGTGCCCCTGCCCAGAGAGCCCTCTCGACCCCAGGCCTCTCCTGTGTGTGTGGTCCTTCCCTTGTTTAGGGCTTTTCCTTTATAAGTGATTTTTTAAAAAAAATTCTGAGCAGAGGTTTTGCTGAGGATGCCTGGGTTGAGACCGGGGCTCAGGTTCTGAGGGAACAGATGCTGAGCCCTCAGCTCCGCACAGTCCCTCCTGGAGAAAGGTCAGGTAAATGTAGCTGATGATGTGATGACACCCCAAGGTGGTGTCGCACAGTTAAGCCAGAGTTGGAGGAATGGCCTGGTGGGCTAGCCTCCGACCTCACAGGTGGGCTTTTGTGGCCGACAAGAGGCTGAGCTGGGAGTCAGAGTCCAGATACACCCAGGGAGTTGTCCATATGGCTTTCCCATGCCGTATGCAAGGCCTCTGGTAGGGTCTGCTCAGGGTGTGTACTCCTGGAATGGGGTGTGGAGAGGCCAAGTGTGTGTGCCCACCTGAGGTTGGCTGGACACTGCTGGAGTTTGTAGAGAGCCCAGACCTCCCTGCTTTTGCTTCTGCCTTCCCAGGTGGGATTTCCACCATACACCCATTGGCCCTCCTAGACTATGTCTGCATCTCGCACCCACTCTCCTGTCCTTACGGCTTTCCCCCAATTCCAGGGAAGCTCTACTCCTGTCATTCATGGGGAAAACCAGTGCTCCTGGGGACCTTGAGGACCCCTGCAGGCGGAAGCCAAGAAAAGAGGGTTCTTGGTTCAGCCTCGAGAGGCTGTGTGGCCTCTGGCACATGACCTGCCCTCTCTGAGTCACAATCTGCAGCTACCAAATGAGGTGGTGTGGTGGTGCCTCCTACTTTGGAGAGCACTGAATAGAAAGCACATGGGGAACCCCTGAGGGGATCCAGGGATCAGGCTGTGTTTGTAAGCGGCAGTCAGAGAATTTGGGTTTTAATTTGTGTTAATGGCCTCCAAAGGGGACTAAATAAATGGGTCTGGTTGTACCTTTTCCAGCCCAGTCTCACCAGCTGGGTGTGGCTGAGAAAGGAGATGGAGCCAGAGTGTCTGTCTAGAACCCCCCCACTCCGCTCCCCGTGTGGAGCTCCTACTCGCGGTTTGGGGAGTGGGGACTCTGGATGGTGAAGTGGAACAATGCCTCACATTTGTTAAGACCTCACAGGCCGGACACTGTGCTCAGTGTTCTTTGTGCTCATGCAGCTTTTAAAATTGAGATATAATTCACCTATCTTAAGATTCACCCTCTTAAAGGGTACAGTTTGGTGAGTTTTAGCATATTCACAATGCTGTACAACCATCTCCACTGTCTAATTCCAGAACATTTTCGTCACCCACGAAAGAAATCCCATACCCCTTACCTGTCTCTCCTTATTGCCTTTCCTCCAGTCCCTGGCAGCCGCTGATCTGCTTTCTTTGCTGTGGATGTGCCTATTCTAGACTGTTCGTGTAAGTGGAGTTCTGTAACATGTGGGCTTTTGTGTCTGGTTTCTTTGACTTAGCGTCATGTTTTAGACGTTCCTCTGTGCTGTAGTGTGTGTGAGTGCTTCATTCCTTTTTCTGGCTGAATAGTGTTCCCTTGTGGGGATCCATCACACTTTGTTCATCCATTCTTCTGTCCATGGACATTTAGACTGTTACCACCTTTTGGCAAGTGTGAATAATACTGCTGTGAACATTCATGTGCAGGTTTTTATTTGAGCCCGTTTTCCGTTTTCTGGGGTGTGTATACATGGGGTGAGATTGATGGGTCCTAGGGTAATTCTGCTTTTAATTCTCTGAGGAACTGCTGGACTCTTCCAAGGTGGCAGCACCGTTTTACATCCATGTGCTGGGTTTTACTAATTGCATTATATCATTAGTTCTCACATCAGAGTCATGAGGTTTAGGTGGAATTGTTATCACTCTCACTTTTCTTTTCTGTTTTTTTTTTTTGAGGAAGGGAGGGATGAAGGAAGGGGGGAGGGAGGGAGGGAGGGAGGGAGGGAAGGGAAGGGAAGGAAGGAATTCAAGCAGTGAGAGAGACATTGACGACCTGGATCTAGAGGTTTACAAGTTGATTTCTTTTTTTTTGAGTGAAGGAAAGAAGAAAAAAATGAGTAAAGGAGAGGAAGAAAGAGGAAGAGAAAGAGGGAGAGTGAGTGGAAATATTGCTTTATTCTTAAAAAAAAATATGTATTAATAATGGCCAATCAATGTTTCATTTAAACCTATGAGTATGTGTGATGTGGTATTGACAAGAATGTTTATTTTGTGTCTTTGAAGTGGAGAGCTCTATAAATATTTATTAAGTTTACTTGTTCTGGATCTGAGTTCGAGTCCTTGATAATCCTTATTAATTTTCTGTCTCATTGTGTCTAAGTCTCTATGTATCTGGGTGTTAGGATCGTTAGCTCTTGTTGTTGCATTGATCCTTTTACCACTATATCTTTGTTGCTTTAAAATCTGTTTTATCCGATACGAGAATTGCAACTCCTGCTTTTTATTTATTTATTTATTTATTTTTGCTCTCCATTTGGTTGGTAAATCTTTCTCCATCCCTTTGTTTTGAGTCTTTGTGTATCCTTGCCTGTGAAACAGGTCTGGATGTAACATGCCGTTGGGTTTTGGCTGTGTCTTTTGATTGGGGGATTTAGTAGATTTAAATTTAGGGTTACTGCCATTTGATGTTAAGTGGCTGTTTTATCCATTCGTTGGTGTAAATTCTTCTTTATGTTGGTGCTCTTTACTTTTTGGTATATTTTTAGAAGGGCTGATACTGGTTGTTTCTTTCTGTGTGTAATGCTTCTTTCAGAAGCTCTTGTAAAGCAGGCCTGGTGGTAATAAAATCTCTGAGTTCTTGCTTGTTCATAAAAGATTTTATTTTTCCTTCAGTTGTGAAACTTAGTTTGCCTGGATATAAAATTCTGGGCTGAAGGTTCTGTTCTTTGAGGATGTTGAATATTGGCCCCCACTCTCTTCTGGCTTTTAGAGTTTCTGCTGAGAGATCTGCTGTAAGTCTGATAGGCTTGCCTTTGTGGGTAACATGACCTTTCTCTCTGGCTGTCCTTAGTATTTTCTCCTTCGTTTCAGCCCTAGTGAATCTAACGATTATGTGCCTTGGGGTTGCTCTTCTTGAGGAATATCTTTGTGGTGTTCTCTGTATTACCTGGGGTTGAATATTGACCTGCTTTGCTAGTTTAGGAAAATTTTCCTGAATAATATCCTGAAGGGTATTTTCCATCTTGGATTCATTCTCTCCGTCGCATTCAGGTACACCTATCAAACGTAAATTTGGTCTTTTCACATAGTCCCACATTTCTTGGAGACTTTGCTCATTCCTTTTTATCCTTTTTTCTCTAATCTTTTCTTCGCGTTTTATTTCATTAAGTTGGACTTTGACCTCTGATATCCCTTCTTCTGCTTGAACAATTCGAGTGTTTAAACCTGTGCAAACTTCTCGGAGTTCCTGTATTGTATTCTTCAGTTCCATTAATTCACTCATACTCCTCTGTAAGTTGTATATTCTCAATAGGATTTCATCAAACTTTTTTTCAAAGTTCCTAGTTTCTTTACGTTGGGCTACAACATGTTCTCTTAACTTACCAAAGTTTGTTATTATCCATTCCCTGAAGCGATATTCTGGCATTGGGATGCGCTTGTTCTCCATCAAGCCTTGTTACATTGTTGATGTGGAACTGTGATCATCTTTAGAGTGCAAGGCGTTCTGACTTTGAGTATTCTCAGCTTTTTTACGCTAGTTTCTTCCCGTCATTGTAAGTTTATCCTCCTGTGGTCTTTGAATTTGCCAACTTTCAGATTAGGTCTCTTGAGTGGGCGTCCAGGTTGTTAGTTCCCAGGGACAGAGCAGCGGCGTTAAAACTGATGGTGCTTTTCTGCCCAGGATTCTCTTGTCTGGCATCCTTCTTGTGTCCGTAGTGGGCGACTCTGCCTTCCTGGGGCTCCAAACCTCGGTCAGAAGGGGAGCCGGTCCCGTTTACTCTGTGCCGAGCGCTGCCGTGCTGAGGTGCCTTCACAGCCGCTGCGCCGGGCTCTGGTGTCGTGCTGGGAGCCCTTGTGGGTCCTCCGAACCTGTTTACTCTGCTCCGAGAGCTGCCGCGCCGAGGCGCCGGCGTAACCGCTGCGCCGTCCACGAAGGTCGCACTGGTGACCCGTGTGATTCCTCCACTGGGGATCTGCTCCGTGAGCGACCAGAATTTGTCTGAAAGTGTGGCGTCGTCTAGTTCTCCGCGCCTTCACTGAGAGCTGCAGTCACGAGATGTTAGCGATCGGCCATCTTGGATCCAGGCCACTCTCACTTTTCAAATGGAAGAGTTTGAACTCAGAGGGTTTCTGCATGTAGCCACACAGCCAGTCAGTTGATGATTCTTTGGCCAGAGCTGGCTTTGATCACAAAAGCAGTCTTGGCCCTATTTGTGTCTTCAGGATGAGGTTGAGGTTTCTTTTTTTCTTTTTTAAAGACAGAGTCTCACTCTGTCGCCCAGGCTGGAGTGTAGTGGTGCAATCTCGGCTCACTGCAACCTCCACCTCCCAGGTTTAAGTGATTATCCTGCCTCAGCCTCTCAGGTAGTTGGGATTATATGTACCCACCACCACGCCCAGCTAATTTTTGTATTTTGAGTAGAGACAGGGTTTCACCATCTTGGCCAGGCTGGTCTTGAACTCCTGACCTCGTAATCCACCTGCCTTGGCCTCCCAAAGTGTTGGAATTACAGGTGTGAGAGGATAAGGCTTTTTGACTATGTTCATGTTTTATTCCTGGCACCTGCCACACATTGTCATTCACATATTTGTTTAATAAAATATCAGTTTTTCCTGATCTTGGTGGTTTGATCAGCAGCTTGAGGGAGGCAGCATGCATTAGGGGCTCCTGTACTCTACAGGTTCTCACACTCCTGCTCAGGTCTGTGTTCCCCACTCTACCCCGGTTGCTGCAGAATCCCCACCAGCTTCTCATATTCAAGCAGCCACAACGCACTGCCGCTGGAATGAGTGGCATGACCTCTGCTGAGCAGAGGTAGCGTCCATTTCCAGCAAGTACTTACCATTAACTTTAGCTGTTCTCTCTCTCTCTCTCTCTCTCTCTCTCTCTCTCAGGCTGCTGGTAACCTGCCCTCTTTTTTCTCCTCTAGGCAAAACCGATTTATGGCGGTTGGCTGCTCCTGGCTCCAGATGGGACGGACTTTGACAACCCAGTGCACCGGTCTCGGGTAAGGGCATCAGAGCCGACTCTCAGGATGGGAGGAACCAAAAAAGGGGGCACATCTAAGGGTGAACTGGCAGAATGGAAGAGGGAGATGTAGGGTTGAACAGTGGATCCTGGGGTGGCAGGATCAGCAGGGCTCCGCGCACTTGCACGTTGTACGGAAAAGGTCTCAATTATACATAGTTATGTGTAGTGCTCCCTTCAGAGTGAGGAGGTCTCATGTGGGTGTTCCCTGTTTTGTGGGTAAGCTTGACTCTGGGAACAGTCAAATGGAAGAGGCAAAAGAGCTGTTTAACAAACGTCTGTGTTATATTGAGCAGCTCCCGATTCCTTCCATGCCAAGGCCTGCCCCTATCACACCTCCCTTCCTCCTGAGCCAGGGGTTCAGCCCACTAGCACTAGTGAAGGTTTGGGGGCCCAGAAGAAGCCTTGGCTCACCTCTTACTAAATTATGCATTGCCCAGGGCAGGGCCCCGCTAGAGCTGGGACCACCATTGGCCTGACCTGTGGTTTGTTTCTCTGCTAAGAAGCCCCTCTGGATTTGACTCCAGTTAAAACACTGTCCTTCCTCACACGCTGTCTTACAGTTTTGCCATTCATACCCTATAAATTCCGCCCCCTCCATCCCCGGAAGCTCCCTCTCCCCTTATTCTTAGTATCTGCTACTTACCCTCTCCCCACTGTGAATATTACATTTGGGATAGGGGCCTTGGGCTGTGTATTCTCGTGCCACAGGCCTTGCATTGTGTCTCTGGTCTTTGGGATTCCATCCGGAATGGGTTTTGATTTCAAGGGCAGCACATAAGACCCTTGAAAATGCTCCTGGGAAACACGTTCAGGTGGCCTCACACCCAGCATGGGGCAGCCCTCTACAAGGCCTCTTAGCAAGGCCCTTTGAGTCCCCACCCAGACGGGAGGACTCAGGAATCACTGGTCCAACCAGACTGCAGGTTCCAGGGAGTAGTTCCCTTTCCTAGTTTACATTGAGGTTGTACAAAATTGCCATTTCCAGCTTCTGATGGGATTCTTTATTATAAATGATAACCCTGGCCCAAGCAGAGAGATGTGCTTTTATAGTCAGTTCATGTGGCCTTATTGCCAGTTAAACTTTGAGCATTGCTGGGCTCTTTTTTCTTCTTTTTTTTTTTTTGAGAAAGAGTTGCTCTGTCACCGAAGCCGTAGTTCAGTGGTGTGATCTTAGTTCAGTTCAGTCTTAACCCAGGTTCAAGTGATCCTCCCACCTCAGCCTCCTGAGTAGCTGGGACTACAGGCATCTGTCACCATGCCCAGCTAATTTTTGTGTTTTTTTGTAGAGACGGGGTTTCACCATGCTGCCCGGGCTGGATTGAGCTTTTTGAACTATTGAATATAGTCATGGACCCTTAATTTGGGGCTGGGAGCTGTGCCTGTCATTCATAACAAGGCCCTTCTCCCCACACAAAGGAAGACATACTCCTTTTCATTTCAGCTCCTGGTGGCATCTGACCACCATGGGCACTTCCCAGTGGTCTGGCTTTTGGATGGAGAGTAGAGGGGGGACACTCTGTGCCAGTTGGTCACTCCTTGGATATTGGAGTTATTTCCACGGGTCTTGCTGCTCCTCAGTTTTGATTTTCAGTAGCTCATTTCCCCTCAGTGAATTCTGGATCCTGGCTGTCTTTGTACCTCCTCTTTGCCAGTGGATCATCAAAACTATCTTTTGTGGTGGTTTCCCAGATTTTTTCAGAAGTGGTGAATCCGTGCCTTGGCATTCCTGGGTTATTCCATGTTATGTCAGATTATTCATCAAATATTGACACATATCATGTGATGCATTCTGTGCTGGGCACCAGAAGGAATATGAAAAGGTAAACACAGATTGTTTCTGCTTCTGAGGAGCTTCCAAGTGTTTAAAAAAAAAGAAGCTTCTTGTTAAGCCTCGATCACTAATGTGATTTTGGGCCTTTCTCCCAGCCCAGTCCTGGCTGATGAGTCAGCATTCTTAGGCATCGGGTCCCTCTTTTTCTGCCACCTGCCCCAGAAGTGGAATCTGTAGAACCGCCTTCCTTAGATACGGGCTTGTTAGACATGAGAACTCAACAAGCCAGGCTCCGGGGCCAGGACCCAGATCCTCCTAACCACCCACCTTGTGCTCCTTTGCAGAAATGGCAGCGACGGTTCTTCATCCTTTATGAGCACGGCCTCTTGCGCTATGCCCTAGATGAGATGGTAAGTGTCATCCTCGCCCACTCCCTGTCCCCAGCCTTCGCCGGTTCCCTCCATCACAGTGTCCTTGCATTGTTGTGTAAGAGCACAGCAGCTGTGTGCTCCCACTTTTGTCTGTTTGGAAGTCTGGAATGTTTTGAAGAACTTGTGGCACCTTGCAAAGACCGCCCTAAAAACCCAGACCTTTGAAGCATCATCTTCTGTGGTCTTGAGTGAAAGGAAGAAGTGAGGGAGGAAGTCATTTCTGTTCAAGGCTAATAGTGTGGACTTGGCTGGAGCACTCCTGGTTAGGAGAAAGCAAGGGCAAAGTACTGAGTCACAGTGAGGACAGGTGCAGGCTGTGGACCTGTAGGTGTGGGGCAGGGACTGGCCCTGGGGCTGCACGCATGCTCACGTGCCTAGTCTTGGGGCTGCCTGTGAGTTCTACAGCTACAGTTGGTTTTATTTGTCTTATTTGAGCTTCACATAGTTTTCTGAGCCGACTTCAGAGGCCTCCTGGTCATGAGCTCAGCTGGTCACTAAACCAGGCAGACAGGCTCCTTCCTGCTCCCCACCTTCCTGGTTTTCCAGCTGCCTCCTGGGCTGGATGAGCGTTTCCTGCTGTTGCCCCAGAGGCCAAACCTGAAAATCAACTACGTGGAATTTCTAGCTTTTCTTTTTCCACCTATTTTATCTCTGACTTTTTCTCTAAGGGAGATTAGTCTCTACTAATTAAAGTAGGACTGCATTCCAAACTGTGTAAAGGGTTGAAGATGGGAGATTTGATCGCCTTTTCCAGTTCCACTTGGTGGGTGAGTGTTTGTGTGCAATATGCAGCATTTTAAAATTGAGGCTGTCCTGGAAAGTCTAGTCACACTATATAAAACAGGCAGCCCTTGCCTATCCTACCCAGAGTTTGTTTCTTTGCTGCAAGGGTGAGACAGACTCTGGAAGTATGAGTGGAGATAACTGTGCCCTCCAGGGACCTTCCATACTTTGGGGGGCCCTGGGATTTTTGGGTGGTCATTACAGCTCACATGTGCAAAGGCCAGAAGTGGGTGTGTTTGCACCTGAATCCTAACCTTTGTGATGTGATACTTTTTCTACTTTTGTTTCTGGGGTGAATTAAGAGGTATGATACCATAATCCTGTATCAACTGTCACCTCATTCATTTATTCTTAAAAAGAATTGTCTTCCTTTTCATTATTTCTGGTGAGCATATGCAAATATTTGCACATCATGATTAGACCACAGGGGGTTTTTGCTGTGGGAACATCTATGCTCCAGGGTAGTGGATTGGAGCTGAGCACTAATGGTGAACTTGGCTAGAAGTAGGAGCAGGGAGACAATGCATTCCAACACTCTGTTCCTTTGAGGCAAGAAAGCAGACCTGGAGGATAGACTTCACATGGGTGTTCTCCTGGCTTAGCCCTTACACAGGGAGTAGTCCTGGGGTCAGAGCTGGGCTCCTGCAGCTGTGAGGTTTATCTTGCCTCCCTGTAGCTGGCTGACTGGTTCTTAAGTCCTGCAATTGGACAACAGTATGAAAGGAGCCTCAAGAGGTCACTGAATTGCATTCAGGCTAGGCTGGATCAGCACAAGTGCAGAGCATATGCTGCCTCCCACGCGCAGCTCCTGGATAATTGAGGCCGCCTAGCCACAGGTACCAACCCTTCACAGTGTACTGTGGTCTCCCAACAACGTGGATATGGGTTGCATAATATTATGTGGAGTGCTCAGGCAGAGGTAGGATGGTGCCAGGGATGTGGGGAAAGAAAGAAGCCCCAGGGAAAACTTGGACTGAGAGAGGTCGTGGGGGCATGCCCAGAGCTGAGAGTTTCTGGCCATGGGCTGGTTTCTGCTAGATGACCTGGGAGCTGGAGAGACTGACCCAGTGAGCCCATCAGTATGGCTCTGCCCAGCTGAGACCATGGAGGGGCTTCCCTGTTGTATCAGGAAGGTCACAGGGGAAGGTTGCGAGGAGGCAGTCAGGGTAGAAGCCAGGTGGGAGAAGGCAGAGGCTGGTTTCTCCAGCACCCAGTGCCCTACATCAGGATTTGTTGCTCAGAGCCTCTCCCCAGGGTGAGCAGACAGCCCGTGGCCAGGGAACTCCAGCCTAATGGTCAGCTACCCTGACCTGAGAGTCCCATCCCAACCAGGCTGGCAGGATTCTAAGACCTGGAGCAGGAGAACTCCATTTCAGGCAGGCTCATGTGTGGGTGAACTCCAGCCAAGCTAGAAGCGTTCTCTGTGAGTCTTGAAATAGACCACTGGTCCTCAGCACTGTGCTGCCCGGGGCCACTGTCCACCACTGACCATGTCTGGAGTCATCCTTGATTGTCACTCCTGGGGCAGGGATGCTGTTGGCTTCTAGTGGGTGGAGGCCAGGGATGCTGCTGAAGGTCCTCTGCAGAACAGCCCCCAGAACAAAGAAGGCTCCAGCCCAAAATGTCAACCACTGCCAAGGCCGAGAAACTAAGCAATTTGGTCAGTGGTTTATTTAAATTCTTAATTGTTTTTTAAAATGAAAATGTAAATGTGATTTGGTATTGGCTCTGCTCTTAAACAGCACAGGACTCACCTGTCAGATTTCCTGGGAGTCGGTGGGTGGGGGGTGGGTAGTGATGGCGCAGAGTTGGCTTGCTGATGGTGCAGTGCCAGTTGTGGAATGGGGTGGGCTGTCCCTCATCTGGAGAGGTCTATGGGGCGCCCCTGCATACCAGGCAACCGCAGGCCTGCAGAACTGCTTGTGTGTCCCAGGGATCACATAGGTGCTGCTTCCTGCCTCACCATTTGTCTTCAAAAGTAGTAGCTCTGAGCAGCCCATGGCCATCTCTGACCTTCCCAGGCCCACATAATAAACTGTAGCATTTTAGGCTGGTCTGTGCCCTCAACACTTAGTCACCATCTACTTCGAGTTGTTATTGATTTTTACATGATGTTACCATTTGATTTCATTTGCTTGAGTGTTATCTTGCCGACTAGATTGACTTGTTGTTTTGTTGTTGTTGTACCCCTGATGATTCTAAGTGTCTCTCTGCATTGTCTAGTATGGGGCTTGGGCGGTACAAATCTAGCAGGTGTTCAGTATTTGTGGAGTTGAGCTACCGGCTTTGTCAGTGCCTTGCTACAGAATTTCTGCTCCCAGCTTGAAAACCTTAAGACAGAGTGCAGGTAGGAAAAGAGAGACAAAGCTATTACTTTTGAAGACAGATGCCAAGGCAGGGCTCACTTTACCTCAACATCACGGTCTCAGGGCACCACGCAGGAAGCAGCACCTATGTGATCCCTGGGACACACAGGTCAAGGAGTGTTCCTTGGAGGGAGATGAGGGATGTGGTGACCCTTAGGGATTACTCAGCCCAAGGGAGAAACTTCCCAAGAGCTCCTGAGAACCGGGATGGGGGAAAGGTTACCTCAGCCCCACTGGGTTGGGACCTGGAGAGGAAGGTGAGCATCAGGAGGTCACAGCATGCAGGAGGGGGAGGAAAGCAGCAGTCCCTGGATCTGGGGACAGTGGCTTCAGGAAGCTCTTCCTGCTTGGGGACTTCTGCTGGGTCTGGGGCTGGTGGACCTCATCCAGTTCTGGAGACTGACCGTTGCCTCTCCAGGCAGCCCTGAGATGGGGCTAACTTTGGGGAATCTCTTTTCCTTTTTTGGGAAATTTATTTCTCGATACACCCACATACCTTGTAATTGGTGGGTGTGGAGGAGAGGCAAATTTCCCAAAAAAGGACATTTCTCAAATGCAGGCTGAGGTGAGGTGGGCATTGGGCAGCTGCACAGACAAGTAGGAGCCTGAGAGATTTGGCTGGCCCCTGGTTTTTCAGGAGTGGACGAAGTAACAGCCTAGAAACCTGGACTGCTGCCTCTGTCCTCTGCCTTTGTTTCTCTGCCTATAAAATGTTCTTCATGATTTTACCTAATTCTGCCACTGAGTTTTTGGGGACTGATGTCAAGCTGAGGTGTGGGTGTCACCAGATGTCACTAGAAAGCTCTCAGGAGGAGCTCCCGGTGTAGAAGCAGAGTGGGAGCGCCAGGAGCTTGGGGTGGAGCAGGCCAGGCCATGAGGCTTTGGGATTCTCACGGGTCTGCTCTCCAAGGCAAACAGATGATTTAATGTTTTGTTTCAATGTTTTAAACTTTCGTAAGTGTGCAGGAAATTCACCATCTTAATCGTTTTTAAGTGTGCAGTTCAGTGGCATTAAGTACATCCACACTGTTGGACAACCACCACCACCCTCCCTCTCCGTGACACTTTTCAACTTGCTGACTGACCTGTGCACCCATTGAACTCCCTTTCCCAGCCCCTGGAAACCCCCAAGCTACTCTCTGTCTCTATGAATTTGACTCCTCAGGCACCTCACATAAATGGGATCATGCAGTGTTGTTTGTCCTTTGCAACCGGCTGTGATCAGCTGTGTTGGTGTCAGAATTTCCTTCCTCCTGATTGTAGTAGGTCTGATGCCCTTGGACCATGACTGCTGACCCTGAGCCTCTCATACATGGAAGTTATGGAGAGACCATGAGGCCACCTTCCGTGGCAAGCATGGTGCTGAGGGCCAGCCTCCACAGTGGGGAGCTCTGTTCCGTCCTAGCCTGGGGAGTCCTTGAGCCTCATGAGAGATGAGAGCTTCCTCCTGTGTAGGGGCCATGCTGAGGACTCATAGCTCAGCTCATGTCCTCAGACATAGTAGAGAAAACGGTTTTAGCTTTTGGATATGTGCTCTTTTCAGGGGCAACCTATGAGTCTGTCAGTCCCATAAGATATGAAGGTCCAGCCTGAGAAATTAACTTGGGGTGCTTGCGTACTTCTGTGTGAAGTAAATAAGCTTGGTCCAAAGGATCTTCAGAGCACTCCAAGAAGAGTCCAGCTTCTTTAGAGTTTGCTTCCTATAAGAGAGTGTCCAGGAGGTTGCTTTGACCTTGGGGACTTCTGCTCACCTCATTCTTGACACATTTCTGCTACTTTTGGTGATGTTAAAGCCATGAGCAGCCCAAAGTTGCCTGGGCCTGTGAGAGCCTAGGGGGTGGGACGTTACCGCTGAGCCCTGCTGTCTTTAGGATCTGTCATTTGAAGTTTCTCTCCCTTCTCTGCAGATGGGACTACAGGCGCACTCTGGCACGCCCGGCAATTTTTTATATTTTAGTAGAGACGAGGTTTCACCTTATTGCCCAGGTTGGTCTTGAACCCCTGAGAGCAGGCAATCCCCTCACCTCAGCCTCCCAAAGTGCTAGGATTATAGGTGTGAGCCACTGTGCCCGGCCTTTATTTTTTTATTTTTTTTGGGGGGGGTGGGGGAGGAAGGCAGGAAGGGAGGGAAGAAGGACGGTAGGGAGGAAGGAAGGGATGAAGGAAGGAAGGAAGGAAGGGAGGAAGCGGGGAGGGAGGGAGGGAAGGGAAGGAAGGAAATCAAGCAATGAGAGAGACATTGCCGACCTGGATCTAGAGGTTTACAAGTTGATTTCTTTTTTTTTGAGAGAAGGAAAGAAAAAAAAAATAAGTAAAGGAGAGGAAGAAAGAGGAAGAGAAAGAGGGAGAGTAAATGGAAATATTGCTTTATTTTGAAAAAAATTGGGTATTATTAATGGCCAATCAGTTTCATTTAAACTTATGGGTAGGTGTGATGTGGTATTGACAAGAATGTATATTTTGTGTATTTGAAGTGGAGAGCTCTATAAATATTTATTAAGTTTACTTGTTCTGGATCTGAGTTCAAGTCCTTGATATCCTTATTAATTTTCTGTCTCATTGAGTCTAAGTCTCTATGTATCTGGGTGTTAGGATCGTTAGCTCTTGTTGTTGCATTGATCCTATTACCACTGTATCTTTGTTGCTTTAAAAATCTATTTTATCCGCTACAAGATTTGCAACTCCTGCTTTTTATTTATTTATTATTTATTTTTGCTCTCTATTTGGTTGGTAAATCTTTCTCCATCCCTTTGTTTTGAGTCTTTGTGTATCCTTGCATGTGAAACAGGTCTGGATGTAACATGCCATTGGGTTTTGGCTGTGTCTTTTGATTGGGGGATTTAGTCAATTTAAATTTAGGGTTACTGCCATTTGATGTTGACTGGCTGTTTTATCCATTCGTTGGTGTAAATTCTTCTTTATGTTGGTGCTCTTTACTTTTTGGTGTAGTTTTAGAAAGGCTAATACTGGTTGTTTCTTTCTGTGTGTAATGCTTCTTTCAGAAGCTCTTGTAAAGCAGGCCTGGTGGTAATAAAATCTCTGAGTTCTTGCTTGTTCATAAAAGATTTTATTTTTCCTTCAGTTGTGAAGCTTAGTTTGGCTGGATATGAAATTCTGGGCTGAAGGTTCTGTTCTTTGAGGATGTTGAATATTGGCCCCCACTCTCTTCTGGCTTGTAGAGTTTCTGCTGAGAGATCTGCTGTAAGTCTGATAGGCTTGCCTTTGTGGGTAACATGACCTTTCTCTCTGGCTGCCCTTAGTATTTTCTCCTTCGTTTCAACCCTGGTGAATCTAACGATTATGTGCCTTGGGGTTGCTCTTCTTGAGGAATATCTTTGTGGTGTTCTCTGTATTACCTGGGGTTGAATATTGACCTGCTTTGCTAGTTTAGGAAAATTTTCCTGAATAATATCCTGAGGGGTATTTTCCAGCTTGGATTCATTCTCTCCGTCACATTCAGGTACACCTATCAAACGTAAATTTGGTCTTTTCACATAGTCCCACATTTCTTGGAGACTTTGCTCATTCCTTTTTATCCTTTTTTCTCTAATCTTTTCTTCATGTTTTATTTCATTAAGTTGGACTTTGACCTCTGATATCCTTTCTTCTGCTTGAACAATTCGAGTGTTTAAACCTGTGCATACTTCTCGGAGTTCCTGTATTGTATTCTTCAGTTCCATTAATTCACTCATACTCCTCTCTAAGTTGTCAATTCTCAATAGGATTCCATCAAACCTTTTTTCAAAGTTCCTAGTTTCTTTACGTTGGCCTACAACGTGTTCTTTTAACTCACCGAAGTTTGTTATTATCCATTCCCTGAAGAGTGATTCTGTCATCAGGATGCGCTCATTCTCCATCAAGCCTTGTTCCATTGTTGAGGTGGAACTGTGATCATCTTTAGAGGGAGAGGCGTTGTGATTTTGAGTGTTCTCAGCTTTTTTACGCTGGTTTCTTGACGTCATTGTAAATTTATCCTCCTGCCGTCTTTGAATTTACCAACTTTCAGATTAGGTCTCTTGAGTGGGCGTCCAGGTTGTTAATTCCCAGGGCCAGAGCAGCAGCGTTAAAACTGACGGTGCTTTTCTGCCCAGGATTCTCCTGTCTGGCTTCCTTCTTGTGTCCGTAGTAGGTGACTCTGCCTTCCCGGGGCTCCAAACCCCGGTCAGAAGGGGAACCGGTCCCATTTACTCTGAGCTGAGCGCTGCCGCACGGAGGTGCCGTCACAGCCGCTGCGCTGGGCTCCGGTGTCCTGCTGGGGGCCCTTGTGGGTGGTCCGAACCTGTTTACTCTGCTCCTAGAGCTGCCGCGCGGAGGGTGGAACCGCTGCGCCAGCCACGAGAGTCGTGCTGGCCACCCGTGTGTTTCCTCCACTGGGGGATCTTCTGCTCCGTGAGCGACCAGAATTTGTCTGAAAGTGTGGCGTCCTCTAGTTCTCCGCTCCTTCCCTGAGAGCTGCAATCCCGAGATGTTAGCAATCGGCCATCTTGGATCGTTCCTCCCGGCCTTTATTTATGTGTGTCTATGTCAGTTCTATGGCTGCATACCTGTGTGGATATGTGCACATTGGACTGTGGGTTTCTGTGTGTGGATGTAACATTTGTGTACCCGTGAGGATGCATATCTATGTGTAAATGCTCTCATGTCTATGTATCTATTTAGTGTGTATGTGTGTCTGTGTAAATGCTTTCATGTTTGTACATGTTTAGTTTGTATATATATCTCATGTTTATTGTGTATGTTTATGTCTACACGAGTGCACGTGTAGACATATATTTGTGTCTGCATGTATGCTTACTTTCCATGCATCTGTCTTCTTTTTTTTTTTTTTTTTTTTTAATAGAGTCTTACTCTGTCACCCAGGCTGGAGTGCAGTGGTGCGATCTTGGCTCACTGCAAATTCTGCCTCCCAGATTCAAGCAATTCTCCTACCTTAGCCTCCTGAGTAGCTGAGATTACAGGTGTGCACCACCACGCCCAGCTAATTTTTGTATTTTTAGTGAGATGGGGTTTTATCATGTTGATCAGGTTGATCTTGAACCCCTGACCTTGTGATCCACCTGCCTCAGCCTCCCAAAGTGCTGGGATTACAGGAGTGAGCCACTGTGCCTGGCCTCTCATTTGTGTTTTTTATATGTGTAACTGAGCATATGTCTACATAGAGGCATGTCTGTGTGTTCATCTTTGAGGATCTACATGAATGTGTTCTTTTTTGCCAGATTTCTCTTCTCACTCCTCTTAAATCGCTCTGACCAGCTAAACATTTGTTGCCCATCTCTTTGCATCCTCTACTCATTCTGTCTCACCAAATGAGCTTCTAAGCACCAGACTCCCTCTGCCATCAGATTGGCTTCTTTAGCTGCACAGTCTCTTCTCGCCCTGTGCTTGCTTTCTTCCCCTGCCTTTCTCCCTCAAGCTTCCTCTCCTGTTTTTGTCACAGTCTTATTGCTCACTGACTTGGAGGCTAGGGCTGGTCTGCACTTTGCCTCTCCCTTCCTAATTTCTAGCCCTAGTGGGCAGCCCTGTCTTATCCCTGGTTGACGTCCACAGTGTATCATCATGTTCCTGCTACCTTCTTGACCCCTATGCTCAGCCTAGAATTGTTGTAGGAGGTAGCAAGGGCATTCAGAAGAGTCAGTTGGATACAAGTATCTTGGTGTTTACTGTTTCATGTCTTAGTTCCTGAGTTGGGGGTGGGGTTTGACAGTGAAGCAGTGGTGTAGCTAGAATGTGAACTAAGACAAACTGTCATTATTTTCACTCCAAACTGACCAAGAAGTTGTATTTGCCATTTGTGGCTACTCAAGTCTTACTGTCCAGCCAAGGGCCCCTACAATGTATGAGCCCAGTAGGTTGCTTTAAAAAAAAAAAAAAGACAGCACTCTCATTTATGGATCACATAAAAGATCATTTTTCCAAAAGCAAAAAAAAAAAAAAGAGAGATAGAGAAATTCCCTAAACCCATAGGGGACCAGGAAATACTTAACGGATTATGGATTTCCTGTGAGTGCATATGGCTCGGGGTGACCTGATGCTATAAACCAAATGTTATTGTCCTCCCCAAATTCATGTGTTGAAATCTAATTCCCTGTGTGATGGTATTTGGAGGTAGGGCCTTGGATGGTGATTAAATTCATGAAGGCAGGAACTTTGTGAATGGGATTGATACCCCTATCAAAGGCAGCACAGAGAGCTCCCTCATCTTTTATGTCATGTAAGGACACAGTAAAAAGATGGCTATCTATGAACCAGGAAGCCAGCCCCCTTCAGACACAGAATCTGCTGACCATTTGACCTTGGATTTTACCATCTCCAGAACGGGGATAAATAAATTTTATATGCTACCTAGTCTATGGCATTCTGTTTTGACACCCAGATTAGTTAAGTACCAGCATATCAACTTATACACATAATTCTTGGAAACTTCGATGCCAGGTTCTTTTTCTTTTTGAGACGGAGTCTTGTTCTTGTCACCTGGACTGGAGTGCAATGGCATCATCTCAGCTCACTGTAACCTCTGCCTCCTGGGTTCAAGCTATTCTCCTGCCTCAGCCTCCTAAGTAACTAGGATTACAGGTAACCACCACCACGCCTGGCTAATTTTTGTATTTTTAGTAGAGATGGGGTTTCACTGTGTTGGCCAGGCTGGCCTTGAACTCCTGACCTCAGGTGATCCGCCCACCTCAGCTTCCCAAAGTGCTACGATTACAGGCGTGAGCCACCGCGCCCAGCCAATGCCAGGTTCTTAACAGCAAACATGATTGATCTGCCGGATAAATGAAACTACATTATTCCTCTCTCCACAATAAACCAGAGAGTCAAAACAGGCAAAAGTAAGTCAGGAGCTTCTAAAAGCTATACCTGAAAGGTTTCTAGTAGCAGCTGATTCAATGGTAATTCTCCCAAACAGCCACAACAAAAAGACAACTATCAGAGATTTTCAGGATAGCCTCAAAAACATGATTTAACATTATAGAGTTAAAAAAAGACGTGAAGTTTCCAAAAGCCAAACTTTATTTAAAAGTTTATTTCATAAACTGCTAATTCTAGAGCTATGAAGAAAACCCAGCCAGGGCAGGTGTCAACATGGAGAGCCCAGGGCACAAGAGTTGGGAAGGTTTGTTTTCTGTACCTGTTGGACTCACCCCTTGGTCCCCTCACCCCCTGCCCATCTGTTAAGAAGAGGCCATCCTGGGTGGGATTTCAGGGCAAACAGCCCAGATGCCCACTTGTGGAGAGACCTTCAGGCCTGGAGGAGGAGGCTGCCTCTGTGAGCAGGAGGAGCTGCTAGAACCCTTCCTTGAAGGCTTCTTTTCCTGATCTCAGGCGCCTCATCCATGCAGATACCACCAGCACCAGCAGAAGGAAGCGTTCCTGCAGCAGCAGGACTGTGGCTCTTATGAATGAGAGAAGCCTCTCTCCAGTGAGGGAGAGGAGCCCAGGCTGCACACCCTGGTTTCCGCCTCCATGGCTCCCAGGGTGCCCAGGACTAGGGGCAGTGTTGGAGCTGCTGGCTGGGGCTGTGCTGGCCACCCCCTCTCTGAGGCCAGTGGTGGCAGCAGGTGGCAGGCCGTCAGGCAGCTCCTCGCTGGGATGGTCCTTGGCTGCCCCAATGTAGGGGCAGGAGGGGTGATGTCTCTGCGGGGGGCTCCTCTGATACAGTTGGCTCTGGCTGGACAGCTGGTGCTGGAAGTTCTTGTATTTCAAGTTCTTGTACTTCAGGAGCTGAAAAAGGTGAAAGGGTCACCAATGTGGAAACAACTTCACTGAATTGAAAGGAATTCCGGCCCCAAAATACCGCCCCCACAAAGTCTTCCAGACTGCAGGCCACCTCACCATGTGCCTGTGCCTCCATGTGCTTCAGAATTGCCTGCTGGACAAGGACAGTATTCAGATACGGATCCGATATGCTATCTAGTGAGACCTGGCTTGCGAGGGTCTGCCGTGGGCTGCCCTGTGGCACCTGGGTGCGCCTGTGTCCAAAAGGCCACAGGCGCCTGGGGTGAGGGATGAGCCTTTGTCGGCAGCGACGGAAAAGGCTCTCACTCCCGCCATTTTTGAAGCAGGAGCCTCGATTTGTGGGAATGTAGCATGAGAACATCTTGCTCTCTTGAGTGTCTGCCACCAAGTGAGCTGGCTACAGGGCTGACTCCAGGATATGGGCGCCTGGTTACCAGAGTTCTGAGTTCTGTTTGGGTCTGTCGTCAAGGAAGTGAGGTCAATTCTTTAGGGTTTCGTTTTTTCGGCCCCTTCCTTCCATAAGGCCTACCCAGGACTCCAGTGGGCTGCTGACTGCTTACTCTCTCCCCCAGGTCAACTCCTTGCCTGTATACAGTTAAGTCCACCCAGGGTGTGCTTGGACATCTACGCCTGATATGTTCACCAGAGGCCAGATGTCCTCCTGAGGCCTGATTTCCACCTATGGCCTGATGTCTGCCTTGAGCCTATGTCTCACTTGGGCCTTGTGTTCACCTGGGGACTGATATCCAGCTGGGGCCTGAGGGCCTACTGGGTCTTGTTCACCTGAAGCCTGGTGTCCACTTGAGTTCTGGTGATCACCTGGGACCTAGGTATCAGCCTGGGGCCTGGGTATCCACTTAAGGCTGGATGTGCACCTAAGTCCCGAGTCTTCACCTGGTCCTAGTGATCACCTGGGGACTGGGTGTGTACCTTGGGTCTAATTCCACCTGGACCCTACTTATCTATAAGGCATGGTGTCTCCCTGCAGCCTGATGTCCACATGAGTCTGGTGTTCAACATGGGCCTGCTGTCCACCTGGGGCCTGATGTCTGTCTGGAGTGCTGATGTCCTCCTGAGGTGTGATGATCAGTGGAGCCCAGGAGGTCGAAGCTACAGTGAGCCGTGATTACGCCACTGCACTCCAGCCTGGGTGACAGTGAGAGACCCTGTCTCAAACAAATAAATAAACCAAAAACCACACAAATTATCTAGCTGTATAAAAATATTTTCTTTCTTTATAAACTTATTCTATAAGCTTTTTTCTATTATTTATTTGTTTTTAAACCTTTTTTGTTAAAAACTAAGACACAAACACACACATTCACTTAAGCCTAAGCAGGGTCAGGATCATCAGCATCACTGTTCTCCACCTCCACATCTTTTCCCACTGAAGGTCTTCGGGGGCAGTAACAGGCACGGAGCTGTCATCTCCTATGAAATAATGCCTTCTGGAAACCTGAAGGAACTCCCTGAGGATGTTTCACAGTTAACCTTAAAAAAAAAAAGGTAGTAAGCATATACACTGAAATAACAATAAGAAATATAGGATATTAAATACATAAAACATTAATGTCATTTATTATTTTTATCACACGTTATATACTTTACAAATTGTATGTTCACAGCCACATCACCACAAACATGTTGACATTATGACACCTATGATGTCACTAGACGATGCTCCATTATAATCTCATGGGACTACTGTCTCACATGTGGTTCATTGTTGACCACAATGTTATGCACTACAGGACTGTATTTTGAAAATGGTACAAATACCCTCAGAAATACACGAAAGATGGAACTTGGGGGCAACAAAAGACATGGAAATTTCATTGTATGCCTTATTTTATTACCAGGGAGTTGATATAAATGTCTTTAAGGTTTGAGGTGTTGATTAGTTGGATGAGAAAGATTAGGGAGGAATGGAAAGGAATAAAGAAATGTTATTTTTTTCTGTGATCCTCACATAGTTATTTAATATGGAATCATTTAAATTTCTATAGCTTTGATGAGATAGGTTCATCCTAGATAAATAGATGATAGATCAACAGAGATAGAGATGGGTAGATGGAGAGCGAGAGATGTGATGACGATTCTTCACTTGACCAAACTTTAGTCAGGCTTCTAAACCTTTTCCTAGGTCCATCTGTATTCCGTTGTAAAATTCGTGTTTAGCAAAACCCTCTACCCTGGATGTCTCATCACCCTAGATGTCTGATGGGGCTCCTCATCCCCTGCCATTATATGAACATAATGGAAATTGCTGTGTTTAGGGATTGCTTCCCATCTCATTTTGTCTCCTCACAATTCCTTTTTGGGGGTTGGAGCACAGACTCCTGGAGGCAGTGCTGACCTGGCTCCCATGCTCTGAGCCAAGGGGCCTTGGCTATTCTGACTTCTCTCCACCTCTTGTGTCTTGACCTATATATAACATGGGGAGATTAATAATAATAAATGACTGTTAGGAATTGATACATGTATGCATTGGATGAGTGCCTAGGACATCATAAGTACTGTGTCAATATTGGCTATTATTGTTTCTTCTGTTCTCTCTACAGACTCAATTTCATTCATTAATCCCACTATTGAAGAGCCCTAAGTTGGCCCAAGGCTTCCCTATAGGAAAGCACAGTGAGATGAAGATCTTGGCCCATGTTTTCTGTGGCCCTGTGGTGACACCTGGGGTTCTGTGCTCAGCAGTGGGATCAGGAGTCAGGAGTAATGGGTCAGGAGTAAATACCCATTCTGACCAGCTGTGACAATTTGCTGGTCAGGGGAGCTAGGCCAGGTCACAATTATAGCAGCCATGGGTGAAAGTCCTATTGCCCATATTTTCAGTAGTATTTGACATTATTTGATGTTACACTTCATTCCTGAACAGGAATACATTTAATTTATAGGATGGAATGATTATTTGTGAGTTAGAACATTTTTCTGATGCTTCCAGTTTCTCTGTCTAAAAATGCCTGTTGTTTGCTAATTTTCATTTTGTATTTCCTGGCTGATTTGTAGGAAATCTGTATTGGGTGCTTACTGCTTTCAGTTTTTGGAGACCCAGATAAGCTGTTTGGGATGTACAGGTGTGCAAAAAGAAGCAGTCTTTGTGAAATGGAAGGCTGAGGGGCATTTGGGTTACCTTAGTTTCTACTCTTTCTGCTTTCTTTCTTTTTTTTTTTTTTTGAGATGGAGTTTCGCTCTTGTTACCCAGGCTGGAGTGCAATGGCGCGATCTCGGCTCACCGCAACCTCCGCCTCCTTGGTTCAGACAATTCTCCTGCCTCAGCCTCCTGAGTAGCTGGGATTACAGGCACGCCCCACCATGCCGAGCTAATTTTTTGTATTTTTAGTAGAGATGGGGTTTCCCCATGTTGACCAGGATGGTCTCGATCTCTTGACCTCGTGATCCACTCGCCTCGGCCTCCCAAAGTGCTAGGATTACAGGCTTGAGCCACCGTGCCCTCTTTCTGCTTTCATTAAGAACTCTGAATATGTTCTCATTGTTTTCAAGTATGGGTAGGACTAGGATACCATTCCCCACCTTTTACTTTTGCAGATAAGATAGAAGATACTTATCTTTAGAGTTTTTTACTTGAGCCACTTGGAGCAGTTTGTTACTTGTAACCATTAGAATTCTATCTAGCTGGCTGGCACAGTGGCTCACGCCTGTAATCCCAGCACTTTGGGAGCCCAAGGTAGGAGGATGATGAGGTCACAAGTTCAAGACCAGCCTGACCAATGTGGCAAAACCCCATCTCTACTAAAAATACAAAAATTGACTGGGCATGGTGGCATGCACCTGTAGTCCCAGCTACTTGGGAGGCTGAGTCATGAGAATCTCTTGAACCCAGGAGGTGGAGGTTGCAGTGAGCTGAGATCGTGCCACTGTACTTCAGTCTGGGTGATGAAGCAAGACTCTGTCTCAAAAAAAAAAAAAAATTGTCTAGAACAAGTCAAGAACCCACAGAAGAGATGAAAATTTCAATGGGCTTTGAATAATTAAACAACTCTTAAGTCTGGGCTTTACAGTTTATCAGCTAAATCTGTGACTTTACAAAAGGAGCTTGAGCTTTAGCGTCACAGGCAGCTTTGAAATGACAACTCTTACATCACTTCTTTATGATCTTGCAAAAGTTACTTATTTGTAAAGTCTAAATGATTCCTACTAATTCTTGCAGGGTTGTTACAAGAATTAAACTAAACTTATAAACATTTATATGGACTGTTAACTCGGTGGTTTGCAGTAGGTCCATGGAGATGGCAGCTGTTGTCATTCCCAAGTATGTAGTTGTAGCTATGTGAATGGGAGAAGGGAACTAATCTTCAATCCTGCTCCCTCCCGGTAACTTAATGGGGTTTTGTTGGAGACATTTTATATTTCCCAACATTTTAAGAGTGGCTTTATATATTGGGGTGTGTGAGTCTGTGGGCATGTGTGCATGTGTGTGTGTTTGGCAAGGGTGTTGTTTGACCGTCTTCCCCGCTTTCCTATTGACGTTGTATTCACCATTTCATGGTTATTAATCAAGCATGCAATATGAGATCAACAGGAGTGGCAAGTTGGTCAGGCCGCCAACCAAGACCTCGAATATTTGGTTCATTTGCCAACCACGTTTATTCAGGAATTCTCTTTATGGATGTGGAATCGGTTTAAAGACAGACGAAGAAAGCTTTGGTGTTTTAAAACTGCTGCCTGGGGATTTTACTGGGTGTAGGTGTTTTCCTAAAACTCTGATGAAAGCAAATCTTATAAATGATAGGCTTCAAATGTTATTTCACATAGTGACTTCGAGTGACATGTACAATTACTAATATTGAGAAGTAACTTTCTGAAAAGTTGTTAAGTCTTTCGCTTCTCTGCCATTGACAAATATTTAGATTTTCTATCTAACCCAAAGGACACAAAATATCAAGTAGACTTTTACTGAGAGTAAGAAACTGAATCCTCTAACTTATCGTTGGCTAAACTGGTGTTCCCTAGAGACTTGGGAGATGAGCTTTGTTCCATGAAGTCTATCAATGACACAGACGTTTCTTTCATCTTGTCACATTGTGAGTTTTAGCAATGGTCAGCATGGTTTAGTCCAAGGTTGTCAAGGAATGGGAAGAGGGAGACAGTGGGGTGAAGTCATGGAGAGCACCTTGTACTTACTTCCATGAGAATCTCTACTGGGCAGTGAGTGCCTCTAGGCAGCACTGGTGTCTGCTTGCATAGACAGGGCTGGAGAATCGGGCAGCTGTGCTCCCCAACTCTTTCGTGCTTGAGTTTCTGGTATAAATATTTTATGTAGGCCTCCCGCAGAAGTCTCCTTTCTTTGAATTTCAGGCCACACTGAGAATTTGGTGACCTGAGGTGCCCAGTGAGCACCTTCTGGCTCATCGAGACTGTCCAGTGTGCTTACCTTCCCATTAAGTAAGTGGTGAGTCAAGGACAGCAAAATAGGGATTAGCTTCCCGCCTATGTTCAAGCCCTAATTAGATACCCACATTCTCTCTCTGCCTTCCCTGTGTTGCCTGAGTGGAGTGACTGCTGGTCACCCACAATTAATTATCAAGGGGCTGAAGAGGGTTCCACCTGGTTGTCCACTGAGGTGCTCTCTGTCCACACCTTTGCCATGTGCACACCTCTTTCAGTGATGTGAGGAAGTGAAGGGGTTTCTGTGGCCCACACCCCATACTGGGGAGGCAGCCAGGAAGACGGGCTTTGATTGGCACCCTTGCTGGGCTATCTTCAGAGCTGTGGGTGGACTTCTTTGCGGCAGCTGTGACGCTGCCCTGCAGCATGAAGGCTTGTGATGATGGGCTGGGCGTCTCCCTCCCACACAGAGAGAAATGACTTTAGGTATTAAGAAAGTGAAAAGCTTGGAATAATTGGTTAGGAAGCTAAGTAGCAGCAGGGAAAGAACTGTCAAAAAAAAAAAAGGTCATTTCGCTCTCTTCCTTTCTCCGCTGTTGTGGTGTGTGCTTTACTCCATTTCTCGCCATGTCTTCTCACAAGACTTTCAGGATTAAGCAGTTCCTGGCCAAGAAACAAAAGCAAAATCATCCCATTCCTCAGTGGATCAGATGAAAACTGGTTATAAAATCAGGTACAACTCCAAAAGGAGACATTGGAGAAGAACCAAGCTGGTTCTACAAGAAATTACACATGAGATGGCACACACATTTATGCTGTCTGAAGGTCACAATCGTGTTACATTTTCAAGCTGGAAAATGTCACCGCTATCCAGAGAAGTTTGAACAGAGTTTTCTCTCTGGATCTGTTATGAAGGCGTTGGTTGGCTGGGTTCAGTAATATGTGAGCCCTTTTCACTTCTTTAACAAAAAAAGTCATTTCATGGGAGTTATAGCAGAAAACATTTAAGGTTGAAAAATCAAAGCCATGTGGCTGGTGCTAGTGTGTTCACGTGAGCTTGCACACGCTCACGTTTTAGGCATCCCTTTGCTCTGCCCCCTACTCAGATCCCCACCTGCCATGTCTTTTGCCTGGGGCATTCCTGGGAAATATGTCCAAAAGCAGTCTGATGAGCTGATCCACATAAGGCTCCACTTGTGGCAGGCAATGTAATATGTTAGTGTCTTATCCTCTTCTGGCCTCCACAAGACCCGTTTTTCAGAAGAATCTTTTCTTTGGCCAGGAAGGTTATTTTCTTTGTGGTGGGGAAAATTCTCTAAGCCTGGGGAGCAGTTGCACTGGTGGGATCTCAGAGATGCAGGTCAGCAGTGCAGGGACCTTAGGAAGGAGGTGTCCGTGTACTGGCCTGAGGGCTGGTCCAGCCCACACGCAGGCACAGACCAGTCATGCACAAACACCTGCCTGCAGTTGTCAGACTCGAACTCCAGGGTGGCTTCCTTTGTGGGGGTGCCGGTCCCAACATACAACATGGCAGGTGTGTTTGTTTCCCGTGGCCACTGTAACAAGTTGCCACAAACTTAGTGGCTTAAAACAGCACATCTTTGTTTTCTGATCGGTCTGGAGGTTGAGAGTCCAAAATGAGTACGACTTTGGGCGCAGCAGCTTCCTCCTGAGGTCCTGGGGGAGAATCCCCTCTCCACTGCTTGCAGACTCCAGTGGCCACCTGCCTTCCTCAGCTCAAGCCTCTTCTGTCACCACTACAGTCTCTTGCTCCTGTTGTCACGTTTTCTTCTCCTCTTTGTCACATTTTCCTCTGTCTCCCTGTTAGATCAGAATCTGGATGCCTTTTTGTTTCATTTTTTATTTTTTAGAGATTGGGTTTTGCTTTGTCACCTATCCTGGAGTGCAGTGGCATAGTCATAGCTCACTGCAGCCTTGAACTCCTGGGCCCAAGTGATCTTCCTACCTAACCCTTTAAAGTAACTGGGATTACAGGTGCTCCGGTGTGAACTCAGCAGGGCTGTTCAGGGGAATTCAGCAGGGCTAAGTAGGACTTGTGGGAGCTGCTGCCAGGTATGCGGTATAGGCATGAGAAACGGAAAAAGGAAGACGGGGCCACCAGAGACTGCTCTGATGGACACACAATCCCCACCCGGATATCAGTGTCACCGCCTTCCAGAGCATTTGTGTTTTCAGTGTGAAGCAGGATCAGGGAATGTCATTATAGGAAAAGACCTGGAAGAGCCAGCCCCCTCCACAGGTGGGGGCGATGGAGAAGTGACTTATGCCCCAGTTTGTAGAGCCTGGGACTACAAAGCTTTGAAGGTTGCCCTGACTCAAGTCAACTTGGGAGCTGAGCCCCTCAGTGTGTAGGCGGCATCGGATACCATGCCTGGCCTCCTGTTCACTGATTCAGCCCCAGGGGGAGAGGGGGAAATGGAAAATACTCCTTGTCCTTGAGCAGTGTTGTGGTGTTGTTGAGACTGGTTTTGTGTTTACTTCTCACTTGTGAGGTACAGACAGGTTTGGTGACCCCCAGCTCTCCCAGAAAAATCCTGACTTTGGGCAAGTTACTACTCCCCTCCTGGGACCATTTTAATAATTAAATACAGACACAGTGAGGATGCTAGCCCTGTGGTTGGTGTGTGAACAAGCCCGTGGGACACAAAGGTGAAGGGACAGGGACAGAGCAGGTGGATGAGGAGAGAGACTCCCTGGAGCCACAAGGCTCTGAAGGACTGTGCTGTCCCAGCTGTGACCCACCTCAACCAGCTGCACTGAGGCAGGCTTGTCCCTCGGGGGCAGAAGGGTCTTACAGCCACGACCCATCCCCCACTCTCAGTCCTTCCTCAGGTAGCTAATGCTTGCTTTCGGGCTTCTGTGTGTTCTCTGCCTCGATGGAAGGGTGATAGACAGGCTTCTCCTCAAAGTCTAATAAGCAGTGAGTCATTGTCTTCCTCTGAGCCCAGGAGTGTTACACCTGGTGCCCGGGGGTGCTTTGTGATGCCTAGGCCTCAGCTGAGAAGCGGTGGTGCTGGGGTTCATTAGTGGTGTCCCCTGTCTGTCTGCAGGGTGTGGTAGCTGTCTTGGGGTGGAAGTCCAAGGCTCACTTCCTCCAGATACCAAGTACAGATTTTGGAACCAGCCTCTGTGATCAGTGCAGAAGTAAAAAGAAACCACACACCAACCACAGTGCTAGTGTCCTCACTGTGTTTCCATTTAATCCTTAAAATGGTCCCATGAGAATAGCAGTAAATTGCCCGAAGTCAGGGTTTCTCTGGGAGAGCTGGGGGTCTTGCATTGAGCCACAGGTTGAAGACCTGGTGGGTGGAGCTGCTCTGGCTCCATTCCTATTCAGTGAGCTGGGGCCCAGGCACCCCTCTGGTCTGAGGGTTTTGGAGCCTTACCTGGTTAATGTTTGAAGATCTCAGATATGCTAGGATGAACTGGAGCAGGTCTTTACTCCTCTGCCAGGCGATGGGCAGTAACGCTGTCAGGTGGCCGACACCTGTGGAGCGTGTCAGCCACAGGGGAGCACAGAGCCAGGAGTTCTCTTGACTTCATCCCCCAAGGCAGCAGAGGTTTGGAGATCTAGGGGGTAGTGGGCGGAGGTTGGGGGGTTGGCTTGCATCTGGATATGGAGGACATGCTTGCCTCACCCTGACTTCTAGCAGGTTGTCAACAAGAGACCCACCCATGTATTCTGGTCCCAGCAGCAGACCCAGACGCCGCTCTAGTTGTACCTGAAGGGGCTATGAGAATGGTAGGTGTGGGGAGGTCTGGGAAGGAGGGTCTTTGGGGACATAGTCCAGCCCTCACCTTTGACAGATGAGGAAACCAGAAGGCAGTTAGGGTCTCCACTATCACTTCCAGTATGTTTCAGAGACAGATGCTGCCTGCCTCCCTGCAGCAGCTCTCCCTGCCCAGACTGGTGTGAACAGGGCAGTTCTCAGCGAGCTGTGAGCAACTGAGAGACACTCCTCATGGCCCAGCCCAGCAGATGCCCAAGTGTGTAGCAGCTGCTGGGTGACTAGGGTCTGAATGGAATGTGTTGTCCAGGGTCAGGCAGCTGGTTGTCCCAGAACCATGGCTGGACAACTGAGCCTCGTCCAGCCACATCCCTTGTGGCCCTCCTGGCCCTGCCTCTCTAAGCAGTTCTCCCCCAGGAAAAGCCAAGGGTGCAAAGCAGGGGGGAGGTGAGAGGCTCTGATGAGAGATGTGGACTTGCAGTGGGAGAGAGGTGGGAAGTGTGTTGTGAGAATGCCTTGGATTTCTTGTTTCTTGGGGGCTACATTCCAAGATGGAGAAGAGAACACTATTTGTGCTCTGAGAAAAGGTTAAGAAAACAGTCCTGCTTCAGTGAACCTGGCAGCATTCTATATAAACATCGACATCTGGGAGAGAGGTGCAGTTGAATATTGTTGTAAATGGACTTGTGCTCTTTTCGGGTGGTGCTGTGGCGACCCACACTACAGGAGGGGTGTGGAAGCACAGCGTCAGGCCAGGGCCCTCTGTGGGAACAACCGCTTACCTCCCTGAGCCCTGCCTGGCTTCCTTTGTTTGACTGCCTGTACCATCTTGTTGCTTTTTCCACCATATTCCCCATGGCATCCTCTTTCTCCTCTGAAGATGGGCGGCGTAAGCCCTACAAAATGAGGCAGATACCTGGAGCCTCATTCATATCATGCATGTGACCAGACTTCAGCTTCCTCTTTCTCATGGTCCAAGGGGGGTGTTATAGTTGTGTTAAATGTGCAGCACTAGAATTTTAGGGAGGGGGAATGGCTATGAATACGTCAGGTGCACTTAGTCATCTGCTTGACTTTTACTAGGCACTAGGCTGTGCAGAATATGTCACTATGACAGCCACGTCCTTGAGGGTCAGGTTAGGAAGGTGGACACTTCTAATCTCTAGTCCCTCCCTTCTTAGCATAGTGGGAGTGGGACGAGGGAGAAGCCAGAGCGCAGTTGGTGGGAATTCTCAAAGGCTTCCCTTACCCTTTTCTTCTTCCTTGCTTGCTCCTATTCACCATTTTTCTCTCCCTCAGCCCATGGGATGAGACCCTGCACCGAGCTCCCTCACTGTGTTTCTGTTGCTGAAGTAAATGCAAGCCCTGTCCTTTCCAGAGCTGGAAAGGAGAGTCAAGTTTTCCTCCTGGGATCATTTCACCCTTGTTCTCTCTGTCTCCTACAGAGACTCTGCAGGGAAAGACAACTTAGGTAATGTCAGAGGACATCCAGCTTGTGTTCTAGGACCACAGCCTCACCCTTCTGCCGTGGCCCTTACTGGAGAGTACTCCCCACTGAGGAGAGTACCACGGCAACACCAGGGGTCATAGTCTGTGGAAAGGAATAGACATGCAAGTGTGCATTTACTGTTTGTTCTGTCACTCACCAGCCATTTGAGAAGTCCTGAGTGCTGCGAGGCACCCTGTGCAGTAACTTGAGGGCTGGGGAAAGAGGGTAAGAGGGCTGCTATATAGAACTTTAGCCTTAGATAACACATTTGAATTTTGGTTAAACAAGTGGCAGTTTTGGCTATGCTGGTTTCCTCCATATATTGTTAGCCTTTTCCTGGCTGAGAGAAGAGCATTTGCCTAGTTTTAGAACACATCAGTCATTTGGTTTAAACTTTATATTTCCCCCAAAGTCACGTTTGAATTGTAACAGCCTTGGAGGCTTGGAAAGGATCTTTGCATAGCCTCTGCATGGACTCTCCTGTAGTGGATGCCCTGTCTGAGGAGTTTGACTTAGGGAAACAGTCTTTATTTCCAATGAAGAATTTAATATGTGAACCCACTTAAAGAGAAGTGAGAACTGCTTGACCTGAGGACCTTGGGAGCAATCTCTCAGACCCCTTAAAACTTACTCTGTTTTCTCATTGGTGTGATAGTGGGGCAGCAGTTTGTTGTTGTTGTTGTTGGTACTGTTTCTGGCGGAGGGGAGGTTATAAGATGTACCCATTTTTTCTCCCTATTGTGCAGTATTTACCCTTGGAGCTTACTGTGCTCCCTGATATATTTGAAAGGTGAAAATGGGCCAGATGGGAATTTTAAAAGCATCGAGGGGCTTTACTTTTTTTTTTCTTTCTCCAAAACAGTGTACGTTCAGTAGTTTAAAAAGTCAGATATGTAACCACAAAGCTTATACTAAAAGAGTCTCTTGCTCTATTTCTTCTTACTCCTGAGTCCTGTTCCCAGAAGAAGCCATTCCAGCTCTTCTAGCCAGAATATTCCGGTGCCTACTTCTGTGTTTGTAAATAACTGGTTTTTACTGCTACTTCTTGAGTTTTAGGAGATATTATCTATTGGTTTTTATACACCATAGATAGGATTTAGCTCTTTCTCCTGCCCCACTACCCTTGTTTTTCCTGGTAATATTGCTCGCAGAGCCAGCCATTCTCGTGTTCCAGACTGGCTCTGGCTGTCCTCTGGGCTGGCTGCATGGTCCTCCATCTGGGCTTGACCTTCACCTTCATCCTGGGAGGTGTCTCCCCACCTCGCCTTCCCCCAACCCCTTTTTTGTTTGTTTGTTTACTTCATTTGGTGAAACCTTTTGAGAAAGGCACAGAGAGGAAAGGTTTTGTGGCCTTGCCTGTCTCAGGTTGCCTGTCCTGTGCACACTCTTGACCAGCAGCTGGACTGGCTCTAGAATGTTAGATGGGACATAATTTTGCCTTGGAATTTTGAAGGTGTCGTTCATTTTTAACTTCATCATTGCTATTAAGAAGTTCATGTGCAAGGGTCTGATTCTTGATCCTTTGCAAATAAACTGAATTTTCTCTCTGAAAACTTTTAGGTGCTTCTCTTTATCCCTTGAGTTCTGCAATTTCATGAAGATATGCCTTGGTGTGGATCTGTTTTCTTTTATTAAGATAGATGCTTGTGTGTATTTCAGTGTGAGAAGTTCTGACCTTCTGGTCCAGAATGTGTCTTGTATTTTCTTCCTCTGGTAATTTCTTTCCTTCTTTTTCACTTTAGTTTTTTTTTTTTTTTTTTTTCTTGTTTTTTTGGTTATCGGCTTTTTTACTTTAGTTTTTAAAACTAAACTCATCATCTCTCTCCTTTCCTCATTGCCTTTTTTTTTTTTTAATGGAGATAGAGTCTTGCTCTGTCACCCAGACTAGAGTACTGTAGCACAATCTTGGCTCACTGCAACCTCTGCCTCCTGGGTTCAAATGATTCTCCTGCCTCAGCCTCCCAAGTAGCTGGTGTTACAGGTACCTGCCACCACACCTGGCTAATTTTTGTATTTTTAGTAGAGAGAGGGTTTTGCCATGTTGGCCAGACTGGTCACGAACTCCCGACCTCAGGTAATCCACCTGACTTGACCTCCCAAAGTGCTGGGATTACAGGTGTGAGACACCGCACATGGCCAGTTTTTTTGAAACAGGGTCTCACTCTGTCTACCAGGCTGGAGTGTAGTGGTGCTATCACTGCTCACTGTGGCCTCAACCTCCCAAACTCAAACAGTCCTTCCTTCTCAGCCTCCCAGGTAGCTGGGACTACAGGCATGTGGCTCCACGCCTGGCTAATTTTTGTATTTTTTGTAGAGATGGGAGTATCACCATGTTTCCCAGGCAGGTCTGAAATGCCCGGACTCAAGCGATCTGCCCACCGTGCCTGTCCTGGTAATTTCTTTTATTTTTTCTGGTCTTTGCTTCTGGAACTACTGTTATTTGGCTATTAGTTCTTCTGACTAGAGTCTCTAATTTTATTGTGTTTTTGCGTAGCTCCTTTGTGCCTGAGGTTGCATTAACCTTGCCTTCTAACCCTTCTGTTAGGGTTTGGTTCCAGCTATTGAATTCTTAATTTCTTAGAGCTTGTTTTGTGTTTTCCGTGTGTCCTCTTGTAGCATCCTGTTTGTGTTTCATGGATGCAGTATTTTCTCTAATCATTTCAGTTATTTTGAAGTTGTGTTCTGTCTCTGGTCTGACTTTCATTCTCTTAGTACCCTTTCTGTTTGTTTTGGTCTTGGGCTGTCTTAAATGAGTGTTGACCCTTCAGAAGGAGACTGTGTGTGTATTTAGGGTATGTGTAGAAATGTCGACAGGTAGGCCTTGCCTTAGAAGGACAGGCAGGCAGGGCACTGGTTTGTTTTGGGAGAGACCCTAGAATGTCCCCAGGTATAAGCCCTCTCATATCCATTACATGGAGAATGACAGTTTTAGGAGATCTTTCTCTGGGCTAGTTGGTTTCTCTGATAGGAATTCTCTCATCTCCATTTTAGGGAGACATAGCTATGGGCAGCAGAAGGACTGGGGATGAGGGACTCAACTTTTAGGATGCAGACTTTCTTGGACCCTTCCTGCTGTTAGTCCTTCACCTCTACCTCGCCTGCCCCCTCAGCTGTGCCTGCTGCCCCTGACTCTAGGGAAGCCCTCTGTGCTGGCCAGTACGTAGGATTCTCTGGCCAGAGCCAGGCCCTGGGATCTGCCTGCTCTTGTATGGGTGCTGATCATTCCTCCTGCTCTCAGCCCTGCCCCTGCTGTGGGAGTCCCCTAGAGCCCCCAGGCCCTGAGCTTTCTCATGTCTGTAGCAGTGCCAGACTGCCTCCTCCTGGCTGTCCTCGGGAAGCTTCGTTCAAGCCACCAGGCCACTTTCCATGTATCCGCCACTTCCCACTCAAAATTTACTTGATATCTCATATCTGCTCTTGTCTCATCTCCAGCTTTTTATCCTTGAGATTTTATACCTTTCCCCCAACTTGATGGTCATATTAATTAGGGTTTTAGCAGAAAATTGAACTTTCTGATATGTTCAGTCACCTGTGTTTAACTGGAGGCCCCCCTGTGTGTCAGGAACCGGCCTGCAGCCTATTGACACATGTTGGTGTCCACCATGGCACATTGTGCCTCTCACCCACCTGTTTCAATGCCACTGTTCCCTGTCCTTTCCTACACTGTTCCCTGTGTGGGTCATATCGTTGCAGCTCTTTGTGTGTGCTTGGCAGGGTATATGTGCGTGTGTGAGTGTCAATGCACATGCCTTCCAGGGGACCTGTGTGTGTTGGCATCTTGCATTAAATGTACCATCCATAATTTTCTCTAATAACTTGGAGTAAATTTTATGAGGAAAAGATACTTTCATAAATAGTTGAAATTCCAGATTCTTCTAGTTGGAAACCCTAGGGTTAATGATGATTGCTATTCCAGAAAGGTTGGAGGGAGAGGAGACAGTTTCTCATTTCCCTCTGGTGAATAAGGCCATTCACTGTTGTGTCCCAATCACCTACCTGGGATTAACAATAAGGCCCTTGTTGTTTTGGACTGGACAGGTTCCACTCCTGGAATATCAAGGCAGCTGATACTCTGGCTGCCTTAAGGAATACCATCAGGGAGATCTGGGGCTCGGCCCTATCCTTACCCAGGGCCACAGAGCACTGATATATTTTCCTTTTCCTCACTCCAAATGTCTTCCCAGTAACTCTCTTTGGGGCCTAGGGAAACCAAGGTAACTTGGAATCATTCACCCATTGCTGGCTTGCTCTGTGCCTCAGGGGGGCTTGAAGGTGGAAAATAAATATGAAAAAGTGTCCTTGCCTTCTAGAATCTCGTTGGGAAGACCAATGGGCCAGCCATCACAGGGAGCATAAGCACTGAGACAGGCACACGTGCCTGCCCAGTATCATAGGCAGGCTGGCAGCCTTGCAACTCCCTGGGGAAAAACAATCTAGGAACAGTTTGGGGTGTGGAGCAGGGAGGGAGTGCCCCATGTAAAAGGCAGGATCAGCGAAAGCAGTGGGACTAAAGAAGCAGTGATTTCCCCCTAATGTCAGAAGTAAAATAGGTTCATGGTGAAAATTTGGGAAAACAGAAAAGCATGCAGCAAACAAAGTTGCGCATTAAACCCTACCTGGAGATAAAAATCTGTTTATATTGTGGTTATGTATCTATTCTCGTATGATGTGTATTTGTATACTTACATAAGACCTAAAAATAAGAATTTAAAAATAAACCAGTTATTTTTAATAAGAATTTTCTGGCCAGGCATGGTGGCTCATGCCTGTAATCCCAACACTGTGGTAGGCCAAGGTGGGCAGATCGATTGAAGCCAGGGCTTCCAGGCTGCAATGCACTAGGATTGCACTACTATACTCCAGCCTGGGTGATAGAGGGGGACCCTGTCTCTTGAAAAACCAAAACAAATTCTGTCTCATAGTTCCTTTCCTATCCTTCTACATATGGTCTTTAATAGCTACACCGCATTCCATTGGGTGGCTGTATCTGATTCCTTTGTTTCGTACTTTTGGATGTACAAGCTGTTTTTAAATTTTTACTTTGTTAGTGTAGTGCTTCAGAGAATATTCCTGGAAGTAAAGTTGCCAGTGCAAAGTTCCAAGCATGTTTGAGACAGCTGGTAGTTACCTGTCTCCAGAACCAACCTACTCCCAACAGCAGCAGGAGGCACCCAGGGTCTCTCACTGTCCTATTTTCCTTTCTCCACATCCTTCCCTCAGATTTGTCTGACTTTTCCCTAGGCTGTCGAGAGATGCTTTTTGAGTGAGGCACCACACAGATGTTTAAGACTAAATTTGTGGTCTATGAGAAATGAGGTACCCTGACCCATTGGAAGCCTGCAGATAATTGAAAAATCTTATTTTAGATCCCGTTTCATTCTTCCAACCATCAAACCAGAGCCAGCAGCAAAGGAAACTGGGTGATGGGCCTTCACCCAGCCCCCACACTCCCGTTACCTTTCTGCGCTGCTTCTGTCAAGAGTGGGCCGCTGGAAGTTTCCTGCTGGAGCCAGGCACCAGGGTCCCAACGCCAAGTAGTAGGATTCACCCATCTTTTGATAAGTGAGGAAACCACTAGGCAGCAGGAGGAAAGGGTAAAGCAGTCACAGGGAGCTCAGCACTCAGCCTCAACCTCTTTCTCTAGAACCTATGCCTGCCCACTCCACCTCCAAGGCCCCTTACTCTCCACCACCCCATTTGGCCTTTTGGAATTGGGACTAGAATGTTTCAGGCTCCAGAAGGCCACTGCCTGCCTACTTCCCATGTCTCTAAAAATATCTGCGAGTCTCTTCCCACCCAGGCCTGTCCCCACAGAGCCCACTTCTCTCCCCCAGTCCTCAGCTCAGGGAGGAAATAAGATCTCCCTCTCTTTCCAGGCTTAGAATGGAATAAATAAGAAAGGCTGAGTTTCCAGAGTTGAAAGAGAAGGGCTGCCTTTGTTGGGTCTGGAGGGCTGGCATGGCATTGGTGCAGGCCCACACTCAGAGGAGGGAATCAAGAAAGAAGGAAGGGGAAAGGAGCAAGAACCCCATTCTCCTCTCTGCATTTGAGATGGCCGAGAGAAGCCAGGCCCTGTTGTGGGTCCCCGGTGGGAAAGAAGCCAGCTCCCAAGCCCCAGCCACGCCTGGTCAGCACAGGCGAAAGGAGTCTGTGGGAAGCCTCCAACCTCCAGGCAGCCTGCAGCCCCTGGAGCTTTCTCAGGCATTCCTAGATTGGGACAGAGGCTCAGACCCCTCCCTGCCCCCCCACCCCTTCCACCCCTGAATTGGATGCCTGCCTAATAGAGGCTTTATTTATCTCCACATTTTCCCAGCTCTGTATAAAGAGACAAGCACGTGGGTGAGGCCTACAGATATTCCAGAAGCGGGGTGGTGGGGGGGATGAAGAATACGCAAGGATCTGTTTCTGCTATCCCCTAGGGGGGCTTTGGAGGGAGGAAGGGGGGCTAGGGCAAAGGGTGGCTGTGCAAAAGTCTTTTCTTTCATTTTCCCCCACTCAGAAACCCAAAAATAGCCATGTCAGAGGCACACACACATTGCAAATAGCAGCTGAGAAGAGCCAGCTGAAAGCCATTTGCTTCTCCCTCCCTCTCTCCTCCCTGGACGCACTCCCCTTCCTCTGCAGTCCCCTTCTTTTGAAGCTCTTGCTGGACCAACCAGTCCTGCAGCCTTGTAGGGTCCAGCACCTCCCTCGGGTAACTGAGTTGCATCTAAATTCACTTAACAGGTGGCCACATCTTTTTGTGAAAACACACGAGGAAATGTGAAAAGTCCTCCTTTGGTTTGCTTTTCTTGCAACCATGAATTTTCCTACTAAGATTCCTTAAAGTGAAACAAACCTATAGCTAAAATGTAGGTAGGAGGCCAGGAACAGTGACTCAGGAGGCCAGAGTGGGAGAGTCATTTGAGGTCAGGAGTTCAAGACCAGCGTGGGCAACATAGCAAGACCACTGTCTGTACAAAAATTTTAAAAATTAGCTGGGTGTGGTGGTATATATCTGTAGTCCCAGCTACTTGGGAGACTAACACCAGAGGACCTCTTAAGCATGGTAGTGGGAGTCTGCAGTGAGCCCTGATTACACCACTACAGTCTAGCCTGGGAGAAGAGAGGGAGATCCTGTCTCTTTTTTTTTTTTTTTTTTAAGTGTAGACAATAAAAAAAATATAAAGATTGGATTTGATCTCAAGCCAAGAGGAGTGGACATATGCAAGATAGCAAATGCCATGAAAATGGTCTGCTGTTCCAAGTATTTTTCCCAATTATAAAACCAACATATGTATTGTTCAAATTTTGTAAAAAGTGTCAATTTTGTGAAAATAGGTAACCACAAAGATGAAAAGATGTTCTCCAGGAAGCATCCTTCCAGGTGGCACATCTCCACTTGATGTCACTTGGGCCGGTTGATAGAAGGCAAAGGGACATTTATCCTTGTGGGGTGATCTTCTCCTGAGATGGCACTGGGAAGGGAGGCCAGTCTTTTGGAGGCCCTTTGGTAGCTCTGACCAGGCTCTACCCTGCACTGTAGCTATCCTGAATAGAGGTTTGAATAGAAGGGTACAGGTTTAGCATTGAGTTGGAAACACGTTAATTTGGAAGCCTACACTTCCCCATCCCAAAGAGATGGGGACTTGAGATCCAAGGTTTCCAGAGTGCCTTGGTACCCCTCCTGAATCACCCAGTTCAGTCTGGCTTGGGGTACAGGCTGCAGTGCACAAATGGTTCTTGGAAAACATGGCATAACTGGCCCAGTGAGTCTAAGGTGCAGAGGCCAGATTCATAGCTCATTTCAAGCTGGACTTTTTTTCCCTTGTCTAACCAGTCAAAACAAACGAAATTGGATTAGTATGTCTTCAAGCAGTTTGTCAAAAAATATATAACTTGTGTGTGTGTGCGCGTGTGCGTGTGCGTGTGTGTGTGTGTGTATTTCAGTTCTCCCATCTGTTAGCTCAGGGATTGCCAGTGCCCAAGTGCTCAGGCAGGTTGATGGCTTGTCAGGAACTGGCTGCACAGCAGGAGGCGAGCAGCAGGCAAGTGAGGCTTACCGCTCAAGCTCCATCTCTTGTCAGCATTAGATTCTCATAGGAGCATGAAGCCTATTCTGAACTGGGCATGAGAGGGATCTAGGTCATGTGCTCCTTATGAGAATCTAATGCCTGATGATCTGTCACTGTCTCCCATCACCCCCAGATGGCACCATGTAGTTACAGAAGAACAAGCTCAGGGCTCCCACTGATTCTACATTATGGTGAGTATGTGATAAAGTGCACAATAAATGTAATGCACTTGAATCATCCTGAAACCATCCATCCATTCCCCCCCACCCTGGAAAACCTGCCTTCCATAAAAGTGGTCCTTGGTGCCAAAAAGTTTGGGGAACGCTGCATTAGCTAACCTTGAACAGTTTTGCAATCTCACGAAACCTAAATTTCCTCATTTGCAGAATGTGGAGAATAATAACAGTTTTTTAGGATAACTATGGATTTAAACCAGAACTCAGTAGAGTGCTATATCCTGTCTTCTCTACCACCCTTCTGCTTCACTCAGGGAATTTATCTTAAGAGTTGGGAAGAAGGCAGGGGAACCTTCTGCTGTGTCCTGCTGCACTGTGTGATCCTCTGAGCAAGGGAGAGGCTCACTTCACCCTCAAGAAAGTCCCTTCCTGGTCTCAGGCCCAGTGATACCTGCCAACTGGTTAAGAAGCAGAGTTTAACATTTCAGTAATGTTACGTCCAGATTTTGAGAAAGAAAAGGCTGGGCACAGTGGCCCATGCCTGTAATCCTAGCACTTCGGGAGGCTGAGGCAGGTAGATCACCAGAGCTCAGGAGTTCAAGACTGGCCTAGCCAACAGAGTGAAACCCTGTGTCTACTAAAAATACAAATATTAACCGGATGTGGTGGTGGGCACCTGTAATCCCAGCTACTCGAGCTGAGCCTGACACAAGAGAATTCGCTTGAACTCGGGAGGTGGAGGTTGTAGTGGTCGAGATCACACCACTGCACTCCAGCCTGGGCAATAAGAGTGAAACTGTATCTCAAAAAAAAAAAAAAAAGATTAAAAAAAGAAAGAAAAAATATATACAAACACACACACACAGTTACTTGAAAAAAAAAAAAGCTTCAGCAACATTAAACAGTAGTGTAGACAGCAGTGAGGATATTTTCCTGCCTGAGAATTATTTCCTGAGGATAGAGTTCTAGAAATAGAACAGAAAAAGCCAACAGCTGTAGGTCCTGCTGTGGCCCCTGTGGCAGGTGTAACAGCTATAGGTCCTGCTGTGGCCCCTGTGGTGGGTGTAACAGCTGTAGGTCCTGCTGTGGCCCCTGTGGTGGGTGTAACAGCTGTAGGTCCTGCTGTGGCCCCTGTGGTGGGTGTAACAGCTGTAGGTCCTGCTGTGGCCCCTGTGGTGGGTGTAACAGCTGTAGGTCCTGCTGTGGCCCCTGTGGTGGGTGTAACAGCTATAGGTCCTGCTGTGGCCCCTGTGGTGGATGTAACAGCTATAGGTCCTGCTGTGGCCCCTGTGGTGGGTGTAACAGCTATAGGTCCTGCTGTGGCCCCATTGCAGGTATATAGACTGCTCAGGCAGCTGCAGTTCTAATGCCCTTTCCAGGTCATGGATTCCCTTCAAGCCATTCCCAAAAAGTCTGCCTGCCTTAGCTCACCATCCCGTTGTCCAGGAGGTCAGGCTTGGCCTAAAGGAGGACTGGCTTACTCTTGGCTCAAATGTCAGCCTCAGGGAGCTGAGGGTTGAGGACTAGGAAACGTCTAGGTAGATGTAGTCCTCTGGCTTCTAGGCTTCCCTTTCCTATCTTTATTATTATTTTTAATTGTTTTTATTTTTAAAAAATAGAGACAGGATCTCCCTATGTTGCCCAGGCTGGTCTCGAACTCCTGGGCTCAAGCAATCCTCCCGCCTTGGCCTCCCAAAGCACTGGGATTACAGGCATGAGCCACCGCACCCAGTCTCCCTTCCTGTCTTTATGGGCCACTCCTGTCTGCTTTGGCCATAGTCAAGGCAAGGCCTTAGGTCAGGAAAGGGGCTATGCCATCAGCTCCCCAAGTGCACAAGGTCCTTGCCTCTCCTTTGGCCTATATGAGTACCTCCCTTGTGCTCTGTGTTGTGCCGGGCATTGTGGGAGATGCCAAGAAAGCCAATGCTGAGACACCTGGGCCTCCCGAGGGTGAGTGCAGTGTGGAACTGTCAGGCTTTCCTCTCTGCCAGGTCACTGTGTTGGGGCAGGTGATGGTCAGGGCATGTGTGGAGTGTGCAAGCAGGTCCACCAGTCACTAGTTGAGTAGCGTTGGCTAAGCCACTTTCTCACTTGTGCAGTGGTGACAGCTCCCTTCTCAGGGTCATTAAGGAGTCAGCAAGATGGCCATGTGTCATGTCGCGTGTGCTTGGTATACGCACACCCAAGAGAGACCAGGCCTGGGCTGACACAGCTGCCCAGGTGCTACCCTCCATCGTCTGCACTTCCAGCGCAGCTAGTAGACTCCTGTCCACAAAGGACTCTGAAGGAAACATCTCAAAGGTTAGGGGCCTGCTGGACAACATTGAGGTCAACACTGTGGACAGACAGCTCTGTATAATTCTTCTTCCTGTCCTTACCCAGTCATACCTGCACCCTTCTAGGGGTGGACCTCTGTTTATCCTTTTTGTAACCACTTCTGTCTGGCATGGGCCCCAAGAGTTGATGCTACATGCAGGCCTCACATACTTTGACACAAGTGTGGGTATGCTAGGGTTGGAAGACCCATGTGTGCCAGCTTCCAGGTACAGCTGGCCTGTTTCCTCCATGCCAAGGCCTGGAGCTAAGGAAGTCAGGTTTGTTGCCAGGAGCTGGCCTTGTCCCCAGCCCTGTGTCCCCATCAGCACTGCTGGGAAAGCAGCTCAGACCCCAGGGCCAGCAGCCATGAGGGTATCTGCTTGCAGTGGCTCTTTGGGAGCAGCAGCTATTTTTGGTAAGCTGCCTAATTGGAGGCCCTGGTAGAGTTTAACCAGCTCACCTTGTGCTTTGATCCTTCTGTTTTGCCTTCTCTTTTTACATGGAAACAGTTGAAGTTCATGGCCTGACCAAAGCAAATTTGTTTTTGCAGGAGACAAACGCTTTTGCTGTTAAAAAAAAAAAAAAAAAACCCTGCCCCTCTCAGGTCCCTGCTCTGCCTGTTAAGTAATTTCCAGTGGGTTGTCAGCATTAATATTTGTTCCTTCCTGAACAAATATTTGTTCTCCCTCTCTTACTTGCTATATCAGGACATCAGGGGTGGGGGCTGAAAAGAGTATTGAAAAAGATGGAAGTATAATTCTCTGCAGAAAAAAAGATTGGTTTCAAAAATGCTGTCCTACATCCTGCCTCAGACAATGGCCCTTTGCACATGATTGCTCTCACTTTTGATGCCCTCACTTTATTTTAAGCTGAAAGAACCAAATCTTCAAGTAAAGCCTCTTTGTTCCTTTTCAGCAATGAGTTATCTCCTAGGATGGGAGACCAGGTGTTTTCTCGGGCACAGTCATCATTTAGCTTTTTCCCAGAGGAAAGGAACTTTGTGTGTCCCTGGTGGCTCTGGGAATGGGTGTGTGAGCCCGTTTCCTCAGGAGTAAAACTAAGATGATAATGAATAATGTCTGTCTTGTTTGCATGTCAGATATTCATGTAACACAGTGCTTGTAAACACTCTCATTTAATCCTTTATGGAATAAGCCCCATGCTTACCTCCATTATACAGATGAGGAAAACTGTGACTAGAGAGTCCGAGTTGTCCCACTGCTATGTGATCATGTGCCTGCATCATCTAACATGATCCCAGCCCCCGTGGCTCATGGACGTGAGCAACTATTTTCTGGATGCGCATACAGCAGTGTACCAGGCTGCATGACCATGGGGTGCTGCTGCATAGAGCCTTTGGCTGTGAGTGAGTTGTTGGTGAACCAACAGAACATTTTTCTTTTCCTGATAGAGAATTACTTCTGTGTCGCACCAGTAAAGGAGATGTGGCATGAAGGTGGGTGGCAAGGATTGTTGTTCCTGCCGGCTGGGTGGCTATGTCTTTCATCCTTCTTTCCTGCTGACCAGTCCAAGGTTGCATTCAAGCCTAGGTAAGGAGCCACGAAGGCAGAACTGTTTCCCTGTCCTTCCTTTTGTCCCTGTCACCTGCCCCTGGCTGCTAGCTGATTACCTGTCCTGTGTCACAGGCAGACCCCTGATTGTTTTCTTTCTACTGCGTCTTCTCCTTGCCTCCCTCTCAGCTACCCATGAGGTTTCAGTGCCATGCCAGCTAGCTTGCTGCAGGGAGCCATTGCCTCCCTTCGGAGCACCCACCCTTCCCGTCTCCCTTCCATCTTTCACGAAAGTGTGGGCCTTTGGCTCAGTGGTATGGGCCACCAGCTTTGTCCTTAAGCCCCTGCTTCATTTTTGCCCTGAGCTCACTCTGGGGCCCAGTGTGGGCACTTGTTCAGGTTTCTCTGTTGGGGTTCTTCTTGGTTTGGGGAGGGTTGGCATGTGGTGGAGTTGAGAGGGGCCTTGTTGCTTCCAGGTGCTTTGGTAGAGTGGTCCCAGGTATCCACTGGGTGTGTTTGCTACTTTCTCCTATCTTCCCTGTCACAGTTAGCCCACTTTAGGTTTATGTAAACCTCACACAGAAGCCTACAAATAGACTTTTGTTGTTCATCCTGAAGTAGACACTAATCCCATTCAGTGGAACCTGGGATGGGCATTGCTTCCTCCTGGTGGTATGGTGGTATGGGTTGAGGGCCCAACAGGGATGCTGTTGGACTTCTTCACTGCAGGCCTTGGTCAGCACCCATTGTTCTTCCCTGGCCAACAGTCTCCTAGGAGTCCAGGGTTGCCCATTGCTGTTGTGAGGTCATACATCTTTCTACACCCACACTCCTAGGGATGTGGAGTCAGTCTTGAAACTGGGTGGGACCCCTCCATTCCCCCTCTTAACTGGGGCAGGACTGCTCTCTCCCTGTAAGAAGGGGGTAGGGGTGAGGTCCCTGTTCGCCTTGGCTTGGAGGCACTCAAGACAGGAAAGGTCTCACCTCAGAGATGGATGGGTCCCTTTGCCATTGAGTCAGCCCACTGAGGCAGAGAAGGGCAGGCACTCACTCACCGGTGGTTTTGTGAGAGATGCTGTCTCTGATTATCCGAAGTTCTATAATGAGATGCTTTCCAGTAAGGGCTGAAAACAGTGTGACTCCAGGGCTATGGGAAGGGGGTCTGATTTGGGCCCTACTTCCATCTCAGCCATTACCAGCCTGATGGCCAAGGCAGGGCCTTCCTTTCAATACAGCTTAGGGTTTTTATCTTTAAAATAGCCGTTCCCACCCCATATAGGACATCTACCACTCAAAAGGAGGCTTTTTAAAGAAACTTTATTGCGGTAAGCCATAAGACAGAACATTCACATCATAGGTTCAGCTTGATGAAGCTTCACAGACTGACCACACCTTTGTAGCCAGTGCCATGATCAGGAAACACGGCATCTCCAGGTGGGCGTGGGAGCTTGGCCAGGGCAAAGTGTCTGCAGAGTGTTGCTGCAACACACGGGGTGGGCTCACCACCATGTCTCTCTCAGCCCTGCCAGTGCCCAACACAGCAGAGGTGCCCAGTATCCCACTGTCCACTGAGTGACTGAACAGGTGAAAGGAAACTGATTCCTACACTCTTGGTCTTTTCTAGTGAGTCTGTGGCCATGTCTCAGTGTTTCTGCTTCTTCACCCTTTGTGGTCGACTTGTAGAAGCCCCTCTGCCCAGAGAACTTTATCCTGAGCAGGCAGCAGCAGAAACATGCCAAGCCTGGTGTGGGCAGCATCTGTGATCTTAAGATAGTTGGCCTCCACCACTTCTGAGAGAGGGTGCCAAGAGCACCCCAGAGCCCACCCTTCACAGAGCTTGGGATCTTTGAGACCTGGACTTTACCCACCAGGCAGGATCCATGTAGTGTTCCCTCTCCTCCTTCCAAAACCGGGTCCTCTTGAGTCCCTCAATGGTGTTGACCGGTGAAGGCTGGCCAGACCCAGTGGAGAGATCTGGGATGGAGAGCTGTTTAGTCTGGAAGGTACGTCAGTCCCAGAAGATGGGTGGGTCAGGGCTGAACACAAGGGAAAAAGACCCACATGTGGAAAGAAATTGCCACTGTGCCATCATAACTGACCAACTGTACCTATTCTCAACCTTGGAAGGACAAGGTGGGAGTGGCAGGCTGTAAGGATGGAAGTTCAAACATCACTGTTGATACAGAGCTCCCATAACAAGCTGGATTTCTGAGAAGCAGATTGGGAATTCCCAGTGGGAGAGAGGCAGATGAGAGCATCCAAGATAAGGACTTCTTTCCCAGATGCTGGCCTTCCTGGAATGCTGGCTGAGGATCTCAATCTCAGTTCTTAATAGTTATTTTATTGGGTTGGGAAGTCTTTGGAAGCAGAAAATAAGCCAAAGAGGAACTTAATGTCATACCCCCTTCTCAAGGAACATTTTCTCTACAACACATTTGGTTGATTCTTAGCTCCTGCTCCTGTCCTTTCAAAGTGTAGCCTGGAGAGTGTCAGGATTTAATGGGCTCTAGCCCCCGCTCCTGCCTTTAGAGTGACAGTGTTGGTGTTTGTGGGTTTTCTCTGTGAATCAGTTCTGAGAACAACAGGGTGCTTCTTCCAGGGTTCTGGACTTACAGCCAGGAAGCTCAGTTACTCCCAGTGACAAACCCCATGAGTCCTCAGGAAGGAACCTCAGCTCCTGGGCAGGGCGGGGACTTCGAGGCTGCTGCCATGTTCGGGTAGATGTGGGGAGCAGGAGCCAGACAGAGGCTGGGTGCTATTCAGGTTGCTTCAGTATCTGGCATTTGGGCACAAGACCTGTCCTTAGAAGATTTGGGGCTGGCAAGTGCCTTGTGAGCCTGATGCTGTTGGGCAGGCAGACATCTGCATCATCTCACATAGCAGCTTCCTCTGGAGTCCAGTGTCCTGGCGGGCAGCAAGGAGGGCTGTGGCCTGACCTGTATTCAAATGGATTTGGCACACAGGCCCAGGCTGGTCCTGCACATCACCTGCTAAAGGGCCATCCTTACCCTCCTTTGTCCCCTTTGTGTCTGAGACCCTAAAGGCTGGGGAAACCCAGAGATTCCTGTTGTGTCTTGAGCTCATTCTTGAGTTCCCATCTCTCTGGCTGGTTTGGAATCTTGAGTTTCTCCCCAGCAGGTGATTTGAAGTCCTTTGGGCTTCCAGCTTGCGTGGATTCCTCTGTGCCTGCCTGCTGCCCTCTGGGTCTGAAAGTGTTTGGCAAGAAGGTGCATGTATGAGAGCCCATGGTGTGCCAGCTTAGGGCCAGGGCTGCAGAGGCTGCTCACTACTCAGGGGCCTCCCTGGAGCTCTCTCCACATCTCCCACCTCACACACCTGCAAGGGCCATTTCCCTGTAGACAGAGCAGTTGCCTTACACAGGCACCACCTCTTCCTGTTTCCTAGGCCTGCTGGAGAAGGACGGCCTCCCTGCTGCCTTGTCCCTCAGGCTGCCTGAAGGTTTTGTTTTCTTTCCTGTGACTGGCATGGCCTTCCAGGGTACTGCCCCCAAGCATTTAATGAAATCATAGCTCTAGTGTGTCCATTCACCCCCACTGCCAGCAGGCTCTTTACAGCTGCATTTTGTCTGCACATTTCTGTTTTTCTTTGCTTTCATCAGGCCCTCTTTGGCCCATCAAAAAGCTGTAAGTGACTTAGTACAGCTGGGTAGCCAGGCTGGGACGGACAGACAGCCATCAGAGCCAAGCCTCTGGCATCAAATAGAGACCAAGGTTTCCCTTTGAGGCAGTGGTTCCCAGCCTTGGCTAGACATTAGAAACACTAAAGAAGCTTTTAAGAATTCCTATGCCCTAGCCCTACCCCAGAGAATTTAAATCTGAGTCTCTGGGCATGGAACCTCTATTTTGAAATCTTACCAGGCGATTCCATTATTCAGCAAAAGTTTGGAACCATTGCTTTAAGCTTTAAAACCTTCCATTTTAAGCCAGCTGGCCTTTGTCTCTAGCCTCTAGAGAGGTCTGGGACCCCTGAAGTTGCTTTTCTCTGCTTTAGATCCCCTAGGAGTGACCAGGAGGGTGCTGGGGCTGGGGCTGGGTGAATGTTATGGGCCTCATAGCTGCATTGCTTTCAGTCTTACTGTAGCAAAAACAGCTTGCTTTCTCTACATCTGCCTGGCAGGCCTTTGGGCAGAAAAGGCAGTTATGCCATGTGGCAAAGCAGTGCTCTCTCCCTCTCAGGCTCAGGTGGACTTGGAGACCAGGCAGGCTGGGACACAGGAAGCTCCATCTGAGGCCACCAGCAGCAGCACTCCGCCTGCCTGTGTGCCAGCGCTGCCTCTTCTCTAGCACAACTTCTTCCCCTGACCCTGGTCCACAGATTTTTGAAAGCACCCAGACAGGCTGAAGGGCCCTTAGCCCCCTTCTCTCCCTTTTCCTCTGTGTCCTCTCCTTATCCTCGCCACTGTTTTTCCCCTCATTTCTTATCCAAACATGCCTTGAAAAGGTCTCAAAAACTCATGGCGAAGGTATAAAATACTCAACTAAAATCTGTTCTACCCACTGCTGAGCTCATAGGTATATAGAGCACCATGGCAAGTTCTTCTCTGAGAATTCACCAGAGGGACTTCCAGGCAGTGGGGTAAAAGGAAGTGTGCACCTTTTTAGCGGAGTGGAATCTGCAAACTTGGAGGCCAGAAGAGCCATTTATAGGCTCTGTGTTCAAGGGGAAGCAGTTCTCCCACAGGGGTACTGACACTTTTGAGACCACCATGCGTGTGTACTGGGGTTGAACAGTTAAGCAAATGGACAGCAGGTGGCAGGAGCCACTGCTACATGCAGTGACAAGGAACAGGTAGGCAAGGGAAGGAGGCTAGAGTGATCCACAGAGGTACTAGTGTGTTTGGTTGATAGAGACTTTAATAAAGATACTTAAGGATACAGAAAGAAGTGATTATAGATATGTGGTATACACAGGTTATATATACTTTTGTTTCCTTGATCCATTAGCGGAGAGGGACTAGAAGCCTTGAGACCTGGCCAGGAGCAGTGGCTCACGCCCGTAATCCTAACACTTTGGGAGGCCGAGGCAGGCAGATCACAAGGTCAGAAGTTTGAGACCAGCCTGACCAATATGGTGAAACCCCGTCTCTGCTAAAAGGACAAAAATTAGCTGGGCTTGTTGGCACACACCCATAGTCCCAGCTACTCAGGAGGCTAAGGCAGGAGAATTGCTTGAACCCAGGAGGCAAAGGTTGCAGTGAGCCGAGATCGCACCACTGCATTCCAGCCTGGGCAACACAGTAAGACTCTGTCTTAAAAAAAAAAAAAAAAAGAAGAAGATGATGCCATGAGGCCTGCAAAGCAATGAGCTCACCTGTCACCCAGATCTTGAATTTAAATGGCACTTCGCAATAAAAGTGAACCAAGGCTTCTGGAAGAAATGGTTGATTCTAGGGCTGGGACAGGAAATATACCCTAAAGGTACATGAAGCACCTTGTAGTGCCAGGAAGTGCTTTGAGACTGTACAGGTGCACATGCAGATGGCGGTAGGTCAGGGGTACATAGAAGCTGGCTGAAAAGCCCCCAGTGGCCAAAGATGGAACAATTTGGGCAACAAAATAAATAGTTTAATGTTGGATTATGGTGTAGTGTAGATGTTTGTCTCCTCCAAATCTCATGTTGAAATTTGTTCCCCAGTGTGGAGGTGGGGCCTAGATGGGAGGTGTTTGGGTCTTGAGGGAAGATCCCTCATGAGTAGTTCAATGCCCTGGGTAGGAGTGCAAGTGGATTTTTTACTCTGTTAGTTTCCTTGAGAACTGGTTGTTAAAAAGTGCCTGGCAGCTTCCTTCTCACTCTCGCCCTCCTCTCTTGCCATGTGCTCTCTGCACACACCGGTGCCCATTTGCCTTCCACCGTGAGTAGAGCAGCGCAAGGGCCTCACCCGATGAGATGGCCAATCTTGAAATTTTTAGCCATCCAGAATTGTGAGCCACATAACCCTTTTTTTCTTTGTAGATGACCCACCTTCGGGTATTCTTTTATAGCAGCACAAAACAGACTAAGACAAATTATAATCCAAAGTATAAAATAGCCACAAGTTCATATTGGCATAAGGAAATGATTTAGCAAAGAAAGAAATGGGAAGGAAATAATTATTTATTTCTTTGCTAAATAAATAAATGATTTAGCAAAGAAAGAAAGAAAAAGGAAGAGACAAAATGTCCTGTGCAGAATTCCAGGTAATTTATGCAGCTACTCCTCCTTAAGGAGATGACCATAGCTCCCCACTCCGTTTGAGTGGTAACTTCCTTCCAGAGAGCACAGGGGTGGGGAGGAGCTTTGCAGCAGAGAAACTGACAGTCATGACCCCTGCCAGGCACTCAAGTTCATCATCAACAATGATCAGTCATGAAGCCTTAAAGGATGGGCAGATAAGGGGACGTCACCTCTGTGATTGTCCGTCCTAAAACATACAACCACAGTATAATCATGAGAACAACATCAGACAAACCCAAATTGAAGTGCAATCTGTAACACACCTGACCAGCATTCCTCAAAACCATCAAGGTCGCCCAAACACAGAAAGTCTGAGAAACTGTCATAGCTGAAAGGAACCTTGGGACAGGGCACTTAATGTGATGCAGGTCCTGAGTGGGATCCTGGAGCAGGAAGAGGATAATAGATGCAAGCTGAGGTCAGCTGAATCAAGTTGTGCTGAATGAGGTGTGAGCTTTAGTTAATAACAGGTCAGTACTGGTTTATTTATTGTAGCAAATGCACTGCACTGAGGTAAGGTCTTAATAACAGGGTAAACTGGGTGAGGGGTATAGGAGAACTCTTCACGCTCTCTTCTCAACTTTTCTGTAAATCTAAATCTATTCTGAAATTAAAAGGTTATTTTAAAAGTTTAAAAAACAAAAAAAAAATCCTCTAGGCACAGTGCCTATGGGTGGGGGGTGCCTACTCCACAAGGAACAATACCAAGAAAAAAAGTTTGAAAAAGATAAAAATAAAAAAGTACCATAGTGACTCAGAGAGGAAGCCACTCTAGGCCAAGTTTCCAAGAAAGACCTGGAAAGGAGGTGCCAGTAGACTTGCCCTTAAGGACAGGGATGACCAGCACCCTGGCCATGGAGGCCCCTGGCAGATATCCTGAGGCAGGCCTGGGGGCCCAGGTCATGAGAGGAAAGCTAGGAAGTGGGGGCTCAGGCCATGACAGGAGCCTTGCCAGGGGCTTTCCACCATCTTCCCTGTGGCCTGGGCATCTGCCTGCTGGCCCATGTGTCCAGGGGGCTCTGTTTTCTGCTTCTGTTGAGGAGGGAGACCTGGCAACAGGTGACACCTGAGAGACTGTGCTGGGGAACAGCTATGGAGGCTGAAGCTGGCGTCCCTCTCAGGACCACGTGTTCTATAGTTGTAGGACTTGTTCATACTCTTCTGCCTGTTAAACAAAGGCAGCAGGACCAAGTAGGAACTGCAAACTGACTTGGCTGTCAGGCAGCCTCCTAACTTCCTGAGTGTGATGTCTGGTCAGACCCGTGCCCAGGCTCCCTCGAGCGGGGTCACCTTCCCCAGCACTGCTCACTCACTCTGTCCCCAGAAGGCCTCTCCTACTGTGTCTGCAGGTTTCTCACTGAGGCCATTCCCCACTTTGTGGCATGCTACCCACCCTGCTATTTGTGGAGCTTGCCTGACTGCTCTGGAAGGGCAGCCGTCCAGACCAGGTTTCATCAGTTTTGTTCATTGTCACATGATGGTCATTGGCACTGCACAGAGCAGTTGCTGGGTAAATAATAATGTTCACCAGGTGTGCGGGGGCTGCGGGCAGCGTGGTCCACCTTAGGCATGCTGCTGCGCTTGTCCAGCTGGTGTCCCTGTGTATGCAGTGGCAGCAATGCACCTCACACTTGTTGGACAGAACGTGTTTGGTGAAAGGCCTGGGTAACCCCCCTTTCTTGTCTCCAGCTGAACTCTTATCTCTGCCCTCCTGCTCCATGGACCTAGCTCTTTCTGTCGGGATCTCCCAGGACAAGTCTCAAGTCTTGTGTCTGGAGCCACCTTAAGAGATCTGAATCTTCCAAACCAGGCCTCCTTGCCCCTGCATCCCACAAGTGCTCATCTCTCAGCGGTTGTGTCTTTTCCTCCCGGATCATGAAGTCTGTGGCAGGCTCCATGTCTTCCTCATCACTGTGATCCCAAGCCTGATGTCCAGTGGATGCCATGGAGTTAAAAGATTTGGGGGATGGTGGTCCTGCCCCATAGCCCTAGCCCCTCCCTGGTGGTTTCTGTTCTCTATATGTGGAACAGCCCTGGCTCCTGCTGTCTGCTCCTGTGGGGCTCACTCAGGACCCTCTGCATGGTTCATCGCTCTGATGAACTGAGTTCCACTTATTCTCAGACTCCTCCCCTCTTCCCTTTTAAGGGGAGCCCAGCTCTGCAGGAGGAGGATAGCCTCCTGAGGACAGGGCTGTAACTTGGCTGTGGGTTGGTGCCTCTGGACAAAGGCATTTCAGGGCAGCCAGTGGCACTAGGTGGGGGGAGGATGGGGCAGCTCTGAGGCTGTGCATGTATGGTGTCCCATCCCCACTCAGAGGCACATGGGCCTTGGGAGAGGCTGGGCATTTCTGCTGGTGACATAGCAAATTTACTCTGTCCTTTCTTCCTGGCCACAGGAGGCCAATGAGGTGTTCTCAGTTCTGAGCTCTCTCCCAGCGGCCCTCCTAACTCAGACAGCTGGGATGGAACTTGAGGTCTCACTAGCTCCCATGAGCTTTGGGAGCTGTCCACTTGGGGACTCCTCTGGGTTGGGGCTGGAACTGTTTCATGCCCTGGGGGTGGGAACTTGGGACTGCTCTTGCAGACAGCTCCTGGCCTGTCCTGCAGTCTCTTCCTTCACTGACTGGCATCCCTGCTGCCCTCCCCATCTGAGTCCATCACTAGCAGTATAGCCCTAAAGGGTCTGTTTTCTATGAAGACAGGTACAGAAATATCAGAGAGAAGTAGCTGGGGTATAGGTCATGTACAAAATTTTAAAAAAGAAGTTTGGCAGTACCTGTTCTCACCCTGGCAACCACCATTCTACTCTCTATGAATTTGACTACTTTGGGTACCTCACGTAAGTAGAATCATACAATATCTGTCCTTTTGTGACTGGCTTATTGCACTTAGCATAATGTTTTCAAGATTCATCTGTAGAATGGCACATACCAAAATTTTATTTCATTTTATGGCTGTATTATATTGTAGTGTAGGTACATACTACAGTTTGTTTATTCATTCCATCTATTGGTGGACACTGGAGTTGCTTCCACCTCTTGACTATTGTGAATAATGCTGCCATGGAACATGGATGTACAAATATCTGCTTGAGTCCCTACATTCAATTCCTCTGGGTATATACCTACAAGTGGAATTGCTGAATGAAACAGCAAATCTATAAAATCCGGTTTAATTTTTTGAGGATGCTCCATACTGCTGTTCAGATTGGCTGTACCATGGTTCCAGTTGTTCCATGTCCTCACCAACACTTGTAGTTTTCTGGTTTTTTTTTTTAAATAATTTCTACCCTAGTGAGTGTGACTTGGCTGATTTGATTTGCATTTTCTTTTCTTTCTTTTTTTTTTTTTTTCCTTAAGAGACAGGGTCTCACTCTTTTGCCCAGGTTGAAGTACAGTGGTGCCATCACAGCTCACTGCAACCTCAAACTCCTGGGCTCAAGGGATCCTCCTTGCTCCTGTGTATACTGGGACTGTAGAAACACTACACCTGGCTATTTGTTTTTTTTTTTTTATTTTTTTAGAGATGAGGTTTCATTATCTTGCCCAGGTTGGTCTCAAACTTCTGGCCTCAAGCTATTCTACTTTGGCCTTCTGAAGTGCTAGGTGACTTGCATATTCTAATGACAAAACGTGTCAAGCACCTTTTTATGTGTGTCTTGGCCATTTGTATATCTCCTTTGGAGAAATGTATATTCACATCCTTTGTCTATTTTTGTTTTTTGTTGTTAAGTTTTAGGAGCTCTTTATTCTAGATATCAGCTATGTGATTTTCAAGTATTCCCTTCCTTTCCCTGGGTTACCTTTTCACTCTCTTGTTAGTGTCCTTAGATATACAAAGGTTCAATTTTGATGAAGTCTAGTTTATTTTGTTGTTGTTGCTTGTGCTTTTGGTGTCATATCCAAGAAGTGGTTGCTAAATCCAGTGTTATGGGGCTTTTATCCTTGGTCTTCCATGCATTTTATAGCTTTTGTTCTTGCATTGAAGTATCTGCTCCATTTTTAGTTCATTGTTGCATATGGTATAGTGTAACCCTTGATTGGTGGATCCTGCAAGCTGACCATTGTGGTGGGTGAGGGGAGTGAAAAGCTGTTGTTCCCCAGTTCACATGCCTCTCCCACCCGCTTCCCATCTACCCATGCACCAGTTTTAGGAAGAAAGTGGGCCTTAGCTGGGTGAGGGCTCCCAAGGGAAGCTCCTCTGGCAGAGGGCCCTTGGCCACTTGGCAGGGGCCTGGGTAATCTTGCAGCCTAGGCAGTGGTCAGAGCCAGTAGTCCAGCCTGGCACAGCAGGTGTGAGGAGGAACTTCCTGGTCTTGGTAGCAAGTGAAAAGGGTCCTTGTTTTGTTCTTTCTCCCTTAAAAAAAAAAAGTAGTTTAGCAGTTCTAACTATGCCCTCCGGAAAGCCCTGAATGGGTCATTTCCGCAGCATCTTAACAAAGTCCCTTATAGCAGAAGGCCCAGCCCATCCACTGCAGCACCAAGGCTGGGACCGGGCCCACACTACACTGTTGCTGCTGGGATTAGCAGATGCTCACGTCTTGGAGGCCCCCTCCTATTAATACACGAATGACTCAGAAACCCCACACTATCTCTAGAACCAGAGTTGAATCTTAAAAGAGGGCCACCGGGTGCGGTGGTTCACGCCTGTAATCCCAACACTTTGGGAGGCCGAGGCAGGTGGATCACGAGGTCAAGAGATCGAGACCATCCTGGTCAACGTGGTGAAACCCCGTCTCTACTAAAAATACAAAAAATTAGCTGGGCATGGTGGTGCGTGCCTGTAATCCCAGCTACTCTGGAGGCTGAGGCAGGAGAATTGCCTGAACCCAGGAGGCAGAGGTTGCAGTGAGCCGAGATCGCGTCATTGCACTCCAGCCTGGGTAACAAGAGCGAAACTGTCTCAAAAAAAAAAAAAAAAGAGGGCCTCCTTGGAATTGGAGCAATAGCTTTGCCTCTGCGATGACACTCACTGTTACATCCCAGTAGAAAGAACGAAAGGTAGGGTCTCGGGATTTTGGTCCTGGCTACATGGTCCCTGCTGCTTCTGTGGTGGAGGTGGCATGCTGTGGTGGGCTAGGAGTTAGGAAGTCTGGGCCTCAGTTTCCATGTCCAGACCTTAGGGGAGAGGTGGGATGTAGAGTGCCTTCCAGGCCAGGGTAGGCAGGGAGGTGAGCTCTCCCTCCTGATGAAGCCATAAAGGCCTGCTGAGAAGGACCTGGCCTGCTTGCTGCTGAGCCCATAGTTTTTCCCTATTATCTGTGCACCGTTCTGTTTTGTTTTGTTTGAAGTGTACAAGTCATTGTCTTTTAGGATATTCACATGGTTATGCAACCACCAACACAATCTAATTTCAGAACATTTTTCATCAACCCCCAAACAAACCCTGCACCCCTTAGCTGCCACCCCCAATCCTACCCTCCCCAAAGCCCCTGGCAGCCACTCCTCTGCTTTCCCTCTTTTTCAGTTGGCCTGTCCTAGATGTTTCGTGTAAATTGAGTCATGCAATATCATCTCACAACTTTACCATCTGCTGGTTGCAGCAGAGTCCTTGGCCCAAGGCTAGGGTGGTGGCTGCAGATCAACACCATGGCCTTGGTGGCCTAGGTACTGATCATGGGAAGGCCGTTCCTCAGGGGCCTGCATCTCTTTCCAGGTTGCTTCTCCACCTCATGCCTTGCAGAGCATGTCACTGTCTGATTTTTGTACAAATATCATCCTGTTAACCCTTAATGAATATAGGATTTTGGTAAAGTTGATGGTTTCTATCTTATAAATAAAACCTATCACAGATATAAATAAATCAAATATTTATATTATTAAATCTATAATATAAATCTAGCAGGTTTGGCTTGTTCCATCATTCAGAAATGTTTACTGAAGCTCTTATTAGAAGGTACTGACCTAGGTGTATAGAGTAAATACAGTGAGTTTTATCAAGCACCTCTCACCATAGTATGCAGAGCAGTTGGGCAGACCTGCAGGTGGGCCATGGCCTCTGCCCAGGGCCTCCCTTCAAGGAGCACAGGACAGTGATCCAGGAGGGGAGGATGCCAGGCAGGCCTCTCTGGCAGGGCAGCAATAAAGGAGGCTGCGCTGTGCAGCATGTAGCCGTGGGGCAAGCAGGTCCAGGAGGCAAGGTGGGGCAGTTGGTGCAGGGAACGGAGCTTGGGCTGGGAGCTGTTGGAGCTGTTGGAGCAGTTGAGTCGGGGGATGGCCTGGCTAGATCTGTGCTGAAGAAGAATGGTTCTGGGGCTGTTCCTATTGAACCATTCTGAGGCTCCGAGTGCCACTGTGCCTGGAGGGTAGAACTCATGGGCCTCTTCACTGTGTACCAAGTGTTCCCAGCTGGGCGTATCTGACCAAGCCTTCCATGGAACTCCCAGAATTACAGGTCTGAGGCCTGTCTCCTGCCAGTCTTCAGTCTGTGTCGATGGGTACTGGGAAAGGGCCTGGCCTGCAAGTATCTGCAGCTGGAGAGAGTGGTCAGAAATGTGTTTTACACCATTTTACATTAGGGAAGCTGAGGCTCACAATTTTCGACCTGCCCAAAATCACAATGCTAGCATCTGGAGCCAGTTGCTGTTGGCCTAGGGCTTAGCAAAGGGGCAGACCCTGTTCTCCTCTGGAATGTAGCTTGGGAAACCAGCCCCTGGTGCTCCCCAGGGCCCCAAGGCAAGGGCCTGAGAGGCACTTAGCTGTCTTTAAATGGACCCCTGGGCTTGGCCCATTGTTTTCAAGAGCCCTCATCAGCCATCTTAGCACAAGCAGCTGGCCATGGCCACTGCATGGAGGATGTGCCTCCTCCCCTTGTGGGATAGGGTGGCCTGTGATGCCCAGAGCTCCTTATTCCACTGAGCCCTGCCTCTGTGCCCCAGGGTAGGAGATGGAACATGCCTGACACTGTCCTCCCTTCTTCCTAAGCGTTCAGGGAAAGTTGTTGAACTTGTTGGCTTCTGACCACCACCCTTGCCTGGAAGGAGAGTGGTGATGTGCGCTGAGAAGCAGAGGGGACCACACGGATGTGCCAGCCCAAGTCCCGCTTCAGCTGTGCAATATCGTCTGTAGTCTTGTGACAGAGGGGTTAGATTATCACCCCAAAGGGAAATCCCTACACATTAGGCCACTCCTCATTCACCTCCCCCAGCCCTGGCAACCACTCCTCTGCTTTTTCTCTATGGGTTGGCATTTTCTGAACATTTCACCAAGATGGATTCACACAGTATGTGTCCTTTTGTGACTGGCTTCATTCACTTAGTGTGATGTTTCCAAGGTTCGCTCATGTTGGAGCATGTGTCAAGATTTTTTCTTTTTATGGCTAAGATAATATTCCATTGTACGAATATTGCGTTTTGTCTATCCATTCATCCACTGATGGACATTTGGGTTGTTTCCACCTTTTGGCTATCATGAATTATGCTGCTGTGTTAGATTTGTGTACATGTTTTTGTTCGAGCACCTGTCTTCAGTTCTTTGGGTATATATTCAGTAATGGAATTGTTGGGTCATATGGAAACTCTATAATTTTTTGAGGAACTACTAAACTTTCCCATAATAGCTACATCATTTTACAATCAAAATGAAGCCTATATTTACTACCATTTTACATTAGGAAAACTGAGGCTCACAATTTAAGACTTACCCAGAATCACAGAGCTAGTGAGTGTAGAGCTAGGACTTGACTCCAAGGGTAGGCTATTCTTGGCTAGAGAGCTCTGAAAACAAAAAGCTTACATCTCAGAACTTCTGCAGAGGGAAACAGCTGGGAGAGCAGTGGTTTGTGGCTCCAGCTTTCCCTCCTGTCCTGGGCTGATGGAAGCCCCGTGAGCTGGTCTCCCCAGCCTGGGTGACTGTGGCTGGCCAACGCTACCTAGGGTCCTGGGAGACTCATGGGAGCTGTGTGGCAGGCCCAGGTCTTGGGGTGGTCTCCCAGCTCTTCTTGCTGCAGCTTCTAGGAGCCTGATCTGACAAATCACAAGCCTCTCTTTCGAGAAGGTTAGGGTTTGGTGACCACTCCAAAGGCCATCAGGTGTAGAATGGGCACCTAACTCTTGGCCCAAAGTCCATCTGGGGCTGCAGGACCCTCCCTAGGGTCTGCCAGGTTGTAACATGCAGATTTCATATGGGACACCTGAAAGATCTGGAAGAGTGCAGAATCATGGCTCCCTTCCCAAGGAGGTGAAATGACTGGAATCAGACCTGGCACCCGAGGACAGAAATTGGGATGAGGGCTCAGCCCAGCCTAGGGGCTGTTCCATACAGCCCCAGGAGGCTACAGTATGGAAGATGATTGTGGAACTGCCCTTTGAACCACACGGACTGTGGAATACACTAGGACTGGCAATGACAACTGGAAAGAGGGAAGGGAGTTCTGCCTGGTGGGTACCTGCTACGTCCCTTTGTCAGTCCCTAGGTATGGTTGGCCTAACACTTCTCTGAGTTGTGGCACAGAGGCCAGGCAGAACCTTTGCTTACTCCAGGTCTGCATGGGCTTGTGACCCCTTTTCTGAGGCTCTTTACAGTTTTCTCAGAGAACCTAGGCTTTGGGGATATCTGTCTGAAGAGAGTGCTGCTCACTGGGGAGGTCTGCAGCCCCCGAGGGACTTTTGGCCAAGAGTCAAGTGCCCATTCTACACCTGATGGCCTTTGGGGTGGTCACCAGTGCCTCCTCAAAAGAGAGAGGCTTGTGATTTGTTAGATTGCACTCCTAGAATCAGTTTGGCTACAGCAAGAAGAGCCGGGAGACCACCCTTGACCTGGGCCAGCCATGCAGCCCCCATGAGCCTCCCAGGATGTAGGTTCTGGGGGTACCTAGGAACTGTACTTAACTAGTGCTCCCCAAGGGCTGTGTTCCTTCCTGAGAAAACTCTGGAGTCAACCTCCTGAATTCCAAAGAAAGGAAGCAGCCAGACCAAGTCTGCAGCACAGCCCACCAGCCCAAGGGAGGAGGGAGTTGGTGTTCCTGCCTAGCGCTGTCTGATCAGGCCATAGCTCAGTGAAGGGCCAGACTGAAGGCAGGGCCGTGCAAGTCTCCACGTGGTCCGGGCCGGGTAGCTCTGCCTGCAGTTTCTTTGATAAACTTAGGCATAACTTTGTGTAAACAGTCTCAAAGTCCAGGGAGCAAAGATGCCAAGGAGAGAGGGGCAAGGGTGCCAGTCAGAGAGGACCAGACTTGTTCTGGCTGGCCCCACAGAGCACCATGTCCCGTAACCACTTGGATCCCCAGCCTGCAGATCTGGAGGTCGGGACAGTGATGTTCCTGCCTCCTGAAGCTGTTGTCAGTACCTGCAACTACTCAGGACCTGGCCACAGTGAACACCCTAGAATTGCTGGATGCACTTCCTGCTTCTCTGGCAAGGCACTTCCACAGGCTGAGCCACCTCTCCCTGGCAGTGTGCAGATGAGCGAGGTGACCACTCAGCACCAAGGTTTTCAGGCAAAGCTTTTCATACTCCTATAGTGGTTCATCGTGTGTATGAAAAAATAATAAATGCAGTGCACATGGAAGAAATGCTGACTCACCATTTCCATTTCATGTGCATGTGTGCACTTGTGTGTGTGCTCATCATGTGAATGCTGTGTTCCTTGTGGGCCTTGGTTGGATGAGTTTGTGAAACACGCTGTCTCAGGACCTCAGGTGTGGGGGGACGTCAGGCTTCACCCTGGAATACCCTTTCTGACCTTGAGATTTTGGGGGTAATTTTTTGCCCTAGGGGAAAACCTTTGTTTTTGTGGGTCTCTATTTTACAGTGTGAATCAGGGATTAGGGGATAAAGGGAAGACTCCCACCCAGGTCTCAGGTTCTATAACAGCAGCTGCCTGATAACACCAAACAACTCCTCACCGTATTTCTACTTACTTTCCTCTTGCTTCTCTCTAGCTCTTAGAAGCTTGCCTTCCCACACTTACCGAGTCAGTAAGAAACAAAGGCCAGTTTTCCCAAAAGTACGCCTGATTGGGCCAGGGGTGTGGTGGAGGGTCCCCAGGTGGAGAGGCTGCTGTAGCTATAATATCCTAACCTAGGAAGGTCGCTCTGGCCTCTGATAGACGCCCTGGCTACAGTGTACAGAGCTTCTAGCCTCCTGTGGGCCGGTGGACAGAGGACAGGCAGAGGGAGCAGGATGTGCTGATCTCTTTGGAGAGCAGCCTTTGTCCTGTATTGTCCTGTGTCCTCCTGCGTAAACAATCTGCAGCCTGTAGCAACTCTGCCCTCTTAACAGGGGTAGAGTGGAGCCCAGAAGAGAACCCGAGGCTCCAGATAGCTGGAGGGCTATGTGGCGGCTGAACCCATAACTCAGTGACATAGTAGAGTCAGTGTCCTACAGAGAGCATCTCTTTTTTTGGAAAATGAGTCCAGCAAAACTAGGTGAAACTCGGCCTCCTAGGAAACCTGGATTCCTGGCCTCTGGAGGCATAGAATTAGGTCAGGGACTCATCAGAGCTGCTTTGCTGATGGCGTTTGAGCTGAGGCGTTCCCTCTGGCTGGATTTGGGTTACAGCCTAGATATTTGCCCTTACTCTCACAGCACAAGGTTCAGGCCTAGCCAGACATAGATGGGTGTGTCCTACCCCCCTAGACAGAGGCAGGAGAGGGGAGAGGTGCTGGCTGAGGGGCTCCCTGGAGCCATTGGTTGAATCTGCTCCAGCCTTATAAGCACTGGAAATGCTACTGAGTGCAGAGCAGCTCTGGAACCAGAGTGCTTGGGTTTGAATCCTGGGTCACCCTAGCGTTGTGACCTTAGATCTAAATTACAGTCCTGTGTTGTTTAATGATAGGCACACATCCTGAGAAATGCGTCCTTAGACAGTTTTGTCCTCGTGTAAATATCCTAGAGTGCGCTTACACAAAGCTAGACAGTACAGCTTACTGCGCACCTAGGCTATGTGGTAGAGTCTATTGCTCTGAAGCCATAAACCTGTACAGCACATACTGTACTGAATACTGTAGGCAGTTATAATGCAGTGGCAAGTATTTATGTGTCCATATACAGCAGAAATAGAGGGCCCTGTTGACTAACACCATATGCGGTACATGACTGCACTTAGCTTCTCAGTGGCCTGCTCCCTTGTCTTTGGGATGGGAGTGACAGTAGTGCCTGCCTCACAGTGTGTTTGGAATGTTCAGTGAGAGGACACAGGGGAAGAGTTTGCAGCAGCGCCTGGTATTCAGGGCATGAGTGCAAATGTGAGCAGCGTTGCGCTCTGTGCCCATGCTGGTGCTGTCATTGCTGCTTCCCCTGTCGGCGGCAGTGGGAGGGGGAACACTGTGCTACTGAGACTTAAAGGTATTTTTTTTTCTTTTTTTTAAAGTTCAGGGGTACAAGTGCAGGTTTGTTACATAGGTATACTTGTGTCATAGGGGTTTGTTGTACAGATTGTTTTGTCACCTAGGTATTAAGCCTAATACCCATTAGTAACTTTTCCTGATCTTTCCCTCTTCCCACCCTCCACCCTCCGAAAGGCCCCAGTGTGTATTGTTTCCTTCCATGTGTCTGTGTTCTCATCATTTAGCTCCCACTTACAGGTGAGAGCATACACTATGTGATTTTCTGTTTCTGTGTTCATTTGTTAAAGATAGTGCCTTCAGCTTCCTCCATATCCAAGGAGGATATGATCCATCCATATCCATGCAAAGGATATGATCTCATTCTTTTTGATGGCTGCATAGTATTCCATGGTGTATGTATATCACATTTTCTTTATCTGGTCTAGATCATTGATGGGCATTTAGGTTGATTCCATGTCTTTGCTATTGTGAATAGTGCTACAGTGAACATTGGTATACATGTGTCTTTATAATATAACGACTTATATTCCTTTGGGTATATACCCAGTAATGGGATTTCTATCTTAGGTCTTTGAGGAATGGCCATACTGTCTTCCACAATGGCTAAACTAATTTACACTCCCACCAACAGTGTCTAAGCATTCCTTTCTCTCCACAGTTGAAGGGAGCTACTTTCATAGCAGGTCCTCAGTACGTACCTGGACCTGTCTTCCAAGAGTGCTGGTTAGAAGCAGTGCATATACAATTTAAAAAGTTAGTCCCAGGCCCTCACACAGTGCTGGTGGGAATGTGAAATGGAACAGCCACTTTGGGAAATAGTCTGGCAGCTCCTCAGAGTTAAACATATAGTTTCTATATGACCCAGCACTTCTGCTCCTAGGTACACACCCAAGAGAAATGAGAGCACACGAACACTGTACAGGAATGTGCACAGCAGCACTATACATAGTAGCCAAAAGATGGAAACAGTCCACACTCAACAGATGAATGGATACACAAAATGCCATATAGCCACACAATGGAACGTTATTCAGCTGTAAAAATAATTGAAAGACTGGCAGATGCTGTAATGCGGAGGAACCTCAAAAATATGCTAAATCCTTGAAAATATGCTAAATGGAAGCCAGAATTTTCCATTTATACAGGATATCCAGAAGAGGTACATCTACAGGCAGAAAGCAGGTTGCAGTTGCTGAGGTCAGGGCAGGTGTCAAAGGAAAGTGACTGAATGGTCCAAGTGTTTTCAGGGGATGATGGAAATGTTCTGCACTTGATTACTTTACAGCTCTATGAACATAATGCTAAAAGCCATTGAACTGTACTCTTTAGGTAAATTGTATGTGAATTATATCTCAATAAAGCTGTTGTTAAAAAGAAAAGTTAAGCCACGCACGGTGGCTCATGCCTGTAATGCCAGCACTTTGGGAGGCTGAAGCAGGCAGATCTGTTGATGTCAGGAATTCGAGACCGTCTTGGCCAACATGGTGAAACCTCATCTCTACTAAAAATACAAAAATTAGCTCAGCGTGGTGGCATGCATCTGTAGTCCTAGCTAATCAGGAGGCTGAAGCACAAGAATCACTTGAACCCAGGAGGCGGAAGTTGCAGTGAGCAAAGATTGCACTGCTGCCACTGCACTCCAGCCTGGGCGACAGAGTGACACTCCATCTCAAAAAAAAAAAAAAAAAAGAAAGAAAGAAAGGGAAAGAAGAAAGGGAAGGAAGGAAGGAAGGAGGGAGGGAGGGAGGGAGGGAAAGAAAGAAAGAAAGAAAGAAAGGAAAGAAAGAAGAAAGAAAGGAAGGAAGGAAAGAAAGAAAGAAAGAAAGAAAGAAAGAAAGAAAGAAAGAAAGAAAGAAAGAAAGAAAGAAAGAAAGAAAGAAAAAGTTTACCTGGAGTTAGTATCAAAGAAAAAAAAAAACCGAAAAGTTAATACCAGGATTAAATAAAAATGAGATCATCTGATTAAAAGCAGGAAGTTTTCTTTCCTCCTTCGTGGAAGTAGATTGGGCTCTTCTTTGATAACTGTTATTTACCCCCCTTTGCTCTCCTTTCTTCGTGTGTGATAGGGTTAGGTGATGCCCACCTCACAGTAAGTAATGTTAAAGAGATTCTGACTGAGATCTTAACACACAGGTAGTTAACTGCTAATTTCCTTCAGTCGTGGCCCAGCTTGGCATGTTTTTTCCTTTTATTAACGTTTCTGAAATCCTTTTTGGAGGGAGATAGAACCCTCGTTTTATACATGAGGAAACTGAGACCTAAAGAAGTGGAGACATGGTAGACATTTTTTCATACTCAGTGAGACTGAGACACAACCACATTCAGTGGCAGAACAGGGGCTTTGGCTGGGGGCCAGGTGTCCAGACAAACGGGCTTCAGGGACAGTGAGCAATTTGGTGACACTGAACCCTGGAATGGTGGCCTCAAAGTGGGGCCTGTGCTATGCCTCCAGGGACCCAGTGGATGATCCCATGAGAAGAAAACATTGGAATTTCTGTTGATATATTCCATCTAACGTGTGTGTGCACATGCATGCACGCTCATAATAGACTGGCGCCATGGTATGGATACACAGCTCATCCAGGGCCTGCGCTGTTGGCATTGTGAGACCACGGTCGCAAGGACCAGAGTGGGAGTCAAAGACCAGAGAGGAAGGGCTGCCTTAGGAAAGTCCCTCTGCCTCCACAGTGGTTCCTCCACGATGGCTTACTCTGGTACCGAGTGCACTGGGCACTTTACTGCTTCATGCCGTCCAGTCCTCACTATGGTCCATGGAGTTTCCTCAATTAGCAAATAAGAGGGTCTACCTCAGAGAAACAGGATGCCTTGTCTGGAGAGGTGGGGGTGGGTTGTGCTTTTGCATGGGGATTTTGGGCTCTAGAGGGAAGTCAGAGCAACCCTTCATCTGCCCAGAGGATTCAGGCAGGCACCTACACCATGCCAGGAGGCCCAGTGGTTGGTCTGAGCTCAGTGTGGGCACCAGACCCAGCATCCTGCTCTTCAGACCAAGCCCTTATTGACTGTTGGCAAGGAGCTTGAGGCTGGATGGTGGTAGGAACCTTCTAGACCTCTGGGTAGAAGGCAGCCCAACTGCAGTCCACCCCTCAGATGGATTAGAAGTGTCTTCTGTTTCTTCAAGAATGAGACCAAGGAAATGGTGGGCTGTTGGGGTGCTCGGTAGAGAAGCCAGCAGCTGACCAGCAGTGGGGTGGAACCAGTGCGGAGGGTGTTAAGGACAGGAGCACCCCTCGTGTGCAAGTCATAGCAACCCATCCGCTTTCCCAAAGCATCCTTATGTTGGGAGAGTAAGAAAGAGGCCAGAGGGCACGGAGCTAAACAAGTCTAGCTCTTCACCTCAGTAGGGATTTCCTACAGGTTTCCTTTCCTGCTTTTGGTTTTCTGTCCCTAATTTCAGTGTCTAACAGCTTTTGTTATGAGAAAAAAAGTCACTGTTTGCCATGCCAGAGCTGGCGTGGCAGCCTTTGCTGGGCTCGGCTCTGGCCCTGGAAAGGTGCCATGGGCCAGGCTGCCGGGTGTGCTCCTTGGCCGCCTCCAAAGAACGCATGGTGCACCCACCCCACAGCCTGCTCTCAAGGATGTGGCTTCTCTCTGGCCCCCTCCTTGCCTCTAAAAATAACCCTGCTATTTTTGAAACTGCCTCCTCTGGAGCTTTTTCTTGCTTCTCTGTGGGATCAGCAGCCCCTCTGAGACCAGGATCTCAGCTGCCCGTCACCCCAGCTGTCCCCACCTTGTCCTCGCCTGCACACCTCCTCCAGTGCAAGTGGGATATTGCTCTCCACGTAGGAGGGGTGTTTAACTGGGTGTCCTGTGGAGAACTCCAGGCCTGTTCCCGTCTTCCCTGGGATGAGCACAAAGGAAGAGGAATGGGGCTGGGATGAGGGAGAGCGCACCTGGGAGCCCCACAGTCTGTGGGAGGGTCAGGAATGGCCTGGGGCTGTGGGACATCTATGGCCCTGATGGCTGGTCTCTGGGTGACTCTCTGCCGCTTTCTTGCAGCCCACAACCCTGCCTCAGGGTACCATCAACATGAACCAGTGCACAGATGTGGTGGATGGGGAGGGCCGCACAGGCCAGAAGTTCTCCCTGTGCATTCTGACGCCTGAGAAGGAGCATTTCATCCGAGCGGAGACCAAGGAGATAGTCAGCGGGTGAGTCTGCTGGCGCTGTGGAACGAGGCATCACTACCTGCTACAGGGCCGATACCAAATGGGCCACATGTTCCTGTGGCGGTATCAATGTTTTCTGCTTCCTTATGCACTTCTATTCCTGGGCTCTGTCTCTGTTCTCAGAGACTGAGATCCGCTGAGATCTGCTCAGCACACCGGAAACCAGGACATCTGCCATTCCACCTGAAGACTCTGGGGGCCCCTCTTGGCTCTGGCCACCTTACCATCCTTGGGCCTCTCCACCTTCACACTCACCACACCCCCAACTCACCTGCCCCTCGACCTGGAAGGGGATCAGTCCCCGAAGCACATGACCTGGGGGCACACCCTCCCCAGTCTGGGTGACTGCTCTTCCTTCCAGGGTGGGTGCTGGGCTCTACCACCTATGAAAGCACCAGGTTATCTGCAGTGTCCACATGTGTCTCTCTCAGTGATGGCAGGGGCAGGGGGTGTCTCAGTCACACCCCCAGCACCTCACACCCGGGGCACTCGGCTGCCACTGCACAGACTGATTTCTGTGAGTGGAGGGGATGAATAAGTCTCTTGCTCACCCAGGTCCCATAAGAGTAGCAGACCAACTCAGGTAGATAAAGAGCCCATAGTCTAGGGGCCTGTGCACTGTGTTCCTGGGCCCAGGGCAACATCTGCCCTCCCAGTCTAATGGGATTCTTTGCTACCCGCATGGCCTGGGCTGTGGTGAAAAGCTGTATGTGGTCGGTGCAGGTGAACAGGCTGATTGGGCCTGAGAGGAACTCACAAACTGGATATCTGAGAATCCCTGTCTTGTTTAAGGCTAAGAAGGAGGCACATGAGTCTAAGAAGCTCTGGGAAAAAGTAAACCTGGGGCTTGCTGGGCCAGGCTGACTAGCAGTACAGAGTAGAGGGATTCGGGAATATGGAGCCCTTGGGTAGAACATATGGGCGACTCGGAACATCAGGCTTGCTTTAGCCTCTCAGCTGCAGCCTGGCCAAGCCTGGTGAATAAGCACAGTCTGAAGTCCAGGGTCACATGGCACAGCATCCAAGAGCCAGTGCTGGACCCCAGGGCGCTCTCTGCTCAGGTGTGCCCTCCCCTAGAGTCCTCCCCTGGAGGAGAGGCAGGTTTGCATTTCTGAGCAACTGGAGCCAAGCTGGGAGGAGCACTTGGGTCTCCCCTGATCTTAATCCAGAACCATATGATCAAGAATGTCAAGGGCTTCTGAAGAGCCCTCATGATACAGTCAAGAAGACCCAGGGCCTGGAGACAGGAGCCTGGCCTAGGGTATCTTCTGTACTTCCTGGCTCACACCTGTTGCTGGTGCTGGCCTGGCAGGACACAACTGAGGCTCCCTCTGCCTAGGTAGCTTCCCTAGGAAACACTCACCCTTTCCACAGGAGCTAGGTCCCAGAGAGGGTATAGGTAACAGGTGGGACAGATGGGAGTTCTGGGTCTCCAGGGCAAGCTTGGGAGTGTCTGTAGCAGGGATGGTTCTGGGACCAGGCCAGAGAGGTATGTGTTACACCATGTGGTATGAGGAGAGGGTGATGTTTAGCATTTTAACTGCCTCCAGCAGGCAGCTTAAGTCCTGCCAGAGGTCCTCACTCCATCCTGAGCCCCCTACTTCTTTGCTCTCTTCTGTTGCATCTTCAGGCTTGCCATACCCATGCAGCTTGGGTAGACAAGATCATTAATGCACCAAGGTACCAGGTACACATGGTATGGGGCCCCATGTGTGTGGTGGCTCAGTGGCATATCCAAAACCAGAATACACTGCCCAAGGCTCTTCTCCTTCCCCTTGCCCTGGTTGTGGGCCATGGTAGTTCGAATCCAACAGGCAGTTTCTCACGTGGCAGCCTGCCCTGGGCCCCTGAGCCACTTCCTCACCTTCTCACAAGCTGGGATGCTCCGCTGCGTGAGGAAGTCAGGTGTGGCCTGTGCACCCTGGGGACAAGTGCTTTTGCCACCACCTCCCATTCCTCTGTCTCCTGCCCTTGCTGACAGCCCCCTTCCTCTGCTCCCTCTCTTGCCCCCCTCTGTTGCCAATTATAACTCCTCTGCCCAGTAACTTTATCCCTAGGCTCTGGAGCGCCATTTTGGGTCCGAGCTCTCTGGTCACATCAAAGCTGGTCCCTAAGGAGGTGCAGATGCTTCCACCAGAAGGGCGGGTTGGGGACATTCCCACCCAGCCTTCTTCCCAGGTCTTCTCTGCATAGCCCTGACAGCTGCATGGGATATGCGGGGTCTCTCCTGGGCCTGGGTGGAAGAAGTTGGCAACTCTTTCCAGTTCCCACTTCCAGGATACTAGGCTACACTTTACACCGCTCTTTTAGATGAAGTGGGATTTGGGTAGGAGTTGGCAAGGGAGCTCTTCTGTGCTCAGCTGGGTGAAGTCTGAACTTCCCTTCTCCCTGCTCTGCCTTTTAACCTTGCCCACTCCCCTGTTCTCATTCATCTGGGCTCTGCTTTCCCCAGCTGGAGAGCCCCAGCACCTACCAGTCCCATATTCACACTCACCTCTCTCCTCTCTTCTTGGGTTTGTTTTGTTAACATTTATAATACATCTGGATGATGTTAGATGCTTCCTGCTGGGCTTCCATGAGAAATCCAAGTGCAGAGGACACGTTCCATCATCTGTTGCTGGACCCTGCATCTCTGCGACTCCAGCCACAGATTCCAGACTGAACGGAGACTTAAGATGCATAATGGGACTGAGGCCACATGGGACACCTGTTGTCCTGGCTCCTCCTGAGTCCTGGACTTGCTGGAGCCAGCCCAGGAGAGCTCAGCAGCTCCACGTAGTCAGCAGAGTGCCTACAGTGCAGCCTTCTCCCCTCCCCTCCAGGTACCAGTCTGCAGGGGTGTGGGGTACCTGGCAGGGTTCTGCACCTCCGGCATGCTCCACACCTCAGTGAAATTTTAAGTGCAGCCTTCTGCAGGCACAGTCCCTCAGAGTGCTCAGGAGAAGTGGCAGCTGCCATTTGTCCAGAGGACAAACCTTTTAAACCCCATATGCCTTGTGAACAGCTCTCTTGTATGAGTGAGGCCCCTTCCTGGGACCTCTGCTCCCAGCCAGTCTTGGTGAGAAATGTGATCAGGTAGGAGACGGGCTCAGGACCCTCAGAAGGCCTGCCTGTCTGCTGGCTTTGCAGATGGTCATGCCCTCCTTTCTTGTTTTGGGGCCATGGGGAAGTGACCCACAGGACCTGTGGCTTGGCAGTGCAGGTATTTATTCATCCTCAGCAAATCCAGCAACACTGTCTGTGGGCTGAGCTGGGCTGAGCTGGGCTGAGGGAGGCCCCTCAGCTCTGTTGGTTTGGTTCCCTGCATTAAGCCTGGCCTCTGCAGCTACCAGCTGTCAACAGCACACCCATCCTGAGGCTGTCTCAGAAGCCAGTGACTGTGACTGACCCTCCCTTTGTCTGTGTGTCCTTCCTTCCCTCCTTCATTTTATCTTTCTCTCTCTTCCTTTCCTCCTTCCTTCCTCCTCCCCTCCCTCCCTCATGCCCACCCTCTTCCTCTCTTCCCTTCTCTATCCCTTTTCCCCTTCCCTCCTCTCCTCTCCACCTCAAATTAAAGAAACACCTTAGCACAAAAGACTTGAGCTGTTTTCCTGCTCAGGCTCAGTGTGCTGCTGGGTGCTGCACCCATGTGATGTCTAGCAGGGTGCAGCAGTACAGACCCTCCCATCCCCAACCCAGGCCCAGGCTGCCAATAGGCCCAGCGCACACCCTGGTGTTGGAGGAAGACCTGGAGCAGTGTCTTCTGAGGCTCCTTCCACTCTGGAGAGGACACTAGGGCTGCCCTTGCACAACCAGGCCCAGGGCTGGAGTTGGGTCTTGAGAGGCAGAACCTACACTGCTCTCCACTCCTCCCACCCCCATCCTCCAGCTTCCACAGGACTGGCAGGCAGCTCTAGCAAGGCAACTGCTGTTAGTTCCGTTGTTTGTTGTAAAAATCTATATGGTGGAAGTAGTCGTTGTTGTGCCATGATCTGATCTAGCTCCTGATTTCAGAAATGAGAAGATTGAAGCTCCAAGGGGCAGGGAGCTACCCAGGATTGTGGTGGCTTGGTGGCAGAGCCAGATCCAGAGTCCTCATGCTGGCAGCACCTGCTCTTGCCGCGCTCCCTTGCTTCACCTCTGGTGCTTATCCAGAGTGAACTTCCCACACACAAGCCCTGATGGGGTCCCTGGGCAGCTCTGCCCAGGCTTCCTCAAAGCAAGGGTACCCAGCACCCTCCCTCTACAGGGGCTGTGGGAGTTCAGCACCCACCACTCCAGTCCCTTGAGGAGGGGACCCATTGCAGGAACTTGGCCAGCACAGCTCCTAGATTCCCACCTCAAGGCCAGCACCTGCCTCTGTTGCCCTAAATGGCTCCTAGTCATAGCCCATCTGTGCTCTCACCAAGTCCACTCTGGGAGAACAGTGTTAGGGCAAGTCCAGATCCTGGATATAGGTCAGTAAAGGAAGTTACACATCCTGTGCTCCAAGGCCCATGGCCAGGCCTGGCTTTTCTGCTAGCACAGAGCCTGTGTTGTGCCCTGAGCCTTCTGTGGTTGTGGCAGGGTCATCATCCAGGCTTCCTCTGTGGGCACTTCTGGCCCCAGCATAGCAGTCTCTCACTGGGGATGGTACCCTGCTCTCTTTAGTGCCCAGAGGCCTGGACCACCCAGCAAGGGCCAGGGCTTCTAGTCCCCAAGTGCCAGGGTCTTACCTGGTACTTTATTTCCTTTTGTCTTCCCAGGTGGCTGGAGATGCTCATGGTCTATCCACGGACCAACAAACAGAACCAGAAGAAGAAACGGAAAGTGGAGCCCCCCACACCGCAGGTAGGCAGTGGGTTTGCCAGGTGCCATCCCTTCAGTGGAGCCAGGGCTTGCAAAGAAGTGAGGGCTCCCTGGAGGTTAGAGAGTGAGGACACAATCAGGCCAGGGCTGAGGCAGTCATCAACCCTGCACATCCTTGTTGTGGGCTGTACAGCAGGGACTGAGCCACAGGGACCCACAACAAGGACAGAGTGGCCTGCTGGTATGCTCAGGGCTGCCCAAGGGAAGTTTCCAGCCAGCCAACAGTACACAGCTGTGACCCCCTCTCTTTGCTGTTCTGCTGGCAGCTTGTGAGGGGCAGCATGGGCAGCCTGCAGCCACAGTCAAAAGGACTCTGCACCCACAGGTGACCCTGCAGGCAGCCAGATGCAGTAGGATGGGGAGGAGAGTCCTGGAGTATAGTGGCCCATAAGGAGCTCAGAGGGGCCCTTGCTCCAACTCCCATGTGACCTGAGCAGGGCAGGGCATGGCTGGCTGGGGTGGTCCCTCCAGGCCCAGTTCTTCCCCACAGGCCACAGTCCTCCTTCCCACCCTGGCCAGTGTGCAAGGCTCAGAGCATAGAAGGGTCCTGCACTGCCTCACCACAGTCCCCACGTTCCTGGGGCCGTAGAGGAATGAGGTAACATTTCTGAGCCTCAGTTAATCAACTTGCAAAGTGGGCCTATTGCTGCCTAATTGCCAATATTGTTGTGAGCATGAAAGAAAGTTTTGGACTGATTATTGGTTCTCAGTAAATGTAATTCCTTTCCCCTCTATAGTATACACTACTGTTCCCAAGTGCTTTGCTTTGTCCTGAGCCTCATAGTCACCCTGAGAGGGAGCAGAGTGGGGTTGGGGGTCCCTTGGGCATCACAAGGCCAGAGGCCCACAGAAGTGAAGAGAGCCAGCCACAGGCTGCAGAGGTGGGGAACATGCACTGGCCTGGGCCCCCTTCTCCCCTCAGCCCCTTGGGCTGCCCTTGGATGTGCCTGCCCTGGCCAATCTCAGTCCATGGTCATCCACCCTCCATCTTGGGGTCAGGAAGAGAGGTGGGGGCACCCAAGCCAACATCCACTGGAAAGGAGATTTAGCTAACAAGAAGCCGGCAAAAAATACAGAGTGCTTCTTGGAGACAGAAAATAAAGCCTCCTGCTGTGGAATAGCAATTAACACGTAAATCCCCCAGAGCTGCCTGGTTTGAGAGAATAAAAAAACCACAGGCAGAATAACCATGTTTAGGGTTATGCTGTGTTTCCATGGTGATGCCTTGGAAACCGCAGAAGCAGAGCTCCTGCCTCCAATAAGGTAACTCCATGTGAAGAAGCCACTCTCATCCCAGGCCAGGGAGCTTTCTTACTCTCCTACCCTCACGACACCCAATTCCCCAAAACAACTAGCCATGACCAAACTTCAGCTCTTTGGTTGATAGAAGGGGCCAGCCACATGATCCCAGGGTGGGGAAGTTATCCACTTCCCCTGAGGTCTCAGAGTCTGGAACACAGGGGTCCAGCCTTCTGCATTCAGCTCCCTCCTGAGACAACCTTGCAGAGTCCTCCTTTCTACCCCTTGGTCCTGAGAGCATGCCATTTGAGGCTGCTTGTTTCCAGAAGCTTTGAACTTTAATCAGGAACCATCTCTTTATCAAGGCAGTCTTGTGGGGGTGACATGGGGGCACTGCAAAGGAGCAGCAGGGATCGTGGTTGAGATGGCGTCTCTGGATAGGCCTCCCTTCTGCGTGCAGCCTGATCCTAAAGGCATTCTCAAGGCCTAGGATGGGGCTAGGGGTAAGCTTCACACCTTCAGAGCACCTGTAGAGGTGAGTACCCAAGACTATATACTTGACTTCTTTCTCCATGGCCCAGTGTAGGCCCAGGAGAGTTTCAGACTGAACTAGTGGAGGGCTTGAAGCACTGGCTGTCCACTGTGCCCAGTAAGAATTAGCTTCTGCCCTTGAGGAACTCAGGTGGAATTAGCTTCTGCCCTTGAGGAACTCAGGTGGGACATTCTAGAAGGTTCTACTTTCAGAAGTTGGGGCCAAGGATCGCACTACAGGGGCAGCAGACAGCTTTTCATCTGAGGGCAGGGGTCTCAACAGAGTCCAGGGCTGGGAGAGGAGACTGGCTTGGTCCTAACCACAGCTTCCAAAGCCTGTGGTCTGAGAAGCACGGGCTCCAGGGAGCAGCTTCTTACTTAACTTGTGTTAGGACTCAAAGAAGGAAAGAGCCTAGAGCAGAAGGAAACGATGATCCACGTAGGTATGAAGGGCAGGAAAGATGGAGACAGGCGGAAAGCCCAGAGTTGTATTTCTAGCCAGGTTACCAGGTCCCAGGTCTCCACTTCGCAGGTGGACCTGAGGGAGGCCAGCTCCTCCATCTCCCAGCCCCCCAGATTCTTCTGCTTTTCTCTGGCTTTCTTCTGAGACCTGTAGAACCACAGTCCTCAGTGTGAGCCGAGACAGCACCACCGGGCCCACATGAGTGTCTCCTTCCTTAAGAATGCTGTTTTTTACTGGGGTGTCTACTGCCACCCACCCCCACTCCAAGTCAGAATCTTTCCTTCCCATCGGTTTCCCTGCTCCATGTTCCTGCTAGGAAAGTGAGGAGCCTTCTGAAACACCTGCAGAGAGAGGTGCCTGCTTGGCAGGCAGGGCTCTAGAGCAGCTTTTGCTTTGGGGAAGCGCTGCTGCCAGGGTGGGCAGTTCGGGTGGTTCTGCATCCAGCACAGCTGCCGGTTTCCCATAGGTAAGCATCCCAGAGTGCTGTGTTTGCTACAGGGACAGTTGGTCCTGGGGTGGCATCCCCTTGGGTCATTGGAGCCCTTGGGAAGCTTGTCAGGAGAAACCTTCACTGTTTGCCTCTGAGAAGCTGGCTTCTTCTGAGGGAGCCTTCAACCTGGGAGTCTGTCTGCTGGCGGCCCTGAGACAAGTAGGCAGTCAGGTGTGCATCCTGGGTCTGTGGGAAGAGCCTCCCTGCCTTTATCCTATACATGAGTCCTGGAATCCTTGCACAAGTGCCAACAGCTTTGGACCCAGAGCCCCACCCAAGGCAATGTCCCCCAACCCCATGGCCTTGCTGCTTCTGGGGCACATGGTGGAAACACTCAGACCCCCATGCTGCCCCTCACTGGCTGTGTGTGCATGGGCCCTCTGCCTCTTCTCTCAGCCCCTGTGGCCTTCCTTGAGAGGTAGATGACTGAAACTGGATGTATGGAGCCCAGCCAGGCTATCAAATAGCCTAGTGGTGACGCTGCATCTGCAAGTGTGCACCCACACATGCATGTAAAGAACCTGTCATCTGCAACCCTCTCCAAGGGCCCAAGCCAGAGAGGGACTAAGGTGGATTTCTAAAAATGAGGCTTGGCCATCAGGATGGAAGTGGGAGGTGGGCACTTGTATATCATGCTCTTGTCTTTTGCAAGAGAGCTCAGATGTGCTTCACTTCTGGAGAGAGGCCAAAGCCATCCTGTTGGCAGCCCTCTGGGCAGGGTTGTTGGAGCCCAGGTTGTGACCTGGTACTGTGGAGCATCTAGGGATCACAGCCCCGCTGTTGTCTGGACTCTGTGTCTTCCTAAATGCTTCCCCAACAAATGCTTCACCCTCGGGGAGCAATACCATTTCCACAACCTGGCGAGATTGGGGATTGACACTCTTTCCATCTTGGCTACTGGCTTGTATCTAGCTTGTGCATGTATGAGCTTGTGAGTGTGAGAGAGCATGTGCATGTGAATATATATTTGCATTTGTGAGTGTGGGCCTGTGTACAGATTCAGATGGAGTGTTTGGTGTCTTTGTTCTGTCTGCTATAATAAAATACCACAGATGGGTCAGCTTATAAATAATAGAAATTTTTCTCACAGCAGGCTGGTTAGTCTAAGATTAAAGTGCTAGTACTTTGGGGATCTAGTGAGGGCCCCCTTGCTGGTCCTCAGATGTCGAAGGGGCAGGGCAGCTCTCTGAGGCCTCTTCTATGAAGGCACTAATTCCATACATGAGGGCTCCACTCTCATGACCTAATCACCTCCTAAAGTCTCCACCTCCTGATACCATCACCCTGGGGGTTAGGATTTCAACACATGAGTTGTGGGGAGACACAGCATTGAAACCATAGCATTTAGTTTGCATCTGATGACTCTTCGCTTTACATAGAGTCTGGGCATTCCATTTTAGCTTCTTAGGAGCAAAAAACAGAGGCTGGGTAAGGCCACAGGGCTGGCCCAGACTTGGGAACTGTGAACTTGTTCTTGCATTCACCATAAGGATCTACAGATGACGCAGGACGTGTCTCAAGGGTGTGTTCTCTTTCCTCACTCTGTTCTGTCTCTTCTTATTCAAGTCTTGGATGCCTAGGAATGACAGATTTCGAAGCAGCTACTGTGGTCTCACTGTGAATGCCTGGCCCACTGTTACAGAGCACTGTCTGAAGATTCCAGCTCCCTGAGATTGTGTAGCTGGCCCGGGTGCCCCCCATAGCTGGACAGCCAGGACCTGTGACCCAGCCTGGGCTATGTGCTCCTGCACCTGCACAGATACCACTCTCTTCTCCTCCAGGAGCCTGGGCCTGCCAAGGTGGCTGTCACCAGCAGCAGCAGCAGCAGCAGCATCCCCAGTGCTGAGAAAGTCCCCACCACCAAGTCCACACTCTGGCAGGAAGAAATGAGGGCCAAGGACCAGCCAGATGGCAGCAGCCTGAGTCCAGCTCAGAGTCCCAGCCAGAGCCAGCCTCCTGCTGCCTGTTCATTGCGGGAACCTGGGCTGGAGAGCAAAGAAGGTGAGCAGGGGCCAGGCTGGCCTGTATGCACTAGAACGGCCCTCCCTCCCATCAGGGCTGGCACTGGGGACTCAGCCAACAGCTTTAGAGCCCAGTCACAAGTCCTGGACCTTTATTTCTCTTTGTCCGTCAGCCCTGTGGGTAGCACCTGGCCTGGTATGGACTGAGATTCCTGGGCTCCAGTCTTGGCCTTGCCCCTTCTGGCTCTTAAATTCTATCTTTAAAGGAGGAAAACAGCACCTGCTCTGTCAGCCCCAGTTGCTTGTCAGGAGAATCAGAAACATTTTGCAGCAGGGTCTGTGTCAGGCCCCTGTCACTGTACCATCGTGTTTCTGTGTGCATCCTGCCCCAAAAAGCAGTGGTCAGGCAGCTTTATCCCTCTGACTGTCCACATTCTGCCTGGGCCCCTGGCAGAAGGAGGGGAACAGGTACTGGGGAGGCAGCAGTTGGCATCCTCGTGCCCTGTTTTTTTAGCACTTTGGAATTGCCTGAGCAGGAGCAAGGCTTTTATCTTTGCCTCTCTTGTTCCCAGGCCCTAGAGGTCTCTGTAAGACACAGGCTGGGTTTTCCCATCTGTGTTTTGTCTAGATTGTTAAAGATAAGTGAGCAGCTGTGGCCAGCCCAGCTTACTCTGGCTGCATGTTTCACATGCGCTCTGGGTGGAAGGTGTCTCAGTCTTCCTCTCGGGCCTATCCATGATAAACATCTATTTACTCTATCTTACTTCTGCAGAAGTCCCCTGCCCCTTCCCGCCCCCAGAATGCACTAAAAGACTGAAGGGGACGGGCATGGTGGCTCATGCCTGTAATGCCAGCACTTTGGGAGACCAAGGCGGGTAGAACACCTGAGGTGAGGAGTTTGAGACCAACCTGGCCAACATAGTGAAACCCTGTCTCTACTGAGAATACAAAAATTAGCTGGGTGTGGTGATACATGCCTGTAGTCCCAGCTACTTGGAAGTCTGAGGCAGGAGAATCCTTGAACACAGGAGGTGAAGGTTGCAGTGAGCCAAAATTGTATCACTGCACTCCAGCCTGGGTGGCAGAATGAGTGAGATTCTGTCTCAAAAAAAAAAAAAAAAAAGACTAAAGAGCTGGTTGAGTGTCAGCTTCCCCCTCGATGGTAAGAAGCAGTTGTTGGTGGGTGTCTTACATCCTGAGGTACAGATCTGCTCTCCCAGCTGAGCCCCCAGACTAGACATGTAGGGCCTGCCTGCCAGCCTGGCTGAGAGGCAGTCAGCTGCAGGGGAGAGATGGATAAGGGAAAAAAGCATGCACGGAATATTTCATGCCCATCCATGGTTCTTAATATCTGCCCTTGAGTGGGCTGTGCTGTAAATTAGAGATGGGAGGTAGAAAGTCCCCTGCTTGGGTCCTACATGGGCTTTATTTAAAAAGTCCTCAAAGCAAAGCTGGCAGCAGGTTGAGTGCAACTCCTCCCTCCCACTGTCCCTTCCAGAGGAGAGCGCCATGAGTAGCGACCGCATGGACTGTGGCCGCAAAGTCCGGGTGGAGAGCGGCTACTTCTCCCTGGAGAAGACCAAACAGGACTTGAAGGCTGAGGAGCAGCAGCTGCCCCTGCCGCTCTCCCCTCCCAGCCCCAGCACCCCCAATCACAGGTACAGTTGCCCCGAGTCACCCTCCCGGGAGCTCGGTGGTCCCCTTCCTTCCCCAGGTCCTCGACTCCCCCACCGAATGGTCTACAGCATCTCCCTCGGCTCCCTGGATGTGGCCAGCCAGCCACCTGCCTACGTGGACTCTGGCAGCACTGGGGGGCGGGGGACAGAGAGACTGGGGAGCACCTTTGCCTTTAAAGCCAGCAGGCAATATGCCACCCTGGCCGACGTTCCTAAGGCCATCAGGATCAGCCACCGAGAAGCCTTCCAGGTGGAGAGAAGGCGGCTGGAGCGTAGAACTCGGGCCCGGAGCCCTGGCAGGGAGGAGGTGGCCCGTCTGTTTGGCAACGAGCGGAGGTAAGGAGCAGGTTAGGGCTGAACAGTCAGATCCACACTCATGCCCTCCCACCCATGCACATACACTCACACTCTCTTTCTCTCACACACAGTCCCCAAGCCTCCTTTGGGGGAGCATACTTTCCGTTCAGAGTGTAGTGGGATTTTCCCTCCAGGCCCAAAACTCAGCTCTTGCAGCCAAAATGCAGAATATCTGAACATCAGAGATCAAAGCCAAGAATAGCAGTTTTCACATCTGTGCCTCCTAGGACTGGGACCTTAAGGTTTCCTGGTGATTCCTGGCTTCCTGCTCCTTGTGGGGCTGGATCTTTTTCTCCTGGGCCATTTCTATTCACTTAAGTGGCATGGAGGCAGGGAGACCCTAGGGCTACACATGGTGATAGAGGCACTCCTCACCCTGGCAGTTCCAGGGTGGGCAAAGGGCATTGAGAGAGATGCAGGGCAGACAGTCATGCCCAGGAAGGTGGGGGGCAGACAGCACAGTTTCCTCTCAAGGACATGCTCCTTGGGTAGCCACAGCACCAGGAACCCTGAGGCAGCCTGTGAAGCAACCGAGCACCCAATAGCTTTGCTTTTGCCCTCCAAGGGAGCATTGCTTTTGGCCCTCTAAGACTTTGGCTGGAAAGAAACAGTTTTAACAGCCGGGCTTAGGGTAGGGGGCCAAGGTGCACAGGTGCAGAACTTGACTGCTGCCTAAGAAGAGGGAGGGGCTATTCCCTGCCTTGCCCTGCCCTTGTTTGCCAGAGTTTCCTAGAGAACTAGAAAAGAGCTGGATGCCATTTTAGGCCTCCAAGCCCAGATCAGACCCAAGTGCCCAAGCACGCCTTCGATCAGGCTTGCACCCCTACATCTGTAAACTGAGGCTTTGCCTTGACAGCAGGGGTCCTCAGCCCAGTTTATCAATAGACTTACAGACTTCTGAAGGTCCATGATGGCCTGCCTCCTCAGCAAAACAGTTCCACAGTATATATGGGCACTATTCTGGGAAGAAAACCCATAGTTTTCATTAGTTTCCCAAGGTTCACTGTCAAGAAAAGGTTCAACACATAGTTCTGGAAGTCTCAGAGCATCCTCACTTCCCCAACGGCAACCTGGAGCTCAGAGTTAGAGACGCTACTAAGAGGGACAGATGAAGGCAGCCATGGGCTTCCATGCCTCAAAGGGCAGGTAGAGGGAAGTGTTTTTACCTCCTGTGCCCTTTTCTTCTGAACACCCACATTAGCTGACAGCCCACCCACTCTTCTAAACGTCCCAGATGAAAAGGACCTGTGAGCCTGCAGGTTAGTCTCCAGGATAAGGAAGCATCTCCCAAAGATATTGCTCTTGAGAGGAAAATGACACGTTGACTTCCTAGAGAAAGGAAGGGCAACCAAGTGGTTCCCAGCCCCTGCCTGGTGCCCCAGGGTGCTCTGCTAAGCACTTCACTGCCTTAACGTTTCATAGTAGCCTGATGAGGACCTGTTACTACCGCCCCCCCACTGTAGACATGAAAACTGAGGCTCAGGAGTAGTGACTTCTCACAGTGGATAGCTGATGCAGATCCCGGTGGGGCCTTAGCCAGGAAGTCCATGGTCCCATCCTGTGACCCAGGACTGATGCCAAGGGTGCCCTTTTAAGCAATCAAAATATAAGTAAAGGGTTTTGCTAGAGAGAGGAGGAGGCCAGTGGGTGGGCAGGGGAGGCTTCACGCTGGCTGGCAAGCAGGCTGTGTGTCGTCGTGGCTCCAGAGCAGGATCAGCTCTGTCCTGGTTTAGCGTTAGACCACAGAATTAGCATTCAGCGCACCTGCTTGGCTTGGCTGCTTCTTCGAGGGACTCCTTTTGTACTTGTTCTGGTCTCCTGGCCTGGGATAGGTGCAGTCTCTGGGGCTTTGTACTCTGCATGCACTGCCACACGGGGACAGGTTTTTTCACCTGGTGCTGGTCTTGCCAGTTCTGCATACTAATACTGCAGCATCCCTTTCTTCTGACCCTGGTGACATCAGATTAGCTACTGTCACTTTCCAAGGCCTGCTCACTGGATCCCTAGTAGCTTACCCTGTACTTAACTGGATTCCTGTCCCCTAGTTCATGAGAACAGAATCTCCAAATTGGCAAGAAATTGTCCGCAGCTGCCTGGAATGGCAGCCACAACAGGTGTGCCCAGGAGCCAGCCTGCTGGGACCACAGGGTTGGTTTTTTGACAAGCCACAGTCATCTAGGTAGGCCTGTCTGAACCTGACCAACTGTGGGTTTCTATGTGTCTGTTCCTCAGACTTCCAGAGTGTTTCTTGGATAATGAGTCAACTCTGCTGCCAAGTGGGGGAAGCTGTGGTCCTGGTGGACCTGCTGGTGACTGGCAGCAAGGCCAGCTCCCCATGCAACCCTAACCCCCTGCCCTCAGCACAGGGTTTCATGCCCTAGGAGCCCTGGAGCTACAGGGTGCAGGCCCAGTTTTCTATGCTGACCAGTAAGGCGCTTGCTGTCCCACCTGCAGTGCTTCCAGGGCATCAGTTAGTAACTTCGCACCTACCCCAGTAGATCACAGCAGCCATTGCTCGAGCCTGTGGTCTTACAGGATCCCTAGACCCCCATGCAAAGCAACTGTAGCAAGTGCCTTCCCTCTTCTGTGACTCCTCTCTGGATCCCCACAGTACCATGGCATGCGACTCTCGTAGAATTCAAGCCCAGCAGCCCTTCACTGCCTTCCTGGGGCTTTCTAGGCCCCAGTGCTGGGCAGAGAAGACCTCATGCTGGAAGTGACGGCACTGAGGCCCGTTGGTGGGACTTGAATCTCACCCAGATCCCATCACTGGCTCAAGTGTGGTGGATGCCCAGCCTGCACTTACCCAAGCTTTCCCTGGGTGCCCAGGAATTCCAGCAGCTTCCTTAGCTTCCTGCTCTCACGATGCCACGGCCTCTCCTGCTCCCCCATCCCAGCGCCTGCCTCTGCTGCCGGTTCTGGCAGGCTGGCCTGGTACAAGCTTCTTTCCTAAGAAAGATGCTTTGTGTGGAAGTGCAGGGAGAAAGTGGAGCCTGGGGCCCTCAGAGTCCAGCCCTGGACCCTCCTTGCTTCGTGGTGAAGACCCCTTGGACAGCTGGTTTTCAGTTTTCCCTTACACTCCCTGAGAAGCAGCTGGCCTCTTGGGAGAGGTGGGGTCTCAGGATTTGATCTCGTTTCCTCTTTTTCCTTGTGGAGATAATTAGGCTTCCTGGCTTCGGAGCCCTTCACTCGCTTCCCCTCAGTTCTTATCCTCTTGTCTAGAACAACAGTGACACCCTCTCTGCCAGGTAACTTAGGTGTCCCTGGGAGAACAGGCCCCAGCCCTGTGAGAAGGGGGCCACCCTCCTGACACGGTGATGCCCAAGCCCCCCAGGTGAGCAGTCCCCGTGAGCGGAGCCTCAGCTGGCATGTCCCCCATCTCTGACCCCACCAGGGTGACTCCTTGCCACTGGTGGACAATCATGGTCTCTCTCCCTCTTCAGTAATTACTTTGGGTTTTTGCTTCTTTAATTCTTTGGGTAATTTTGGTTCACCATTATTTGATTTGAAAAAGCAGTGCTTTTCCGTGTATTCATTTCCCAGCTTTGTTTTCTTTCAGGTCTTGCCTCTGTGCTCTCCTGCTGTGCCGCTGGGTGGTGCTGCACCTCCTCCACCCGCTTCACCCCATCTCAGCTCCGTCTCCGGCAGTAGACAGCCTGAGGAGGCCGCCAGCCCTCTCACATGAAATCAGCCTGCTTTGTTTTTGTTTTAATTTGGTCTTTGATTCCTTTTACTGTTGGCAGAAACAATGTTAATTCCAGGGCCTCTTTCTTGCTAAATTTTGGGGTGGGGGCTGCTCTGTGATCCATGAGGGATGCAATGAGAATGGAGGCCACCCTCAGAGGTGATGGTTGCCTACCTTTTGATCATGTCTGTGGCTCAGGAGAGGCTGCTGGGTGCCAAGCTGTGTGAATGCTGAATGGGTCAACACCACAGAGCCTGTGGGGCCTCCAGCGTGAGGGCAGAGAGCAGGGGCGAGAACAGGCCTGGTGGGAGGGAGGGCCGTGGAGGGATGCAGGTGGAGCTCAGGTTGGCTGAGCACATGTGTAGACAACCTCTATGCTGTGCAAACCTCAGGGAAATCAGGCCCAGGCCAGGCTGGGCATGACCTTACTGCCACCTCAGGACCTCATGTCCTCTCTTGCAGGAGGTCCCAGGTGATTGAAAAGTTTGAGGCCTTGGACATCGAGAAGGCAGAGCACATGGAGACCAATGCAGTGGGGCCCTCACCATCCAGCGACACGCGCCAGGGCCGCAGTGAGAAGAGGGCGTTCCCTAGAAAGCGGGTGAGCTTCTCGGGGGTGGCTCGGGTTCGGATCAGCATGCACTCCATGTGCCAAGTCCCCTCCACACACGCCTAGGATGCACTGCTGCCAGGCTTCTGCTCTCTGACTGCCTCCTCTGCATAGTGACCACCTGGTATGCAGGCCTGTCTCCTGCAGCTTCGTATCAGAGCCTTCTCCGTCTCTGCTAAAGGATATTCTCACATGTTTTAGATCCCAAATTTAATTAGAGTCACTCTCTTCCTCTCCGAGGCAGCCCGGAAACAAGGCTCAGTGTCACACCATAACTCTTTCTTTCAGGACAGCTGCACCCCTCATTTCTCCACTCAGCCCAAGGTAGACTCGGCTTCTGAAATCCTCCAGGGTACCTGCCTGCTGCTTTTGTGGCTGGCCAAGTCCAAGCTCATCTTCTCCTGGCTTCTCTCTTGTTCACAAGGTGCCTAGTGCCCACTGCCTGGCCCATAGCCTGCCACCTGCCGCCACAGATCCCAGGTTTCTTCCTTCTGTGACCCAGAGAAGCTGGAGGATGGGGTGGGACCAGAAAAGTGATGGTGACCGGGTATCCAAAAAAAAAAAAGGCTGCTCTATTAACCAGGGCATCTCACGACACGGGTCCTGTTCTGGCCCTGCTGCAGACTTGCTGTGGGGGCTTAGGCAAATCACTGCCCCTCACCAGGAGTAAGGGCCTGGTGGCCCTTGGAGGTGTGGACAGCACCAGCTCGTCCCTCACCTGCCCGTGTTGCCGTGGGCTGCACTGACTGGCGGCTGCTCTCTGCCACAGGACTTCACCAACGAAGCCCCCCCAGCTCCTCTCCCAGACGCCTCGGCTTCCCCCCTGTCTCCACACCGAAGAGCCAAGTCACTGGACAGGAGGTCCACGGAGCCCTCCGTGACGGTGAGCCCAGGCGCTGTGTCCTCCGGAGGCCGTGCTCCTCTGCTTCTGGTCACTCTGAGGCGCTGTCTGTTTCTGTCTATGCATCCCTGCCAGCTGTCCCTATGTGCACAGGCCCTCGTGTCTGTGAGCACCCCCACCCACCAACCCACAGGCCGTCGATCGCAGATTCTGTGTTTCTTCCCTTTTCTGGTCTTAGCAGAACCAAAGGCTCCATGGCATCCTGTGCTCCAGGAGGAAGCCCTGCGGAGGAGGCCACCTCGGCCAGGCAGACTCCTGACTCTAGGAGGCAGGGCTGCAGCAGGGACTTTCTACTCCTCTGGCTTTGGGCATTTGATTTTGTGGCACTTTGGAGTCAGGAGCCATGTCTTGCTAGAGCTTGTCTTCTTCTCCGCTTCATGCTTCAAGTGGAAGAGCAGACCTTGCCCTGGGTCCTCCAAAGGCCTCAGAGCTATGACAGCAGGGGTGCAGGAGGGACTGGTCAGGGTACAGGAGCAAGACCACCTCAGCATGCTGTCTTCAGCCTCCATGGGAGCCTGGAGCCTGCTCACTGCCTCTTGTCTCCTCCTTGCTGCCTGCAAAGCAGCTCACCAAGGGTCTCCAGCCTGCCCCAGGGATTGGGGGCTGCCAACCACAGATTGATGTGTAATGTGGAGTGTGAGGAGGAGTAAAGTTTGGGTTTCTCCTTGTCTGGGTTTTGCTTCAGGTGACCTGAACAAAACCACTCGGTTCTCCGTCAGCTTAGCTGGGAGCTCCTGTCCCCAGCAGCCAGCAGAGAGCACCAGTAGGGAGCCCACCTGCATAGGCCTTGCCATCGGGGGTTGGACTGCAGGTATGGCTTCAATGACATAACCACGATATGGACGTTAATAAGTTTTTGTTAAAGATCCACAGGCTAGGCAGGCTGTCAGAGGGGGGCAGGTGGTAGGCCCACACCTCAGGTCCTGTGCCACAATGGCAACTACAAGCATGTAGGAGAGGACCTCCCTATTTAAGGGTTTCTTGGGTTAGGGTGTCCTAATTTCACAGTGTTGCTTTTGATTGGGTGCCTCAAATAACTAGCAGCAGGGAAGTTGCACCGCTTGGCAGGATGTTGGGATTGAAACAGGGCTCTATAGAGGGACTTCTTATCTCTCTGGGTCAGCCTTGGCCAGACCTAGGCAGCAGCCACCTGTGAGTGGTTCCTCCCTCACTCCTCAGAGACAGGATTCTGAGCAGAAGCTCCCAGTATGCTCTGTCCTGGTAGTTGTCCTGACAATTTCTTGCCTGTTCTCACTTAGTCTCGCTCCTTGGAATAATAAAAAAAGACATCAAAGCTGGTTTCTGAGGAGATGGCTGTAGAAAAGTGGAGAGCACCGGGGACCAGAGGTGGGGTGACCCGTGTCTCTGTGGGGCCCAGCCAGGTGGGCTGCAGGTGGCACTGCTCTCTCAGGATACTCTTCAGGTTCCAGGTGTGTCTGGGCGACACAGGTGGAGAAAGGACAGAGCCCTGTGCCTGGGTGCTGCCCCGCTGTCTGCTGTCCTGCTCCTTGACCTGTGGGGAATACAGGTCAAGCCTGCTCCTGGTGGAGAAATGGCCGGAGGGTCTCAGCGGGGCTGCAGCTGCTGCTTCCTAAAACCACACATCTCTGTTTCCCAGGCTTCCTGTGGCTTCTGCAAGAACTTTTGAATCAATTCTTTCAGTCTTCCCTGCAGATGTTTCCCTTCAAATAAAGTGCTCTGTGACTCTTCTTCTGGGCTTGTTTTCTGCCCCCCAGATAGGCCCTGTGCTGTGAGCCCTGTACAGGCTGGAGCCCACGCCGCTCACAGGGCAGTGAGACCATACCTTCTTTCCTGCCAGCCTGCCAGGCCCACCATCTTCTTGAAGGTTGAGCATGCCTATAGAAGGCAGGTTGTGGGCAGCACCCACCAGGGTGAGGGGGCTGCACAGGCTTGTCTGGCAGGTGGAGAAACCCCTTTCCTGGTACCCGCCTCATCTGGACAGCAATACCGGCCCCATCAAACACCTATGACCCTATCGGAGTCTCCTCTGAGCTGTTTCTTTTTCTCCCTTTCTCACTCAGCCCGACCTGCTGAATTTCAAGAAAGGCTGGCTGACTAAGCAGTATGAGGATGGCCAGGTGAGTGTGCAGGGTTGCCGTGGCCCCTGGGGAGTCTTGGGGCAGGATGAGGGTGAGCTGACCTTGTCCCCAGCCAGTCGGCGAGCGCTGGCTCCATGCCTGGCTCCTCCATGCATGCCCCTTGTCTTACAGACCAAGGCTGTGGCTGAAATTCCCATCTGCTCCTAGAAGTGCAGGCACACAGCCTCCATTTTTGCAGTGGAGGGTGCTCTGGAGGGGCGCTCAGTCGGCCTGTCTGCTCATGGCAAGGGGTCTTGGCCTCAGGCCTTAGGGATGCCTTATAACACTAGCCCCCACTTGGTGATCTTTCCTAAAAGTTCTTTAGGGGCCTGGCTTCCCCAGGGACAAAGAAAGCCTCTGGCTGTGGGGTTGGCTTATGTTTCCATGCAAGCTAGCCAAGTAGACGGTAGCCTAGCACTCTAGCACTCTCATGCGTGAGACCCCTCAGCTGCAGTGGCAGTGTTAGCCCTGGAAAGAGCAAACATGGTACATTCTTGCCATGAGACTCAAGCAGGAAGAACCATCTGAGGCTGGACCTGCCAGCCCACCTTGACCCTGTGCTGTGGGCTGGAAGGCCAGGGCTCCCAAGGAGGCATGAAGAGGAGCCTGCTGGGTCCTTACCTAAGAGGCCCCGAAACCCAGCCCATCCGCACTCCCTTCCTGCTTCCTGAGCTGCTATGGCAAGACATCCTCTTTCTCTCTCCTCCATATCAAATGCCCTTGGCCTGGCCTGAAGATTCAAGGTCCCCTCCTTACTGCTCACAGTGAAGACTTGGTCTCTAGCTGGTTAGTTACCCGTGCAGGCTGCCACCTGCAGGTGGAGATGCTGTTTCACAGCCACCTTTCTGTTCCGATGGGCCCAGCCTGTTTGCAGCCTCTGTAGTTATTGAGGACTGCACGGCCTGGCCACCAGCCACACCACTGGTCATAGAGTCCACAGCCAAGCCCTGCTCAGCTGTCTGTGCTGCGTCTTCACTGGAGGGTCGCAGCTTAGCGAGCGTCCTGAGGACGTGAGTGCATGGCTGCCTGCGGGTCCCAGTACAGTCCCCTGTGTGCTGTCAAGGGAGTGGGTCAGCCTGTCCCCTGCTTTCCCTGTGCTGGGAAGGCCGCACAGGCTGGCTGTGCATTGCCGTGGAGTGGCAGGCATGCTGTATGGGAGTTGGTAGTCGAGTCTTACTTCTTTTCTTCCCCTTCAGTGGAAGAAACACTGGTTTGTCCTGGCTGATCAAAGTCTGAGATACTACAGGGATTCAGTGGCTGAGGAGGTGAGTGTCTGGGCTTTGCTTCTGCTGTGGAGACAGCTGGAAGGGTCCAGGTGGCATCTGGGGCTGGGAGATCTGCTTCCCCTAGGCTGATGTCTCCACTCCTGAGGACAATGCCCTTCAGTGGTGTTCCCTTGCCAAAGGTGTGTCCATATTGCCCTCAGGTTTCCCAGTCCCAGCCTGGTGGGAAGGTGAGCACAAGATCAGCCTTTGTCCTTGTGACTATTTTCCTGGCTATGATGCCAGACTTCATCAAGGCCCTGAATTAGGTGCCTACATGCAGTGGATTTGGGCAGCTTTTATTTTCTCTGTTCTTTGAAAAGCACTGAAATTTGAAAACTCAGGATAAACAGTTTTGTTTTTTCCACAAAGAGATTTCATGGTAAATGGAGTTGGAAGAATTTAGCTAAATCTTGTCCCCTGCCTTCTGGACAAGGACAAGATATGATAGATGAGCTTTGTTGGGCCACTTGGCAATCCTGATTCTGTGGTCAAAGAACAACTAGAAGGGGCTTTCTTTTTTCACCTACAAATAAAATAACCTCTTCTAAACAGTTTGGCAAGCCTCTTCCGCCATTTCCCCAGTAGTTCTACTCCAGGAATCCCTCAGATATACTTCCACATACTCAGGTTAGTCATTCCCACACATTTGCAATAGCCAGAAGATTGGAAAGAGCCTAAATACCCATCGCTAAGAGCTAGAGTATCAAATACTCTGAGCCAGTCTTTTACAGACTAAAGGCGGTAGTGATAAAAAGTAGGGGTAGGAAAGTGTGGGCAGCGGGCCTCTGGTGGTGTTCATCGTTAGGGAAGTAAGGAGCCTGTGTAAGTGTTTGGTTTTGCATGCACAGAACAGCACTTCCAATTGTGATCTGTAGACCTCTGGGGGTCCCAGAGGCCCTTTCAGGAGAGCAGTGATGGTTAAAATGATTTCTAATATTAAGATGTCATTGAACTTTTTTTTACATGCAGCCATCTGCACTGATGGTGTAAAAGCGATGAGAGGCAAAGCCACTACTAGCACTTGGCACAGCCCCAGTTGTAACAACAGGCTAGACCAGTGGTCACTGGATTCTTCACTGCCTTACATTTTAAATAATGGTTTTAAAGTAAATAAAGATCCTTGAAGGACCAGTAGAAGTTATTAATTCTATGAAGTCTCAATCTTTAAATGGCCATCTTTTTAATATTCTGTGATTTGAAATGAGAAGCATCACCTAGCTGCATGCTGGAGTATGCTGGCTTTCTCATGGAAAGGACTCATGTGATTGAGTTGCCAGCTGACCTAGCAGTTTCTCTGTGGAGCACCATGTTTACTTGAAAAACAACTGATAGGCAAAACTGTTGTCATTCATTTTGGGTGTTTGGCATATTTTTTCTGAAAATGAACCAAGTTAACTCATTCCTCTAAGGAAAACAACTGACAGAGTTTGTTGCCGGTGGTATCATTTGAGCTTCCAAGCAAAAATTAGAGCTTGAGAAAATTTGTATTCACCATTACGAACTTCCCTTTACTTACATTCTTCTGATGCAATAGGTGGTGGTATTAGCAAAGGTGATATTTTAATCTTGCATAATGAAATGTGTAGACATTTGCTACGTGTAGCTATGCATAACTTAATATTTCCCATGTGACCAATACCTGTTACAAAAGCATGCATGGGTTTTAATGTAACACAGTACAAAGAGTTTATGATTTCAATGCCACATGGTAGTTAACCTTTAAGAGCCTACTACTTATCAAAGAACAGCCACAACTATCTGAAAAACCTATTAAAATACTTCCTTTATTGTCCAGGCACGGTGGCTCACACCTGTAATCTCAGCACTTTGGAGGCTGAGGCAGGCAGATCACCTGAGGTCAGGAGTTTGAGACCAGCCTAGCCAACATGATGAAACCCCGTCTCTACTAAAAATACAAAAATTAGCCAGGCATGGTGGTAGTCGTCTGTAGTCTCAGCTACTCAGGAGACTGAGGCAAGAGAATAGCTTGAATTCAGGAGGCAGAGGTTGCAGTGCGCCAAGATTCATGTCACTGCACTCCAGCCTGAGCAACAGAGCAAAACTCCGTCTAAAAAAAAATTGCTTTCTTTATTCACCAGATTGAATGCAGAAACAAGAATCCAGCTGTCCTTTCTGAAGACAGATGTTAGATTTGCAAAAATTAAAAGCAGTGTGACTCTTATCACTGATTGTTTAATTAAATTTTATTTTAAAATGAAATGAGGTTATTTTTCTCAAATGAACAAATATATTTAAATATTTCAGTTTTAATTTCTAACACAGTAAATATCATCAGTAGATGAAATCCACATAACAGAAACTCTTCTAGGGTCCTTAGTTTTTAGGAATGTGAAAGAGCAACATATTTGAGGACCACCGGTGTGAACTATCTTTGGCCAGATACAGGGACAAAGGGTGGTGTGGTTGCACCCAGGGAGAAACATGGGTCGTGCAGTGGTAGGATAGACGGTATCCTCACTTGTCAGTGTGTGTACTATTAAAAATAAAATCAGTGCAGGAAATCACTTATGGAAATTAGGCATTGATTCTACTTCCTAAAAATCTCAAGACCCTTTCATTTCTCTCTGCAGGCAGCCGACTTGGATGGGGAAATTGACTTGTCTACATGTTACAATGTCACAGAGTATCCAGTTCAGAGAAACTATGGCTTCCAGATACATGTGAGCCCAGGGATGGAAGTGGGGCCACAGTCTTGACAGGCAGGGGCACGTGTCAAAGAGCCTGATATCTGGCCTAGGGGCACTTCTGGGCAGGCCTGATGCAGCATGTGTGGTCAGCACTTAGTCTTTCCCACTAGCCTTGACACCTCTGTCCTGTGACACCTGACCCTCTTCCCCAGTTCATGATCTGAACAATACATTAGACATTAGTATCTTTTTTCTGAAGACTGCTGAAAGGATTTTTGTTTCTGAAGATTCTTTTCTTTTTTTTTTTTTTTTGTTTTTTGTAATGCTAGAGTTGGGGCAGTTGGGAGGACGTGGGGTATGGGGAATAAGAATGAAGTGTTAATCAATTATTTACATCTGTTCATTACTCACTTATTCGTGTGTTTGTTCATTCGTTTACTTAAAATCTATTTTTTCCCAAAATCTTGTGAGGTACTCAGATGAGCAAGACATTGCTTTGTTCTTTAAAAAAAAAAAAAATCTTATTGGTAGGACAAAATGGTTCTTATTGGCTGTTTCTTCAAAACTATGTGGATCAAAGGCTGGCTGCAGTTAGCCAGACTCCAGGTTAAGGGCACAGTCCTCCATACTGCCACATCTGCCACCACTTCTTCCCCCGCCACCCCCCCAAGACAGGGTCTCGCTCTGCTGCCCAGGCTGGAATGTAGTGGAACAATCATGGCTCACTGCAGCCTTGAAATCCTAGACTCAAGTGATCCTCCTACCTCAGCCTCCAGAGTAGGTGGGACTACAGGTGCATGCCACCATGCCCAGCTAATTATTTGTTTTTTAGGGAGACAGGGTTTCACTATGTTCCCAGGCTAGTTTTGAACCCCTGGGCTCCAGCAGTCCACTTGCCTCACCTTCCCAAAGTACTGGGATTATAGGCATGAACCACTATGCCCAGCCCTGTCCCCACTCTGACACCAGTTGCAAGTACAGAGGTTTCCAAAACCACCTTCCAGTCTGAGAAGTCACTAGAATGACTCACAGAATTCAGGAAAGTACTGTCTTTACAATGAGTTTTATTATAGAAAAAAGCATACGAGCCAGAACCAGCCAAAGGAGAGCCATGTGGAGTAGAATCTGGGACTGGGGGAGTCACAAATGCCAAAGTTTCTGCATCCTTGGGGACATGGTGCCCTCTTAGCCCTGATGCAGGGCAGTACGCAGAGCATCTCCAGGAAGCTCACTGGAGCCCCAGTGTTGAGCTTTAGGAGGCTCTGTAGCTGCTGTGGTTGATGGAGTTGTCCTCACCGTTGAACTCCACCTACAGCCCTTCCTATTGTGGTCGGCTGCTTTCACATGGCCCAAACCCCAACCCTCTAATGGCTTTCCTCTAATTTCCTGCTTCTAGCCAGGCCAGCCTCCACCCTGAGTTAGCTTGTCAGGATGGAGTGTCAGGTGGTCCCAGGGGACCACCATGAATAACAAAGACTCTGGTCATCGAGGAAATTCCAAGGTTTGCAAGTTACCTCCCTGGAACCAGGACAGAGGCCAGGCCTCTCTTTGGGTAAAGTTAGTTCATCACTCGCAAGGGCTTTAAGAATAGGTGGAGAGTGTGATGGATCAAGAGCTGCCACCATGGGCTTGGGCCCTGGCCCTGGTACTTGGTTTCTCACACAAGGCTAGACTCACCTGTAGCAGAGTCTTACCTTAAAATTTGGGGGCCCAAAAATACAATTGTATTGCTATGTTGAGAGTTGATCCTCTATTTGGGGCTGACTCAAATTGACCCAACTTAGAGAAGACTAAAGTATAGACCCGAAGGCCAGTGTGTTCATTTACTAGGAAAATCCTGGCCGCCAGCCCACTGGGCTGCTGGCTGTGGCTTCCTGTGTGCAGGCGTCAGTGAGAGGAGCTGAGTCACAGTTGGAGGCTGCACTTTCAGCGTGGCACTAGGGCGGGGCATGAACTGTCTGCTGTTAGCAGCCTGCACTGTTCAAGTTTCGAGGCCCCTCTGCCCACATCCCCTGTGGGAGATGCCCAGTGATCCTCCTCTCCTGCCATCTACCTCCCATCTTCATGAGCAGCTTTCTCCAGGCAGGGCACACCTGAAGTCTGAGAACTTGCCCCACTCTCCTAGTGACAAATGAGGGCATCAGCCAGTCTCACCCACTGATCAACCCCTCCTCACTTTACCCTGGTAGGGCTTACTTATCCTGATGACTTTCTGTGAACCCCAAGTACTGAGAGTTCTAAGGAATGAGGAGGTGCTTCCAGTGTGAAGACTTCATGGAGGAGGATCCCTCGAGGCTCAGCAGGAAGGCTGAGTGTGAAAGCATGTCCCAGACTGTATTCCAGACCTGGAGGCACAGAGAGCACAGAGCCAGTCTGGGACCAGAGTGCCGGGTTGAAGGTCAGGTTGGGGCTGGTCTTCAGTGCTTTTGGAGAGCACTGAAAGGTGTTGGAAGACACCAGTCAATTGTGTGTTCATGATACATGACTGGCAGGACGTGCAGGTTGATTAGAAAGGAGCCAGGCAGGTTGGCATGTGAGGCTGGGCAAGAAAAGAAGGAGTGACACCCGGGAGGAAGAGGTGAGGACAGGACCAGGACCCAGAGCATGACAAGGCCCTGCCCAGAAGCCAGCAGAAGCATGGGGATCCCTGAAATTCTGGCAGTGATCCATTTGAAGCATGATGGGCTCTCAGAACATTAGGCAGCCGCTGGGAAAGAAAAATCAGCTGGAGAAAAGGGCTCTATGTGGAGCTCTGAGGCCAGACTCCAACAACACCCACACCTGGGGGTAGAGAAGGTAGGGCACCCACCTCAGCTCATGAGGACATGAGAATTGATGGAGGACCAAGCTGAGCAGTGGTGGTGTCTTGATCAGGCATCTGGAGGGGCAGGTCAGGTCCCAGCTGTGTTTTGTGGCACGTCAGGCTGGCACATGATCTGTTCTGGCCCCTAGCCAGGCTAGTAGCAGCCATCTGAAAATCGTCCCTGTGAGTGCATCCTGCCATCAGCTTCCCTGCTGACCTGGCTGCTGAGTCTGCTTGTGAGCAGCTCTCAGTTCAGGGCTGCAGCCCTCACTTCTGTTGGGTAGGCACCTGTAGGTGCAGTAGCTGGCCTCCAGCTCCATGCAGACCACTTGGCCCTCCCCTTTCCAAAGGCACCCAGGCAGGGCTGCTCAGGGGTCCAATGGTCATGTCATAGAGCTATGTGCTCTTTGCTTTGTCCTACCTGCTGCCCCATCCCCACCCAGAACAGTCTCTCCCACCCTACCGCCTTGGACAAGTACCTAGGGCAAGCCCTAGACTCCGCCTCATCCAAGCAGGAGTCCAGGGCTTGTCCTACATGCTCCCCAACCCAGCCAGCCAGGCACTGTGCATACCCCCTTTGTTACTTCTGAGCTGCCCCGTTCTCTGCCATCACCTTAATTTTCATCACTTGGACAACTGCAGTAACCAACCAGCAGGTTTCCTTGCCTTTTCTCAGTGCCACCAAGACCCTGATACACCTTGTTCTTGACCACTCCCCGGGCCCTATCATGCCATGTGCCTGTGTGGGTACAGACTGCAGGCGCCACTTCCCCCACCCAAGACACATGCCCTTCCCCATTCCCTACCTCCATGCATGCTCAGCACATGCTGATTTTGCCCTTCCCCCAAGGCTGGGAACTCCTTAAAGAGAGGGGCCCAGTGTCCTCTGTCTGAACTGGGGAGGATGATGGTGCATAGTGGGTGCCCAGTAACTGTGAGCTGACCTTACTGAGAGAAGATACCAGATTCACCATTGCCACAGATATACATCCCTGCCACAGCTTTGTCTCCTGCTCACCAGCTCCCTCGTGTCCCAGTAGTGGGCACATGTGGCATTCCTAGAAGGGTCAGTCAGCCACAGCCTTTCTCCCTGTGGGACTTAGTACCCAATTCAGGGAGCTCCTTTGGAAGTAGAGGGCAGCAGGCACCCCAGGGAGCAGTCACTGAAGGTGCCTCATCTTTCCCATGTAGACAAAGGAGGGCGAGTTCACCCTATCAGCCATGACGTCCGGGATCCGGCGGAACTGGATCCAGACCATCATGAAGCACGTGCACCCAACCACCGCCCCGGATGTGACCAGGTAGGATGGTGAAGATACCGTGGAGCCCCTTATGCCTCCTGTGGGCACCACTCTCACCAGGGCAGTGTCAGACTCGAGTCTGAAGTCTGAGGTCTGAGCCCAGTGCATCCCAGTCGGCTGCTCTTTCCCTTCTGTGTCCCTCTGTTGTTCAGGTTCCTGTCCCGAGCACATCAGAACAAACGTTTCTGTTTCTTTTCCTCTTTTAAGCCTGGGTGATTTCATCTTGCAGGTAGTGTGTGTGCCGGTCATTAGAACTAGGCTTGGTGGAGAATCTTCCATCTGTGTCAGCAGGCACCTGGCCAGGCTAGCCCCACACCTGCAGTCGGTGCTCAGGCCTTGTGCTCTGCTGGTGTGAGGGTAGGCCCATGTGTGGCATCCATAGACCACCCATTGCTTCTTTGTCTTGTCTTGGTCTTCTTTTCACCTCACTTCTATGTCTGTTTGATTTCTGTGCAGCCAAGTTGAAAAAAACCATCCTCTCCTATGTTAGCATTCTGTGGTTCCTGTGCCTCAGATTTTGCTTCGGGCTTTCTTCCTCCGGCCCTGAAAGTTAAAAACCTAGTTGTCATTTTAAAAGAAAGTGGAGAGTCAGAAGACTCAGACACATCCAAAAAAAAAAGAGAGAAGATTCCAGTGTGAGAGCTGGTCCTATGAGGGCCAGACCTCAGCTTTACCCACCTCAGGGCTTCAGAGCCTCCACACATCTGAGCACCTCTGGTGCCATTTCTCAGGTCCTGTGATGTAGATTACACCACGAATGTGTTTCTTGTGCTGCGGGTTAGGCTGCTTGGGTGTGGTGATGTCTCAGCAGGGCTGTCCATGGGACCCTTGACCTAAAGGTGCATTCTTTTTTTTGGGACAGAGTCTTGTTCTATCCCCCGGGCTGGAGTGCAGTGGCGCGATCTCAGCTCACTGCAATCTCCATGTCAGGTTCAAGCAATTCTGCCTCAGCTTCCCGAGTAACTGGGATTACAGGTGCCTACCATCATGCCTGGCTAATTTTTGTATTTTTTAGTAGAGACAGGATTTCACCATGTTGGCCAGGCTGGTCAAACATGGCCTTGGCCTCCCAAGGCGTCGGATTACAGGTGTGAGCCACCATGCTCAGCCTAAAGGCACATTCTTTATCCAAACCTTTGCCGATTTTCTGCTGACTTCACATCTCTTTGCATAAGAAGGAAAGAGCATCTAGATTGATTATTTTCTTTTTAGCCCTCTTTTCTGTGTCTATCATTTGTTCATGACACTGTCTAGTAAGACCAAGAGGCTGTGGCCAGGACACAGTTGCCCTCTGTCTCTCGGAATCCTGTGCAGAGAGCTGGCTTGTTGGTTAGTGGCAAATCATCTGCAAGCACAGCCAGTGGGAGGCACCCACAGTGGCAGCAGACTCTCCCACCCTCCAGGGGCTGCATCCTGTAGTGGCCTCAGCCACTGCCTCCGTGGCTCTCCCATCAAGAGCAGACACTCAAGCTTGATGAGCTAAGCACTCTTCCAAGCACCTTTAGGAAGCCCCCAGAGCAAAGTGAGAAAGGCCCCAGTTCTCTGCCCAGGCGGTTGGCAGCAGACAGAGCTTATTGCAGGGGTCCAGGAGAGGTAGTGGTGAGCAGTGCATAGGACTGGCTGGCCTGAGGTCCTCTCCTGCCCCTCTTCCCAGCCAGGCCTGGGCTCAGTGCTATGGATCAGCAATCCTGGCTGGAAGAAGTCAGCTTTGGGATGTCCCAGGGCAGGTATCAGGAATGCACCTGTGCACATGCATGTGCCTGCACATGGCTCAGGAGAGGCGCCTCCACACTTGAGTGCCTGCTTCCCTGCGTGCGGGGGCTTTCGGCCCAGTGGTATGACAGAGAAGACCAGGGGTTTTACTTTCATATGAAAGTTAATCTGGCAGTTGGCCTCCTGACCAGAATTACTTCATAATCTAGCATGTCTACGTAGTCTAGTAGAGTGGTTATCCTCCACCAGTTTGTTTTCAGCATTTATTCTTCCTCTTTATAGGCTTTTATTATTTGAGGAAAAATTTGAGGTTTTTTTTTTTTTAGTGCTGCCAGGAAAAATCCCAAGGAGGCATGAAAACAGAAATCACAGTCTCAGAAGCTGCTATCCTCGTCCTGCTCTCATCCGTGTCTCAAAGTCTGGGGTGGGGAAGTTGCAGGATGCTTCCTGCCTTTGGGGCTGGAGAAGCCTGTGGGGAGGTTTCTCCCGGGAACACAGCCAGTTCTGGTGTGGCTGTGGCTGCTGTCAGGGCCCAGCTGGGGGCCTCCGTGTATACCTGCCATGTGTGTCATCCCGACTCTCTCCATGATCAGGAGCCTGAGCTCTTAGTTCAGTGACATCACAAGATCTGCCCTGTGTCATTTTCATCCAGATGTCAGCGTGCTCTTACAGCAGGCACCTGCAGATCCTGCTGCTCTGAAGCACTTTGCCTCTCACTCAATCGCTGCCTAGACAACAATCTAGTGAGGTGGTGACAGCAGTCATTTTCTCTTTTCCTTGTGTCTCTCTTTAAAGGCTTCTTTACCTTTGGCCCTGATTGAAACACATGTGCTCCCTGGAACTCCTCCTTGGGCCCTCACTGTCCCCAGGTGGGCTTGCAACTGCCTTCTGAGGGCCTAGGCAAGACTAGGGGCCACTCAGTCAGCCTTGGGCCAGCTGGCAGTCTCTGAGGCCTTTCCCCGGAGTCCATAAACCTCTGTCTCAAACACTTTTAGCCTCTTTGCCAAATTGCCATCAGTAATGTCCCTGTCCCTCCCCTGCTCCAGACTAGGCCTCCCCAGGAATCTCTGCTTCTGGCAGATAGAGAATAGGCGTGGATTCCTCAGGCAGACCTGGCTTAACTCTGCTGACTGCAGAGTAGGTAGAGGCACCAATAAGCACGAACTGCACAGCTCGTGTCCCTTTCCTGACTGCCACTCACCTCCTCAAGGTGGCTGGTCACCCAGTGTCCTTCTACCCTTCTGCCTTTCCCTCCCAGCCCCTGGCTACTGCATGGTGTGAGCTCGTGGCCACCTGGGCCTCCTGTCTCCTATAACCATAGGAGGTCCCAGCCTTTCATACTCATCCAATACTAGCAGCTAGATTGGGCTTTTAAAATACAGATCTGGGCTGGGAGCAGCAGTTCATGCCTGTAATCCCAGCACTTTGGGAGGCTGCGGCAGGCGGATCACCTGAAGTCAGGAGTTCGAGACTAGCCTGATCAACATGAGAAACCCCATCTCTACTAAAAATACAACATTATCCAGGCATGGTGGTACATGCCTGTAATCCCGGCTACTCGGGAGGCTGAGGCAGGGGAATCGCTTGAACCCCTGAGGCTGAGGTTGCGGTGAGTGAGATCACACCATCACATTCCAGCCTGGGCAACAAGAGCGAAACTCTGTCTCAAAAAAAAAAAAAAAAATTAATTCCTTCTAAGGAAGGTTTGGTTTTTCCTCATTCTTTCATGACAGTCCAGTCCAGGGGTGTACGGAGGCCAGGCCTCGGACCAGGCAGGTACGGTGGCTGTGCCCAGGTGCAGCCTGATGCATTTCTTGGCCTTGAACAAGGGAGGGCTGGCCATCCTGCCTGTGAGGCTATGGGAGTCCTGGGACTCCCCTGGCTCCATACCCTGGCAGCAGGGCCACCACAGTGATCCCCTCACAGCATCTCTTCAGTCAGGGGACCCTCTTAGTGTCATCATTTGGGAAACCTCAGCCTTCTGAGGCTCTTTTTCTTTCCCTCCTCTGCGCTCCCCTCCCCTGCCCTCCCCTCCCCCTCAGAACCAGTTTGGGAAGGGATGTGGTGTAAAGGCAGAGTATTCCTGTCCTCCCTGCACTTAGGAAGCTGGGACTGGGATAGAAAAAGTATGTGGTGCCTGCAAGAGCTGGGTCATGGCTCAGTGTTGCCAGCTTCTACCTGGCAGGCCATACCAGAGCCACCCCTGACAGGCTGTGTCCATCCTCCTGCACCACAGCTCATTGCCAGAGGAAAAAAACAAGAGCAGTTCCTCTTTTGAGACATGCCCAAGGCCGAGTGAAAAGCAAGAGGCAGAGCCGGGGGAGCCTGACCCTGAGCAGAAGAGGAGCCGTGCACGCGAGCGGAGACGAGAGGGCCGCTCCAAGACCTTTGACTGGGCTGAGTTCCGCCCCATCCAGCAGGCCCTGGCTCAGGAGCGGGTGGTTGGCACGGGGCCTCCTGACACCCATGAGCCCCTGTGCCCTGAGGCAGAGCCTGGGGAGCTGGAGCGGGAGCGTGCACGGAGGCGGGAGGAGCGCCGCAAGCGCTTCGGGATGCTCGACACCACAGACATGCCGGGCACTGAGGATACAGCCCTGCGCATGGAGGTGGACCGGACCCCGGGGCTACCTGTGAGTGACCTCAAAACACATAACGTCCACGTGGAGATAGAGCAGCGGTGGCATCAGGTGGAGACCACACCTCTCCGGGAAGAGAAGCAGGTGCCCATCGCCCCCGTGCACCTGTCTTCTGAAGATGGGGGTGACCGGCTCTCCACACACGAGCTGACCTCTCTGCTGGAGAAGGAGGTAATAGCCTGGGGCTGGAGCCTCCCTATGCCCCAGCAGCCTTTCCATAATATCAGCTGTGCCCACCTGTGGCCTGATACATAGCCCTATCCCTTGAGAGATTTACAGACCTAGGGGAGACAAACACACAGATCAGTTCTCATAGTTGAGGCAGAGCTGTGGGAGCGTACCAGTGTGTACAGGGCAGGGAGGGGGCCTTCCAGGCACACAGGAATTTATCCTGCAGTCTAGGCCACTGCCCTTGAGAGGCAAGCCACTTTACAGGGCACAGATGGTTTCCTCACTCTTGCCTCCCAGTGGCAGGAGGGGAGTGAGCAGAGCCAGGTATGCTTTTGCACTAGGCAGCCCTGGCCTGGATAGATCAAAGCTGGAGGCAGAGACCAGCCCCAGTGGCTTGGAGCAGCTGATCAGAGATGAAGCCAGGGGCATGCAGCAGGAGACAACAGCTGGGTCCCAGGTCATGAGGATGTGAAACAGAAGGCAGTGGTGAGGTGAGGTAGGCCATGGATGAAGGCTGCCCTGTTACTGTCACTCCTCCATGAGGCCCTTAGTGCACCTGGGTACAGAGATGAACAAGCCAGCCTCCGATGCATAGCATAAGATGTTCTTTCATGGAAATGTATCCAGAAATCCAGTCTGTAGAACTTCAGCAGTGGATTTACATGTCTGATCGGGGAGTCTTGTAACCAGGTAGGCATAGCGTTATGGTTTTTGTAGAATTCCCTGTTTCTCCATTTGGGGACAGTTTTCAACACTGTTTCAAATGTGTTCTTTTACCTAAGTAGCTTGTTAAAAGATTTGCCACTTAGGTCTGCCTCACGCTTCACATTTTTTGTATTTTATTAAGTGTGTGAGGCTGAGTTAACACCAGCACTAACACTTGCACTTTTTCATTTTCCTCATCCATTAACAAATAAAGGCAAGATGAAATAAAATAACAGTTGAAACTCACATTACTTCAAGCTACTAAAATGGGCCAGCCAGCAGGAGACACACTGACTCAACAGTCTGGGGGGTTAGTCTTCACTGTTTAAAAGTCAGGGGCCGGCTGGGCACAGTGGCTCACACCTGTAATCCTAGCACTTTGGGAGGCTGAGGCGGGCAGATCTTGAGGTCAAGGATCAAGGCCATCCTGGCCAACATGGTGAAACCCCGTCTCCACTAAAAATACAAAAATTAGCTGGGCATGATGGTGTGTGCTTATAATTCCAGCTACTTGGGAGGCTGAGGCAGGAGAGTCGCTTGAACCCAGGAGGCAGAGGTTGCAGTGAGCTAAGATCACACCACTGCACTCCAGCTGGCAACAGAGCAAGACTCCATCTCAAAAGAAAGTAAAATTTAAAAATTAAAGTCAAGAATCTCCCCGCCTCTCACAGTATAGCCTGGCAGCACCCTGGGCAGCACTGACCTGACTGCCCACTACATACAAAGCTCCACTCAGCATGAGCTGTGGGAGCAGGATGGGTAGCCCTGCACATGACCAGACATCAGGAGGCACCTGGGAAGTGTGTGGGAAAGAGGTGGATGGATGAATGAGTAGCTGAAGCTGTTGAAAGCAAGAAGAATGTAAAACAGCTTACTCATTGGTGTCCACATCTTGTTTAAGGGAACTGTGGGAACCCTTTTTGCAAACAGAACTTTATGTGGAATCCATCATATAAAACTGGTCAAATGGAGTGGTTTCAGTTGAGACCATGGTGGGCCTTAAAGTGAGGCCTGCTGGGGGCTGTCACTCACAGTGGACCCTGTAGAGCCTAGCCTGGCCTGTGTGACCAGCTGAGGACACCTGAAGGGCCCCATGGGGTGGACTTCCTCCATATGCAAAGCCCTTGTTTCCCAGTGGACACACCCTATATGGGCCTTGGCATCTATATAGGGCATGCACTTTGGAACCTTGAGCAGGTGTGGGAATCATGTGGGCACCCAGAGCTTCCTGGAGTAGGAAGGACAAGGTATTCCCTTGGTCCCCAGATGGTACTGAGTCTGCCATTTTTACTCATGGCTTGCATTGGAACCTTTACTTCCAAATGCTGCAGGTAAAGGCCATATCAGCACATCTGCTGAAATGTGGAGACTCCAAAACTCTTGGGCCACAAGGAAGACCAGTGGAAGAGTCTGTGCTGTGCAGCCGCTTTGTTTATCATTGTCATTTTGCACAAAAGAATATGTTTTTTTGCCAACAGCTGGAGCAGAGCCAGAAGGAGGCCTCAGACCTTCTGGAGCAGAACAGGCTCCTGCAGGACCAGCTGAGGGTGGCCCTGGGCCGGGAACAGAGCGCCCGTGAGGGCTACGTGCTGCAGGTAGGGTGGAGGGGCTGCTGTGGCCCATGGTGCGCTCAGGAGCTTCAGTGTGAAGGGTTCATGCTTAGGCAGGCTAGAAATGTGCAAAACTTGGCTGAGCAGGGTCCGCCTCCCAGGAGATCACAGCCTTGGGCTCTTCTGCCATGGGATCGGGGCACTCAGTGTGCTGGGGAGCACTGTTTTTCCCTCCCGGTATGACATTTTGGGAATCTCCCTCAAACCTCTATATCTAAGGACTTTTTTTTTGGTAATAAGATCATTTTGGTGACCTTTCCCTTTGGCTGTGAAAGTGGCCAGTATGCATTTATTATAAATGCCGTATATATGCATGTGATTTCTCCTTGTTTTCACTGTAGTAAAACAAGGCCTGTTGTTGGGCCTGTTGTACAAATTGGACACATTTAATCATACAGCAAGCCCAGAACAAGAGTAAGTCAGTGGCAGAGCTGGCCCTGGACCCCATTCCCGTCTGTGTCTGTACCACACCTGCAGGCAGACCTGGGGCTGTTACCACTACTAGCCCAAGCCCGGGATACCTCCACCGAGATCCTGTACCACCGAGCCCTGATTTAGGAGTGTCACAAGACTGGAGCTAGCCTGGCTCAAGGGCAGGCCTGTGTGTGCTGACTTTCCTGCAGCGTGCCAGGTCTGGAGCATAAAACAGATATATTCCTGCCTGCACTGAGCAGTAGGGGAGATTGTGGAAGGGGACTGATGCATGAATACTGCGGGAGAAGTGAAGTGGGTGCCAGAACAGGGAGTGGAATTTCTTAGCAAAGGCTGAGGTTATAACATTAGAATCAGGGTCCTGAGTTCAAGACTTGGCTCTGCTACTGACCCCCAAAGCAAGTGCACATCTCTCCTCTAAGCAGCAGCCTGCTGCTTGTATAGCCTTAGACCCAGTGATCTCTGGGGGCCCTTCCAGCTCTTAGACCCCAATTCTCTCTCATATAATGAGTGTATTTCTAGACCACAGTGCGCTGACCTTGGTCTGCGTCATTGCAGGCAGCAGATGGACCAGGGACACTCAACTGGCCTCTGACCATACTCTGTGTTCTTGCAGACTCTGCTGTTTTTTGTCCTGCATGCTCCCTGAACCCTCTCTTTCTTTCTCCCCTCCGTGCCCTGGACTTTCCTCTCCAACCTCTTGTGTCATAGTCATCACCATGCCCAGTTCACACCTGGTAATGGTGGGCCTCCCCACCAAGGTCATTTCTGCATGCCCTCCAGATTTGGGGAGCATCTTTTTAATTCTTGATTGGGCCTTATCCTGCAAGAATTAACTTCAAATCAGGTGGCAAAGATACAGGTTCAGCATCCCAAATTCGAAAATCTGAAATGCTCCAAAATCCAAAACTGAACGCTACATTATGCTTAAAGGAAATGCTCACTTGAGCATTTCAGATTTTGGATTTTTTAATTTGGGATGCTCAACCAGAAAGTAGAATGCAAATATTTTCAAACAGTTCTTGTCCCAAGTATTTTGAATAAAGGATATTCAGTTTGTACTAGCAGTGGGCTTTGCACATTGCTAACCTAGGAACCTGCCTCTTGGTCTAACTTGGATGATTGCATGAGCCTACACTGAAGCCCCTGTTGGTCAGCACTGGGCAAAGCTGGTCTTTAATACCTTCCCACTAAATCTAATAACTTGTGACTTTTCACCCCTTTATGCTTTGGAAATGCTTTTACTCATGACTCAGAATGAGCAGGGGGTCTGTGGGGTTGAGGGTCAGTAGCCAGCTGCTGGGGTGGGTGCTGCTGGGAGGAGCTTGCATGGTTTGGACATTGAGCGTGAAGTTTAACTTGAACTTAACTGAGTGTCACATCTGTGGCTTCCCTGGGCAGCAGACCGAGAGGGAGCTACAGGCAGGCCAGATTCTTAGGCTAGGCTCTGCTCACTCTTGTTCATGTTGTTTTTCCCTACATTAATGAGTTCTGTCTCTGCATGCCTTTCACTGTGGGGAGTTTTGTTTCATTTGTGTTGTGTTTTGTTTTTGCATGCTTCACTTTTTCTTATTTTGAACTTCACAAAGGTTTGTTTTGTTGATGATCGTATTTTACTCCATGATTTCTGTTACCCTTCGTTTTGTCTTCTTACAGGTAGAGATTAGTTATTCTGTTACTCTAGAGGACTGGCTACACTTTCCACAGGAAAATGTTCAGATGTCACCTTGCTGACATCTCCCGAGCGTTACCTTCCTTCCTTCTCCTCCTGTCTTAGAAGGAAGTGGCATCATTTACCTACACCTTATGTCCTGCGCTTGTTTAGGATTTGCTGTCAAGACCGTGTACTTTTTGTTGCAAAACAAGCAGCTGCAGGTGCTCTGCTCCTCTCGCCTGTCCCTGTTCCTGGCACTCTCTTGTCGTTTAGTCTTTGTTTTGCTTCTCAGTGTGTTCCATTATTCAGTTTTGTTTGGTTTATTTCTCTAAGGTTAAAGCTGTTTTTTGATGTTATTGTCCATGTTTTCTGTTTACCTGGAAGCAGCTACTTATTTTTTTAAAAAAAAGATAATTTGTTGGATTTTTTTAATGGGGAAAAAAAATAAAGTTGTACAAAGGATAAAGGCCAAAGCCACCAAGGAGCTTTCTGTGGTTGTTCCTGGCCAGAGGTGTGACACTCAGAACTGGGAGGCCCGAGTGTTACTAACCAGTATTTAATCGGTTTTTTTAAGACTGAAGTGGCCACCTCCCCATCGGGTGCCTGGCAGAGGCTCCATAGAGTCAACCAAGACCTTCAGAGTGAGCTTGAAGCCCAGTGCCAGCGCCAGGAGCTGATTACACACCAGATTCAGACCCTGAAGCGTAGCTATGGGGAGGCCAAGGACACGATCCGACACCATGAGGCTGAGATCCGCAGCCTTCAGGCACGGCTCAGTAATGCAGCTGCGGAGCTGGCCATCAAGGAGCAGGCGCTGGCCAAGCTCAAAGGCGACCTGAAGCGGGAGCAGGGCAGGGTCCGAGAGCAGCTGGAGGAGCGGCAACACAGCGAGGCAGCACTGAGCAGCCAGCTGAGGGCCAGTGAGCAAAAACTCAAGAGCGCCGAAGCCCTGCTGCTGGAGAAGACACAGGAGCTACGGGGCCTGGAGACACAGCAGGCGCTGCAGCAGGACCGGCAGAAAGAGGTCCAGAGGCTGCAGGAGCGTATTGCCGACCTCAGCCAGCAGCTGGGTGCCAGTGAGCAGGCCCAGCGGCTGATGGAAGAGAAGCTGCAGAGAAACTACGAGCTGCTGCTGGAGAGCTGCGAGAAGGAGAAACAGGCGTTGCTGCAGAACCTGAAGGAGGTGGAAGACAAGGCCAGCGCCTACGAGGACCAGCTGCAGGGCCAGGCACAGCAGGTGGAGACCCTGCAGAAGGAGAAGCTGAGCGCCACTTTCGAGGGCAGTGAGCAGGTGCACCAGCTGGAGGAGCAGCTGGAGGCACGAGAGGCCAGCGTGCGCCGGCTTGCAGAGCATGTGCAGAGCCTCTGTGACGAACGGGACCTCCTCAGGCAGCGGTTCCAGGAGCTGACAGAGCGTGTGGCCACGTCTGATGGGGATGTGGCTGAGCTCCGGGAAAAGCTAAGGAGAAGAGAGGCCGACAACCAGAGCCTGGAGCACTCCTACCAAAGGGTTGCCAGCCAGCTGCAGAGCATGCACACTCGGCTGAGAGAGAAGGAGGAAGAGCTGGAGCACATTAAGGAAGCACACGAGAAGGTTCTGGTGAAGAAGGAGCAGGACCTCAATGAGGCTTTGGTTAAAATGGTTGCCTTGGGGAGCAGCTTAGAGGAAACAGAAATTAAGCTCCAGGCAAAAGAAGAGATTTTAAGGAAATTTGCAAGTGAGTCTCCAAAAGTAATGGAAGAGCCACGGAGCACCCCTGAAGATACAGAAAGGGATGGCACTTTGCTCCCAGGCCGTCCAGTCCCAGCCACCAGGGCCACTCTGGCCTTTCCACAGACAAGGCTCGAGGATGAGGACGAGGACCTGGGGGGTCCTCCGGGGGAGGAATATGGGGATGGCAGCCCCAATAGGGAAGAGAGTGTAGTGCCCCCAAAGTCAGTGGAAGTGCTTGACAGGGAGGTGCATCAGCAGGGTACAACCAAACTTGACCAGGGAGCACCTGGTGTTAAAAGGCAAAGAATCCGGTTCTCCACAATACAGTGCCAAAGATACGTTCACACCGAAGGGTCCGAGAAAACCTGGACCAGCAGCACATCTTCTGACACCAGCCAGGACCGGTCACCCTCAGAAGAAAGCATGTCCTCAGAGCCTGCACCCAGTGCACTGCCCGCAGCTGGTGACTCTGACACGTACCTCTCCATCATCCACTCCCTGGAGACCAAGCTCTACGTCACAGAGGAAAAGCTCAAAGATGTGACGGTGAGGCTGGAGAGCCAGCAGGGTCAGAGCCGTGAGGCACTGCTCGCACTGCACCACCAGTGGGCGGGCACTGAGGCCCAGCTGCGTGAGCAGCTTCGTGCCAGCCTGCTCCAGGTTGGTGCACTGGCCTCCCAGCTGGAGCAGGAGAGGCAGGAGAGGGCCAGGAGGGTTGAAGGGCATGTTGGAGAGCTCGGGGACTTCCAGGTCAAGAACAGTCAGGCCCTAATGTGCCTGGAAAATTGCCGAGAACAGCTGAGATCTCTGCCTAGGGCCAGCCAGGAGGATGAGCAGGATGCGGGCACAGCCTCCCTGTCCAGTGTGGAGAGTGCACTCGTCAGCGCCATCCAAGCCCTGCGGCACTGGCCCGCCCCAGCTGATGGCGGGTCCCATGCACAGCTGGAGATGGGTGGCACCGAAGAGAATGGGAAGCCTGCCTCCCTGCAACAGCGCCCCCAGCCTGAGCTGACAGAGCAGGAGCAGGCTAGGCTTCTTTCTGACCAGATTATTCTGGAGGCCTCGCTGATCAGCCAGATAGCAGACTCCCTGAAGAACACGACATCAGATGTCTCCCGAATGCTCCACGAGATTTCTTGGTCAGGACAGCCACTGATGGAGTCTGCTGGGGCCCCTGTAGACACCTGGGCCAGAAAGGTGCTGGTGGATGGTGAGTTCTGGAGCCAGGTTGAGTCCCTAAGGAAGCATCTGGGGACGCTGGGAGAAGAGGCAGTCGGTTCCTCAGGAGGCAGGCAGCAGAGCATCCCACAGGGCCTGGCCCCCATCCTGGCCAATGCCACATGGGTCAGGGCAGAGCTCAGCTTTGCCACACAGTCAGTGAGGGAGTCATTCCACCGCAGGCTGCAGAGCATCCAAGAGACCCTGAGGGACACCCAGGCAGCCCTGCGGCAGCACAAGTATCTACTGAGGGAAATTCTGGGAGCCTACCAAACCCCAGACTTTGAGAGAGTGATGCAGCAGGTCTTGGAAGCCCTCAGGCTTCCAGCAGGCCATGAAGATGGTGTGCAGCTGTCCTGGGACCTGAGCCCCTTAGGAGAAGTCCTGGGCCAAGACTCAGAAGGCTCTCAGGAGCCCTTTCATGCATCTGACCAGAGCCCTAGGGCCTTTGTTGCTATTCAAGAGGAGCTTGCCCAGCAGCTGAAGGAGAAGGCCAGCCTCTTAGAGGAGATAGCTGCTGCCTTAACATCTCTGCCACCTGTGGAATCACTAAGAGATTGCCAGAAGCTTCTCCAGGTATCCCAGAGTCTCTCATACAACACTTGCTTGGGAGGCCTCAGTCAGTATTCTTCATTGTTGGTTCAGGATGCCATTGTTCAGGCGCAGGTATGCTATACAGCCTGCAGAATCCGGCTAGAATATGAGAAGGAGCTCCAGCTCTACAAGGACTCCTGGCAGACCAGAGAGCCCCCCTGCCCAGAGCAGGCACAAGCAGCCCAGGCCCTGAGGGAGGAGTATGAGGAACTTCTCCGCAAGCAGAAGAGCGAGTACCTGGATGTGATCGCCATCATTGAAAGGGAGAATGCAGAGCTCAAGGCCAAGGCTGCCCAGCTAGACCATCAGCAGCGGTGTCTGGAGGACACGGAGAGCAAGCACAGCATGAGCATGTTCGCCCTGCGGGGTAGGTACAAGGAGGAGATCCGGTGTGTGGTGGAGCAGCTGACCAGGACCGAGAACACACTGCAGGCTGAACGCAGCCGAGTCCTGAGCCAGCTGGACACCTCAGTCAGAGACAGGCAGGACGTGGAGAGGCACCATGGCGAGCAGATGCAGACCCTGGAGGACAGGTTCCAGCTCAAGGTCCGGGAGCTACAGACGATCCATGAGGAGGAGCTGAGAACCCTGCAGGAGCACTACTCACAGAGCCTGAGGTGTCTGCAGGACACCACCCTCTGCCTCCACCAGGGGCCACACCCCAAGGCCCTGCCGGCCCCTGCCCCCCACTGGCAGGCAACCCAAGGAGAGGCTGACTCCATGACGGGGCTGAGGGAGCGCATCCAGGAGCTGGAGGCCCAGATGGATGTCATGCGGGAGGAGCTGGGATACAAGGATCTGGAGGGCGATGCTGCCACCCTGCGCGAGAAGTACCAGAGGGACTTGGAAAGCCTTAAGGTCTTAACACACCATTCAATTTGCAAAGCAGATCCTCCTTGATAATGGGGGTGTGGGTGTGGGGGCGTCTGGCTCAGCACCTCTCTGCCTCCCTAATGCAGCCCCCACTCCCCTTGCCAGTTTTGCCTCATTCCTGCACCACCCCCAGAACCCCGCCTGGCCCAGTCCAGACCCAAATCTGAGGCAGCTGCCTGAGGACAGCCTTGCGCTCACCACAACATCCCGGAGAGCCAGGGCCCGGTTGGAGGGCAGTCTCCTGATCGCCTCAGGAGAGCAGAGCTGGATGGAGGGTCCCTCTCTGGAACTGGCATTTGATGTGTGCTCTGGTGAGAAGAGCTTTTTCCACTGAGTATAGCCTCCAGCTACTCCTATCCCTTTCCCCAGGAGCTTTACAAGTATCTTTTCCCCAGAACTGCTCTACACCTCTGCCCCTGAGGTCCTGGAACACTAAGGTGACGTGCCAGTCACCGGGCCGGGGTGGGGGTGAGCTGAGTGGAGACCCAGCTCTCTGGCCCCACCCTTTGTAGGTGCAGGCCACACCTACCATATGTGGCTGCCAAGTGTCATCCCTTAGACTCAAAAGTTTGCCATGCTATGCCCTTATGTTCCTCCCACTCTGGAAGCTGCCCCAGTAAATGACTAGGCCTCTCCAAAGCTGTGTTCAGGTGGCGTCTCCCACGCTCAGGTGGCAGAGCTGGGTGCACACATGGCCAGCACCGTTGTGCAGCGAGCTTCTAACTCCCAGGTGGCTGCCACTACTCCTGCCCACATATCCCCACAGCCACTGTGGAGCAAATGCCTGTTTCCCAGCCCCTTACTTCTCTAGCTCTGAATGGAAACAGCTCGCATGTCACCTCTGTGTGGCATACTTGGCCCCAGCCAGACACACAGGTTTGGTCGTCAGCGAGCACCTTCTCAGGAGAGCCGAGAAGCTGTTTTTCACCATTCTTTTAGTCAGTCAAAACCTTTTAAAAACCATTATGAGCTGTGAGAAGCTTTCAACAGCTGTCTTTTGAAAGTGTGTGTATATGACAACACTGTGGTCAGTTCACCAAGAGCAGCACCCAGGTGCACCTTGGGGCCAGTTGTGCCTTGAAAAGTTAATTGCACAAACCTTTGCTTTGACCCCAAACATGCTAGAACAGCAGAGGAGCCAGCAGCATCCCAGACACTCAGCAAAGTCCACAGGGTTCACAGGGCCTGGGCACAGCAATGCTCTGCTTCCTGTCTGTATCCACAAGAGTCCCCTCCACAGGGAGGCTGCTTTAGGTTAGACAGCCGGGTGCAGGTGAGGCCCCATTCAGGTGCCATTATACCACCAGCAAGAAACAAGAAAGGAGAGGAGTGTCTCATGTTGAGAACTGACCAGAGATTGTGCTGAGCCAGTGTCACCCAGGAGGGAGAAACAGGTGGTGTAGGTTGGGATGAGGCCCGCTAGGGGCTTGGACACCATCCACTCCTGCTGTCTATCTGTCTACTCCCTGCTGTCTTAGCTGCCATTGCATAGTGTCCCCTCCTATGCCTGGGAGCTTTCAGCCCAGGTGTGGTGCTCTCACCCACCCCTGTAGACATGCGAAACTTGTAAGCAACACCTTGAGATTTCATCACTTTATGCAGATTTCCACTTGGTTCAGGGGGACAGGGTCTTGGCCTAACAGCCATCCTTTAACATCCACAGTCCCCACCACCACACCACCACTGCAGAGTCATCGAGGAACCTCTTTTGGTCCCAGGAATGATTGGCTTAAAAATTAACATTTATTTGCAAGATCAATTATCTTTTAGCATATAGTTTATCTCCAAAGAAGCAACTGGGTCTCTAAAGATGTCTCAGTGTTTCCATTAGATTTTTTACTCTTATCTGCATAATATTCCAAAGCACTCAGATCAAAGTAAGACTTTTCCCAGCAAGTAGACTCAGAAAAAAAAAAACAGTAAGACTTAAAAGACCTATTAATACTAGTTAAGCTTGCTTTGGCAGCACATATACTAAAATTAGAATGATACAGAGAAGATTAGCATGGCCCCTACACAAGGATGACATGCAAATTTGTGAAGTATTCCGTTTTTTTTAATTAAAAAAAAAAACCTATTAGTTAAATGTGTTAACTGAGAAGCCACATATGAACCAAAGCGAACGGGAAGGAGAAAGAGGAGCTCAGCCTTGGGGCCTGAGGACCAGGAGATCCAGAGTTCCAAGCTCCTGCAGCCATCCTGATGTGTAAGGGTGGCAGGAAGAGACAGGTGCTTCCAGGTGGAGCCGCTGGGAGAGGGGATAGGATGCCTAGTTAATGGTGGCAGTAGCTGAGACATTTGCCCAGAGCAGCACATGGGTTGCAGTCAAGTCCAAACTGACCACGACTTCAGAAATACTGCTTGAGGTTCTCACAGAGGGTCGTCGCTAAAAGTGGGCCCAGAGAAAGATGCCCAGGCATGCCAATAGGATTTCTTGGTATCCTTTCTTGAATCCACATGCAAGAAGATTAACCAAGTAGTGAGCCTGTGAGCCCAGAGTGGGAAAGCCCCTACACTTGAATTTGGAATGGAATGTGGCCACATTCTTCCAGTTTTGGAAACTCAGTGAAAGACCCAGTCCATTCTCTGAAGCAGACAGTGTAAAGGGTTTAGACAGAAAGTGTATTCCTCTGTGTTCAAAACAGCTGCACACCCACCCTTCCTGGCAGCTGTGTGGCATTCTCACCTGCTTTGCTGGCAAGCACAGCTCTGATACCAGGCCTGGGCTTCCTGGTGTGGCCTGCTCCCATCCTGGGGCATGCCTGTGTTGCTCTAGGGAGGTGCAGGCAAACTTGGAAAGCTGGTCTCCTGTCATGTTCTTGTGAGAGTTAGCAGAGGTGCTAAGTCATTGGTGCCCTTCTCCTTTAAAAAAAGTGAGAAAGAAGACACAGGCTAGAAGGAAGAAGATCCTGTAGCCTGATCTTATTCTCTCAGTCAATACCTGAGCATTAAGCTACCAGCTGGAGGTTGTCAGCTGGCTAGTGGCAAGGCCCAACCCCCAGCTCCTAGAAGTGGACTCTAGGGTTGAGAGGCCCCCAGCCCAGTGCCTGCCAGGCCACTCACTGTTTGTGGAATGGCCTTGGCTCCCTCTAGCAGACGAGTCCCTCATCCCTGTTTGACAGGCCTTTCACTGTGTCCCTCCAAACCAGACACAACCAGCCTGTGCACATGTGCTTTCTCCTCCCTCCTTCCTGTTGGCCCCACCTGACAGCCCTGCAGGAAGGTTGGGGATTAGCTGGTTTCCATTTCATAGCAGCATCTCCCCACCCAACATACCAACTTCTCCCAGGAAGAAATGGGGCACAGGACAATCACAGAAATGAGATGTAGAATTGACTGGGGACAAACACCCTTTTCTGAATGCTTTGATGGCATTGCTGAGAATCCGCAGACAGCCCCAGGGATCCTGCTCAGGGCACCCAACATGGAGCACAATCAGTGAGTGCACAGTCACCACTGGGCCTGGATGGGGTGGGATTTCTGGCTCATTTATTTTAAAAGGCCCCCAACTTGGAGGTAAAAAAAGAAGTCGATAAAGTCCCTTTTGCATTTTGCAGGCCACATGTGAGCGAGGATTTGCAGCAATGGAAGAAACACACCAGAAGAAAATTGAAGATCTACAGAGGCAGCACCAGCGGGAGCTGGAGAAACTTCGGGAGGAGAAGGACCGCCTCCTGGCCGAGGAGACAGCCGCCACCATCTCAGGTGGGGGGTGTGGTAACCCCTATGGTAGTGTGAATGGCGAGCTTTTCTTGAGCTAGACACACAACTCAGAGGAATGGCAGCCTTTGAATTGCATTTTGGCTGAGATGTAAGCTTCGCTACTGAAATTTTAGGAGCCTTTTGAGAGCTTACAAGCTGAGAGCTCACCCTTCAGCCCCTGGCAACCCCCATGCCTGGCCGCACACAACCTGCACACTGCTTGGGAGCTGTCCCAACCCCGTGATTTTCCAGTCCCAACAAGCGACTAACCAGTGTCAGTGCAGCCAGTGATTTTCCCCAACAGACATCTGTCAATGTGGGACCACCTCTGGCCAGAGTTGCCCTCAGCATGAGGAAACATAGCCTCATGGCAAGTGGCCTTGAACAAGCACATCCCCTCCACCTTGCACTGCCTTCCCTTTATGTAATTGCCACCTCAGTGGTTGGTTACTTTAGTGCCAAGGAAGAAAATACACCAGCACAAAAGCTTGCTTGTTTTATAAACTCATGTTGGAATTTAACAGTGACATTTATTTAATCAGTTTGGTTTTCTTCTAACACACACAAAAAAAGCCAAATGTGCATTCCTTCCAGGAGGAGTTCATGGAGAATGCTCCCAGCCTCCACTCACCTCAGAGAATTGGTTTGTGAGGGGCCAGCCTGTCATGCAAAATTCGACTGCTGATTGACTAAGCAAGCAGCAGCAGTGGCATGCGCCACCCCATTGTGTAGAGCTCCCCACTCCCACCCTCGTCAGGGGGAAGGGCATGGCCCCTTGGTGCTGAGGCCTTATTCTTGCCTGCAGCCATCGAAGCCATGAAGAATGCCCACCGGGAGGAGATGGAGCGGGAGCTGGAGAAGAGCCAGCGGTCCCAGATCAGCAGCGTCAACTCAGATGTTGAGGCCTTGCGGCGCCAGTATCTGTAAGTGGCTAGGCCTGCCCATCCACCCTCGGGAGGGCCCCTGGGGAGTGGCTGGCCAGGCCAAAGCTGAGCCCTTCCTGTGTCTTTGCAAAGGCCTCTGAGAGTTGGGGCCTCGGGCCCATGGGTGCTAAGGGCAGCTCAGATGCCCTCCTGTCCAGTGCAGGATATGGTCTCCCCTGTTCAGAGAGGCTGTCCCTTGAAATGCCACGAATGAGATGAAATGAACGAAATCTTAAACTTCCCACTTGTCCAGGGCTGATCCCAGTGGCTACCCACATGTGTTTCTCAACAGCTGCCCCGTAGCCCACCAGAAGCCAGGCAGCCAGGCTTGGTCATACAGGGTAGAAGTGAGAACTATCACTACCATTTAAAAACCGCACATGTTGGCCAGGCGTGGTGGCTCACGCCTATAATCCAAGCACTTTGGATGCCAAGGTGGGCGGATCACCTGAGGTCAGGAGTTTAAGACCAGCCTGACCAACATGGTGAAACCCCATCTTAAAAAAAAAAAAAAAAAAAAAAAAAACGATCATGTGCTGATTCCCTCTGCACAGGCAGGAGGATAGAACAACACCAGAATAACTGCTGTAGACTTTTTGCTTGGTAGAACTGCCACAGCTGGGAGCCAACAGATTGGGTGCCATGAGAGTCACAACACTCAGGCTCTACCATGAGCCTTTGCAGTGTAGCCAAAGCCAGGGGTCCTGCCTCAGGACCTGGCAGCGGTTAGTGGCACCCTGTAGAGGCTCATGCTCACCTCAGTCAGAGCAGGGTGGCTCACCTAGAAGCCTCTTGTCCCTGGTTCACCTGCAAGAGAGACGGCCCTCCTGGATCCAGGGTGGCAGGGCAGCCTCAGGAAGCTTGGTTTTCTGAGTCTTGCATAGACCCTGGTCCTGGCTATCAGGCACAGATACCTTCAAAAGTGGGTTTACTAAAAACAAACTCCGAGTCAGACGACAGTTCTGGAAATGGGATGTCTTTGGCCACATCCCCTGACTGGCGTCCGCAGAGAAGTACTGGATGTAGGACTGTCAGATTGTGAGAAAGGACCAGGGAGGGGCATGGGGCAGTCTCTGTATGGGATTTCTTATTCCGTGTGACCCAGGCTGATTAAGACAACAGACTGCTCAGGTCTGACCTGTGATTGGCTGGTCTGGTGTCAAGGAGGGACACCAGCCTCTGAGAGGCCTGGTTCTGAACCGGGCAGAGAAATGAGTGCCGCCCTCTCCCCAGGGAGGAGCTGCAGTCGGTGCAGCGGGAACTGGAGGTCCTTTCGGAGCAGTACTCTCAGAAGTGCCTGGAGAACGCCCACCTGGCCCAGGCGCTGGAGGCCGAGCGGCAGGCCCTGCGTCAGTGCCAGCGTGAGAACCAGGAGCTCAACGCCCACAACCAGGTGAGCCTGCAGCCAGGTGAGCCCACACTGGAGCTGGAGTCAGACCTTACCCTCAAAGTGACATGAAGGTCCCCAAACCACAGAGTGGTCCTTGCCCCAAGGCTTCACCCTGCCACCCAACATGGCTGTCCGTGTCATCAGAAACATCACTGCAAATAGCTGGAACAAGGCTGTACTGCCACGTGCACCATCTGCTTACACATGAAGTAACTCTTGCTTTGACCCTTTCTGAGACTATCAGGTGTCTTGGTGTCTTCTCTGTACTCCTCTGACCCTCTGGCTCACTGTTTCTGGGCAGGGCCTGGCAGGATCATTCCACTCCTTGAAGGTCCTGTCCCCCAGGGACTGAGCTGACACTGCTCAGGGTCAGGCTTAGTACTCACATTTATTTTTGTCAGATTTTTTTTCTTAAGATTTGCCTGCTCCTCAGTTAATCAGGGTCCATTTAAATCCTGGCTAATACAAAGGTTAGAGTCAGAATTAGTTCAGTATTCACTTTTCTGTGGGCACCAAATTAAGCAGCCCTCTATGTCCCTGCCCTGCACAAACACCCCTTAGGACTGGGCACACAGTCTCGTTCTCACCTGAGGCCTTCCCAGGGGTCATGGCTGCTGCACCAGGCTGTGTATGAGGCTACTCAGGCAGGACTAGGTCCGTTCATTTCTGTTGTGGCTTAAAGATGACCCCACAGGAGCTTAGGTGGGACCAGCCATAGAACAGAGTGACACTAGTTATCATGATGGAAAGGAATTAAGGGTTATCGATTGGATCCTGCCTACACAGTTCTACAGATATACAAAGAACCCAGGGAAATGGCCTTCCCGAGTTGTGTCATGTGACTTGGCCCCAGGTGGCTCTGGAGTGTCACTGTTGTTTTGCTGTCCCCTAGGAGCTGAACAACCGCCTGGCTGCGGAGATCACACGGTTACGGACGCTACTGACGGGGGACGGCGGTGGGGAGGCCACTGCGTCACCCCTTGCACAGGGCAAGGATGCCTACGAGCTGGAGGTACCATCAGGAGCCAGGCCCTGCCTAACTCAGCTTTGCATCCCAGAGCTCCAGGGGAGTGCAGCACGGCCCCTGATTTATAGGATTGTGGGAGGGACAGACCCAAGACAGCAGGAGTGAAAGAGCCTGGGAAGATTCAAGTCACCCCAAGGCAGCAAGGAGCAGTGAGGCCAGGTGGCATGAGAGCCACTGGCCCAACAGAATCTTCAAGAGGCTGTGGGGATCCTGACCCCATCTCACTCCCCATACTCTCTCCCCTCCATTTCTGCCATGCCACAAACACCACTCAAAAGGACACGTTCCATAGCCAGGTGGTTGCTGCAGCTCAGGTCAGGGAGGCTAGCTTTACTTTGGGATAATTGATTATGGAGCATTGGGTGTCCTTTTAGGAAGGCACTCTTAGATTTCTCTGCATTCAGTTAAAATTTCACCCTAAAATGTGCTAAAATTTTAGCACTCAGCCAGCCAGAGCTCACACTGCTGGGCCTGTTCTGGTGGCTTTGAGCTTTGTCTCTGTCATGGAGCTGCCTCCTGGCAGTGACACTGAGAAGCCAAGGCTGGGAGGAGCACTGCTTGGTGAGATCAGCTCCTGTCTCGAGGCCAGGTGTTAGGCCACTGTCTGCTGTGCCTGTTCCTTGTACTAAATGAGTGCTTTACCAAAAAGGCTGGCAGGGGAGGCTGAGTGAGTTGTGACACAAGTGTCAGTGATAACATTAACTGATTCTCGCGGGCTTGGTCCCCAGAGACAAGCAGTTCTAGTTCATGGTTCCCCAGGCTGAGGAGAGAGTCCTCGGCACTGGGAGGAATCACGGCCATTTCTTTCCTCTTCCTGTTTTTGTATGTGAGGCTGAAGCTGTGAGCAGTGTTTAAACGATGCTTGGGCACCATGGGGCTGCCCTGCTCACTGGTGATTGGAGAGCCCTCTGCATGCTTCAGTCTGCACTGGAGACCCTACAGGTTCCTTTGCTCCTGAATATTGGTCCCTGATCTCTCTGTCATTCTAGGTCTTATTGCGGGTCAAGGAATCAGAAATACAGTACTTGAAACAGGAGATTAGCTCCCTCAAGGATGAGCTGCAGACGGCACTTCGGGTAAGGCCACTATGCCACAGGAAGGCAGGTACGGGAGCAGGCTCTAGGTGACATGAGCCTCCTGAACGCAGGCTGGGGGTTCAGCGAGGGTTCTTCTGAAGCAGATTTTACTCTTTTGAGGAAGGCGGTTTCTAAAATCAAGTCCTCTTAAGACCAGCCTGCAAGCAAGTGCTGCAAGCAAATGTGAGCAGCCTGCCTGGCCTGGCTCCAGCGTCAGTGTGTGTGTGCTTTTTATGTGCTTTGGAAGGCATGTTTCAGAGAAAAGTCCTGTGAAGTGAGGCATGGCTTGACTTCCATTTGAGCCTCCTGGCTTCCACCAGCTTCCTCCAGGGACTCCTGGAGTCAGGGACAATGACAGAACCATTAGTGGCCACTCAGTCACTTGGGGAATCCAAGACACAGGGAGAGTTTTCCAGGCTGAAGCCCACAAGGGAGGGGCTGGGGCACTCAGGGCCACATCCAGATGGTTATGCCTGTGTCCTCAGGCCCCATGGTTTTTCCTCTCTGTCCACTTTCTACCTCTGGAAGACAGAGGTGAACAAGCCTCCCTACCATGTTCAGCCCCCGGGGAGAAAGGCCATGTTGTGCATGCCCCTCTTTCCTGGATGTAACTACCATTCTGTCATTTCACTCCCAAGGACAAGAAGTACGCTAGTGACAAGTACAAAGACATCTACACAGAGCTCAGCATCGCGAAGGCTAAGGCTGACTGTGACATCAGCAGGTTGAAGGAGCAGCTCAAGGCTGCAACAGAAGCACTGGGGGAAAAGTCCCCTGACAGTGCCACGGTGTCGGGATACGGTGCGTCCTCGGGTCATGCCCTCTGGGTTATTGCTCAGGGGATTGTGGGGGTTTGATCATAGAGGTTTACTGGTGCTTGACTAGAAACAGAAGATTCCCAGTGCTGCTTTTAGACCCAGGCATCCCCATGGAGCAGGAGCACCAGCCTCACACGGCTGCCCCAGACAGCCCTCGCTTCCCTGTGCAGTGGTGGACGCTGTGCCAATTGCTCTAGGGAGGACCCACAATATCACCATAATACTTTCAAAGTAATAACAAGTCTTGTTTTTCTGAAGAACTCAACCACTAGACAGAAGTAGCTCTTACTAGTTGCTTGATCCCAGGATTTTACTACAAAATCTGTAAAAGGCCATAGAGTGGAGAATGGGAGGGAGCTCCCTGCTTTCTGGAATGAACAACAGGACTGACTCTTTTTTTTCTTGGCTAAAAACATTTAGATACCCTGTAAAAAATAGATGGCAGTGAGGATGAAAGAGGTAACATTTTATCAAGCATTTTCAGATCATACATAATTTTTTTTTTTTGAGACTGGGTCTTGCTCTGTTTCCCAAGCTGAAAAGCAGTGGCACAATTTCACTGCAACCTCCACCTTCCAGGCTCAAGGATTCTCCCACCTCAGCCTCCCCAGTTCCTTGGAGTACAGACACGTGTCACCACACCTGACTAATTTTTGTATTTTTAATAGAGATAGGGTTTCACCATGTTGCCCAGTCTAGTCTCAAACTCCTGGGCTCAAGCGATCCAGCCACATTGGCCTCCCAAAGTGCTGGGATTACAGGTGTGAGCCTTTGTACCCAGCCAGATTATACATAATCTCATTTGACCTTCATCTTGACCTTTTATGGAAAGACCCACAAACAGGAAAAGATGTGCTAGCTCACTAATAGCCCCCCTCCCCCAAAAAAAATCAGCTTTTTTTCTTTCAGCAAGAAATAGTGATTATGATGGTATTGACAGATTCTGGGAGGAGGAATCATTTTTTCATAAATACATTGAGTAGTCAGGCATGGTGGTAGGCCTGGCTTCCCAAGAGGCTGAGGTGGGAGGATCACTTGAGCCCAGCAGTTCTGGGCAGTCCTGCACCAAGCTGAGTCAATCAGGTGTCCACACTAAGTTTGCTATCAATATGGTGACCACCAGGTTGCCTAAGGAGGGGTGAACTGGCTCAGGTCAAAGTGAAACAGATCAAAACTCCTGTGCTGGCCAGGCACAGTGGCTCACACCTATAATCGCAGCACCTTGGGAAGCTGAGGTGGGCAAAGCCCTTGACCTCAGGAGTTCAAGACCAGCCTGGGCAACATGGCAAAACCCTGTCTATAAGAAAAATAGAAAAAACGGGCCAGAATTGCTAGCATACACCTGTAGTCTCAGCTGCTTGGGAGGCTGAGGTGGGAGGATCACTTGAGTCCAGGAGATGGAAGTGGTAGTGAGCTGTGACTGCCCTGCTTACACTCCAGCCTAGGTGACAGAATGAGACCCTGCCTCAAAAAAAAAAAACAAAAACATCTGTGCTGAGCTGTAGTGGAATCACCTATGAATAGGCACTGCATTCAAGTATGGGCAACAGCAAGAATCTGTCTCTTAAATAGAGAAGGCCAGGTGCAGTGGCTCACGCCTGTAATCCCAGCACTTTGGGAGGTGGGCAGATCACGAGGTCTAGAGATCAAGACTATCCTGGCCAACATGGTAAAACCCTATCTCTACTAAAAATACAAAAATTAGCTGGGCCTGGTATAGTCCCAGCTACTCAGGAGGCTGAGGCAGAAGAATTGCTTAAACCTGGGAGGCGGAGATTGCAGTGAGCTGAGATCGCGCTACTGCACTCCAGCCTGGTGCCTGGCAACAGAGTGAGACTCTGTCTCAAAAAAGAAAAAAAAAATAGATAAAAACTTACATGCACAGGGTGTATGCTATGACTCAATGTACGTTTGTGTTGCAGGTATTTAAGTAGACATTTGTGAGAAGCCTAAAGGACTGCTGTCTGGGTGGGTGGACGATGTTGGGTGGGTAGACGATAAGAAGGCCTTGGCCTTATCATCTTGCTTTGGACAGCCCTGTGGTAGCAGGAGGAAGGTGGAGAATCATAGATAATGGGGGTAGAGTCTGCTCAGCATTGAGGTTCCACACCAGAATGAGGGGACCAAGTCCCTTTGGAGGGAATGCTGTTCTGGGCTACAGTCATACTGCAGGAATCCCTGGTGGCACCCCACATACCCATTCTCCCATTGTGCTTGGTGTTTTATGGTGGTCTGAAGAGATGTAGCGTGTTTTATGGTTAGTAGCTTTGAATTCCCTTAGAGTTTTTTGTTTGTTTTTTGAGATGGAGTCCCACTCTGTCACCCAGGCTGCAGTGCGGTGGTACGATCTCAGCTCACTACAGACTCTGTCTCCCGGGTTCAAGCAATTCTCCTGCCTCAGCCTCCCGAGTATCTGGGACTACAGGTGCATGCCACCACTCCTGGCTAATTTGTATTTTTAGTAGAGATGGGGTTTCACTATGTTGGCCAGGCTGCTCCTGAACTCCTGACCTCATGATCCAACCCGGCCTTGGCTTCCCAAAGTGCTGGGATTACAGGCGTGAGCCACCGCGCCTGGCCTCCCTTAGAGTTGTTTAAGGAAGCGTCCTAAGTATGCTGCAGTAGGAAGCTTGGGAAATGTTTCAGGATTCAGTCTGATATCAGAGGATTTCATAAAGCAAAGATAACAGGTCTGTTTATTTTCATTACATACCTCAGATATAATGAAATCTAAAAGCAACCCTGACTTCTTGAAGAAAGACAGATCCTGTGTCGCCCGGCAACTCAGAAACATCAGGTCCAAGGTGAGTCTGGGGTCCAGCCCCTGGTGGGAGAGGCTTGAGGACACTGGGAGAAGAGCCCAAATTGAAGTCTGGGTGCTCCCATGGGCCCCGGCTGCGAAGCCACAGAGCCCAGCACTCAGCCAGCCCTAAGCTCACCCTGCTGAGCTGGTTCTGGTGGCTTTGAGCTTTGTCTCTGTCTTGGAGCCACCTCCTGGCAGCGACATCGAGAGGCCAGGGCTGTGCGGAGCAGTGCTTGGTGTGATTGGCTCCTGCCTCAAGACCAGGTCTCACCCCGCCTGCTCGTGTTGGCCTGCTGTCAGCTGTGCCTGTGTTGTACTCTTTCTTGCACATCACTGTTGTGACACTGGTGCCGCCTCCAAGAGATGATGCTGTCTGCTCTCCTTCCCCAGCCAGGATGCAGCACATTTTTAGTGTGCTGTCCGGAGCTGGGCAGGCATAGGAGGGCAGGCAGACGTGGGAGCGGCACCACGTGTGTTTGGGATTGGTTGTGTGTCTCATGTCTGCTCTCTCCTCTGACAGTCCGTAATTGAGCAGGTCTCGTGGGATACCTGAAATGCACCCGCTTCCCGGCCCATGGAGGAGGTAAACCACCTCTCCCACTGCCTGCATGCACTGCTCACACACCCATGGCAAATGCCTGTGTCATGGTTACTTTATTTCGATTCATCCTGCTCCAACAAACACATACCAAATCCAAGTGAGGTTTCTTTAACCTGCTGTGGGAAGTTAATTGGCACTCTAACCTCTGAACAGAGTTAACCTGGCAGTGAGGCACTCCCCTAGCCTGGCAGCCATGCCAGCAGAGAGGCAGGCACCCATCAGCATGCATGTGGGGTGATCTGTGCATAACGCTGAACTCACTCTACCCTCTTACGGGACACCTGTCCTGCCCTCTCTCACAAGGTGGAGTTGACAGATACCCATCATGGCAAGCAAAGTCCACCATCACCAAAGGCCTCGCCCACCTAGCGAGCCACTTAGTGGCCTCTGTCTCTCAGGGCTAACAGGCCAGTCATTCTATGAATGGATAAATCAGGACTAGAGCTTCATGCAGGTGGTTCAGAAGAGCATGATAACTGCAAGCAATGGGGGCTAAATATTTACCAGTATTTTTTTTAAAAAAAACAAAAGCTTCTCATTAGGTGCCACTGAAGGCCCTATGCCAGAGAGGAAGTGGGGGTGGGCCCATGGTGGGGGACACCCCGAGACTGAATGGTTGCCAGCTCAGTGGCTTGATCTCATTCATTCTGGGATGAGAAGGTGAAGGAAAGCAAGAACCACATCTTCCACACTGGCCCTTTCTCAGGTGTGCCCACAGCACCATGCCAGCTGAGGGACTTCAGCGTGAGGCTTGGCTAAAGAGTTGAGGGTTTTAAGCCTAGTCCGTTTTGTTTTATTTTTCTACAGTCCTAAGTCACCTATACCCAAACATCGTTTAGGCTTGATCAAAAATTTAGCTTGGGCATTTTTCTTTAAACATAAAAAACATTTTGTTTAGCAAAAGGAAACATTCTTTTTTAGTTCATGGTTTTCTTATTGAAAATTCTGCTTCTTCTTTGAGACCACACTTTAGCTAGTGTATTTGAGCTTTTCTTGAAGGAGTTTGAAGTTCACTATTAGTGATTTGGGTTTTTGGACCATGCCTGTAAGTGACACTCAGGGTAGGGAACTGGCTGTCACTGACAAGACCCTTCCAGGGCCCCTGAGAGTAACTCTGTGTAGTGAATGGGTAGGGGATTCTCACAGCGGCTGAGAACCAGCCAGAGCAGGGATAAGGGAGCAGACTATCTGGACCCCAGGGCAGACTCAAAGGATGGAGAGAAACCCCCAGATGGGGTCCTCCTGAAGTGTTTTTAAGCTGATGTTTGGCTTGGCTGTGTTTCTGTAATAAGAAAGTCCTTGAAGTGCAAGGCCAGTCCTGCTGGCCCCAGCAGAAAGATGAGGACTTCATAGATGCAGCGGGGCAGGATGGGGCTATGCTGGTGCTCCCAGGACACATTAGGAGGCACAGGCACAGGTGGGTGTCATCCTTTTCCTCAGCTGTATCTAAAGACTCCACCCAACCCTTCAAGAAGACGGGCATGAAGTTGCCCAGAAACCATACTTCTCATTGGTGTTTTTTGATATGGCATCTGATGTGCACTGATCTGTGTCTTTCGTTCTGTTCTGTTTTTCTGTTGTGCCTCACTCAAAAGGACTGCAAGTCTCAGCTGCTACAAAATCAAAGCAAGCATGTTGCTTAAGAGCAGCATAGCCTTTTCTGGGATTGAGACCCCATTTCTAGGATTGAGAATCCCTCAGGACTCTTAAGGGGCCCTGTATCTGTGGTCAGCTCAGTATATGGTGCTGTTGGAGGCACTCAGTAGAGAGGTCAGCCAAGGGGAAGATGAGCCCCAGAGGGAGCTGGCTGAACCCTGAGGGCCAGGCATGGCAGCCAAACCTATATGGGAGTCCTCAGGCTGAACAGCCACCAAGAGAGAAGCCAGAGGATATATAGAGAGAAACAGCCTCCTGCAGCCAGTGTGGGGATAGTGTAGGGGGTTCACTTCCTTCCCACCCTTGGAATTGTAGCAAGCCTAGCATCACCTGAGCCTGAGCTCTGCCCTTGTCACTGGGGCGGCTGTCAGGGTATTCTCCTCCCCTGGGCCTGCTGTAGGAGGATTCTGGGGCTTCTGATGCAGTGCCTGCAAGGAGCAAACCCAGGCCTTAGGAGTGATAAGACTCACAGCTAGCAGGAAGCAGGATGTGATAGTGACATCCCCCAGCCATGCTACAGGGGCCTGTCTCTGAGTAACGTTTAGGCTCAGGGCTGCCTGTCTGGCTTGGCCCCAGTCCCTTCAAGGGTAACCAGATGTCTACCCAGGTCCTCTGCAAGACTGGCTACTGTGAGACCCCTATACCCTCCTCAACTGAGGCTGTCAGGTGAAGAATCAGGAGCTGAATGTGGACAAATCCACACACAGGACAAGACACAGGGATGGGCAGTCTCCTCGCTCATTGCACTGTTTTCCCTGGCTGGATTTGTCTCATCACTGCTTGTCTAAAGAGCCCAAAGCTCAGAATTTAGCTGCTTTAAACACATGGTCTTGTCTCTCTGATTTTTTTCCTTTTTCTTCCAAGTAATTTTCTGAAGGGGAAAACATCCTCCACCAATAACAGCATTTCCCCAGGCCTCTCCTCCTGGCATGCCCACTAACTGCATCTGCACCGATGCCGGCTCCACCAGTGGTCTGGTCTGGTCTGGTCCGGTTCAATGCAGGGGGTCTAACGGTGTGTTTGTTTTCTCCTGCTCTGTCTCCACCCAGAGTCTGAAGGAAGGCCTGACGGTGCAAGAACGGTTGAAGCTCTTTGAATCCGGGGACTTGAAGAAAGACTAGCTGTGTCCCATCCAAGTTGAGCACGCGCCTTCCCCAGCTTGCAGCAGCACACCCTGAGCGCTGCTTTTCACCTGTACCTTTGTTTTATTATTATTATTGCTGTTGTCATCGTTAACTGTGGGCATGGAATGCGTGAGGCTGGCTTCTGGGTTGTCCACACCACTCTGCTGTGTTGACTTCCTGTTGTTTTCATCAAAGCTTTTTTCCATGGTATTGTAAAATTAGGCCAGCATTGGGGGCTGGGAGGGCATCTCTGTTAGTCTCTTCCTGGCTGTGACCCGCCGCACTCACTGTCAGTATTAAGGCCCAGCAGCCTGTTGATAAGCTACCCTGTCTCACCACGCACTGGTGTGGAAACAGGGCCCAGCCAGCATGCCTCAAGGTAGATGGAAAATGGTCAGAGAAAAAGCCGTGCGGACACTCCAGCTTGGCCTGGGTCACAGCACTGACTCCTCACCCACTAGTCTGGCTGTTAGAGGAGGAGGTGCGCTGCCTTCCGGCTGGGGAGGAGGAGAGCATTTTGTATTTGTTCCACTGATGCAGCTTAGAACCACACCCCTGATAATCATGGCAAACCTTTCACAACCTGGAAAATGTTGAAAGCAACCATTCCTATTTTTGTTTGTTTTTTATTAAATCTTGCACAAAACCCCCGGCCCCTCTCCTTCCTTTCTTCCTTTTTTCGCTCGTTCTTTTCTTGGTCTCCCAGTAACCCTGGTCTTTCCATAACTACTCAAGATTGTTGACCTGCAGCCTGGGTTTCAGACTCTTAATTGCAAAAAATGATGAATTCCCTCCGGGAATCATTCAAAGTAGGGGAAGGTTTGGGGTTTGGGTTTTTTTTTTTACCTTTTGGAGAAGAAACTGTCATTGCTTTGGAAAAGGTTGAAAGGAGACCCCTGTTAAGTCAAGAAGAAGGTACAGAGGATGTCAGAACTGATGAGAACAGCCCATTAGTGTGTTTTAAGACTCTGATCTTAACTTTCATAATCTGAGCTCTGGAAACCTATCTTGCAGCATTGATCTTTAAAAGGGCCTAGTTAAACTAAACCTGTACTAACAGTTCTGCTTTTTCTAACAGTTTAAGGAAGGCCTTTTGAACTGCCACAAAACATTCTATAGCAATTCTTGAAAATCTCTTAAATTGGAGTCTCTATATCGGCCCCATGAAAACCATTATTCCCATTAAGATAAGGAGATTCCACATTAAGATAAGGAGTTCCACAAACCCCTGGCTGGTGGAACAGGTTCTGCTACTTTAGGAGCTAGGTGGGGTGTGAGCAGATGGTGTTCATGCCAGGAGCATGCTTTCACTTTGTATTCATGCTTGAGTGGGTGTGGTGGTCTCTGTGGGTGCATGGATGCTTTGGGGGGTAGAAATGTAAAAATCCTATAGCCCAGTTTCTTGATTAAGTCATGAGCAAGGCCATCTATGGTGCTCTGGCCCCACCCCTAATGTGCAGAAGGGCAGGAAGCAAGGCCTGGAGTTTTCATATGTTTTAAGACCTGGGTTTAGGTGCTGTCTTCTCACTGGAATAACTAAGTGCTCTCCATAGGCATTGATCCCTTTCCACAAGTTTTTAAGGGTCTTAACCCACACTTTTGCTCCACTGATATTAGTCTTCCATGTTGTTAACAGCAAGAGAAAATTGAATTTGTTATAGACTTATCTGAGGTGGCACAGTTGTTCAGCTGTAGTCCCAGCTACTTAGGAGGCTTAGGTGGGAGGATCGCTTGAGCCTGAGAGGTCGAAGCTGCAATTAGCCATGATCATGCCACTGCACTCCAGCCTGGGTGACAGAGTAAGGCCCCATATCAAATACAGATATGCTTATCAGACCCCACTGACCATTTAGATTGGCAGTGCTTTGAGAAATGCACTTTTCTGTGTCGATGGGAATATACAGAAGGAATGTGCAGGACCCAGCTGTTCTCCACAGCCCCATTGTTGTTTCCAGGACACTGCTGAGACACAAATGCTCCAGAACAGACAGGGACCTGGTGTGGGTTCAGATCTGACCAGACAGGAGTGTTTTTGCTTGGTGTCTGGATGCTGTGACTTTGTGTCATTCTCTGAGGTCTACCACCTGCCCTGCCTGGCATGGTTTCCTATGTAACCATCCCTGCTGCCTCTGGGGACAGACCCACTGGCCCTTCTGCAGACAGCTCCCTGCCTTCTGCTCTCCAGAGGGTTCTGGGCAGAGTCTGTACTTAGGGACAGGATCCGTCTGCCTTCAACCCTCACAGTTCTTTAAATTAAAGCAAGTTTGCCCATAGGTCAAAGAGCATTTGATTCACTTTTTCCAATCACGTATCCCTTGAGGCTGGACTTCAGGAATCCTAAAAAATTAATATGAGTGCAGCATGTGAGGAGTCCGAGACACACCAGCTGGGCATCTGTGTTCCTTTGCCACAGGCCTCTCCCGCAGGGGCTGGTTTAGTGTAGGGTATTGCCAGGAAACAGACTGAGGCTGCTACGCCAGTAGAGAATAGGTAGGGAGGTACTCTCTGGCCATTCAAACAAAGGCCCCTTTGCTAAGGGCTCCTGAAAATGCCCTCATATAGGGACAGCCACCAACTGGGTCAAGGAAGTCTGGGTTCCCTGCTGGTGGGCTACGTTCTTTGGATGGAGTGAACCAGGCAAGAAAGGGGATGATGTCCTTCATGTTCCACCTGGACATGCCCCAGGAACAGAGACTTGCCCAGGTAGCAACACTGGCACAGGCGTCAACTGCTGCCACACTGGGCAGGGAGCCTTGTGCTGCACAGGGCTGGGTGCTCTCTCCAGTTTCCTTCCTGAAGGCATCCAAATACCCTGGAAAGGATTTAGCCCCTGAATTCCACGGACAAGAAAAAACAGTGAAGAAGTAGAATTGGTTTCTGTATGGGGAGAGGGAGGTCCTCTTAGGGGCAGCTGTGAGTGGGGTCTCAGGCTGCTCCTTGGCACCAGTCACAAGATAGTGAGCTTTCCCAGCTTCATTGATGAGGAAGATGTTCAAATAGACTTCAGCATTTTAATTATTTTCCTGTAAATGTACTTATGTGTAGTATGCTAGCACAAGCTGTTAAGCCATGCCACACATATTAACGGGAAAGCGAGGCAGGTTGACTCTCATTGAGTTTTTTCAGTCATGTGCGTGATTACCTTGTGTGCACGGATGCACATGTAGAATAGTCACTTTCTGCTTGTCAGTTTCTTTATCACATGTGGTGCCCCAGCCCCAATCAGGTGTGGAGACCAGCATTCCAGAGGACGCGCTGTCCACAGCCTCCCAGATCCGAGCGGGTCATTGGGCAGGGGTGGAGACAGACAGTGCACTGCCCTGTGAGCTGAAAGCCTCTGCTTCAGGGAGTCATAATGGGCCTGTGCTCAGTAGGTGATGCAGTGGATGTCCCAGGGGGACTAGAGGAGGCAGCATCGCGAACATGGGGGTTTATTGAACAAAAGGTAATGTCGGAGAGGATCTTGCCTTCAGATTCAGCAAGTATGAAGGGAGAAGAGCATGGAGAGCGAGGCCCCACAGGCTGCTAAGTGATGTAGAAGGCCGGGCAAGAACCTGTTCCTGCAGCAGCCACCGGCCCCCATCACTCCCTTATCCTCCAGCTCACACAGGCCATACAGGGAGAAGAGGGCATCTCAGCTGTTAAAGAACCCGAAAGGAATACTGATAGGTAAGGCTAGAAACAAAACTGATGGCTTGAAAAACATTTTTATGTAATGTATTTACTACCATTCATTTTACTACAGAGGTAGATAGGGCTCTTCACTTTTGGGTACATGGAAACGTGCTGAGAATTGAACACAATCCGGATCATCACTCCCGCCTGGCCATCTCCTGGGAGGCTGCCATGTGCCATGGAGCTGGGACACAGAGCAGAGCCCGCCATGTGTTGCAGGGCCCTGGAGGCCAAGGCCACCCTGCTAGGGGTCCCTGTTGGCAGCCAGGTCCCTACACAAACAATCTTATTTGGCCTACTAGGCTTTGAATATGACCTGCAGTCTAATTTGGGAGGTGGGGGAAGCTCTGCTGTCCCCTGCTGCTTTGTATGTTGGGTGACTTTAATGGCTGGCCACTTACCCTTTTCTCCCAGCTACTCATTCACTGACTTGATGTAACAACACATCAGTATTTATTTTTTCCTGAAAAGAATTTGTTCAACATGGTCCTAAAGAAGCTTGGAATTTATAGACTTTCCTTTATAAGATACAGTTTTTTAAAAAAAGTGACCTCTTTATCACTAAGGGAGAAAGATATTAAGTATTTTCAAAGTTTTATGAAGAATGGAAATGATATTATACTTCAAAGAAATTTAATGTTGAAATTTCAAAGATAAATTGGTGTGTTGATAAGAAACTTCACTTTCCTGGGAACTTTATTCATTTTAGGGAATTAGATAAAATTCCTGGCTACAGGAGCCATTGGTCTGATGTACAAGGAATTTGCTTTATGACCAGATTGTAACTTGCCCTAAGGTCCATGTTGGAGCACTAAGAGGTGTCACAGGTAGAGATGATGTTTCGATTCTCTTTTCTGCAAGCTGGGATCAGCCCGGTGTTTTCTCCTTTTAGCTGAGATGGTCGAAGTTTCTCAGCGTGTTGGCAAAACAGCCCTCCCGGCTTTCTAAAAGGACTTAGGACAAAAGCTGCTGGGAAATTGCTTATTCAAAAGCTCCTTAGAATTTAGGCATCTGCACACTGTTTTCCCACCTTTCACCTTCCTGGGCTTTTCTGCCCTCCAGCATTCTTCTGAAGAGGGATTCCTAGCCCGCTCACGTCTCCAGTGGGTAAATACTCAGCAACTGCACATGGGTTTTCCATGCACTTCAGGCTTGGAGGTTGGCCATGTACAAGCACACTCCTTCTCGCCTCTGGCTTTTCCTCACCACCCTCTTTAAAGGTGTAAACTCCTCAGATACTAGATTTATGATCACATGAAAGATCATCTTCACATTGAAAGGTGAAGGCCACCATGGTTCTCAGTGCCAAGCAACAGAACGTTCCAAGACGGGTGTTCTTCCTTGCACAGCAGCTATGGCAGGTTGTTCTGCAGCCTCCCCTTAGAGGTGGCTGTTCATTGTACCTTTGTACAGTTGTGTTTACACACTTGTGCTGACAGCTTTCAGCAAGGGCATGTGTCCACAGCTGAGGGCAGTAAGAACCAGCCTAAGCTGAAGGCTAGTAACATGGTGCTGTAGGCCCTTTAAAAGGAAAGCCTGACATAAACCCAGTATGGAAAGGAACATTATCAGTTCTCTCTAATTTTGTCTGCCAGGGACAAAACCCTGCTTATCCTCTTTCCCTTTTCAGAACTGTGCCCTTCAAGTATTCTTGCTTCTCTGTAAAGGGAAGACATCTCCCTTCTCTGAAATCCTTCAACAAAAGAAAAGACTTGGCAAGGTAGGGGAGTCAGTAGCTCAACACTAGAACATCCCTATAGAAGGGACAAGTTTCTGTCTGAACACACCTTGGGTCGGAGTCCTTAGGTATTCAGGTGCAGTACTTTGTGAATACTTAAGCTACTGCATGCTTGGTGTAGCTTGCAATTTCTCTGTATTTAAAAGCAGTCGTGTTTATTTTCTTCAAAATAACCTGTATATTATTCAGAGCAAGCAATGTATATATTACTGAGAAGTTACTGCAGGGATTTTTGTGACAAAGTTTGTATGGGTTTTTTTAAAAAATCTTAGACACCCCTTTTTAAGATTGGGAGAACAGGATTAAGTGCACCGTTGAACCCCGCCCAGCATTATAAGGAAATGTTTTTAATGACTGCTAAGTCTTTGTAAAAGGTTTGGTCATTTAATAGATGTCTTTAAAGAATATATACATTATCTAAAAAACGAAAGCCCTGTATCCATACATTGTTTTCATTGAAAGAATTCTGTATTGCCTGTTCTTGGTAGAGCCAGAGTCCTCAAGGAAAATGAAGAAAATGATAGCTCTGTCTTGACCAGACTTCTGCACAGTAATGTAAGGCTATCATAGGGAGACTTGGTTTAAGGCACGGTTATGGGATTGGGATCGAAATGTGTGGTTTCTGAGAACCTTCATGACCACTCACTGGGCAGGGCTCTGTGCACAGCACCAGAGCTGTTTGAATTCCCCAGCCCTTTGGTTATATCCTAGAATTCCATGGAGGCTTCGGAAGTTAAATGCAGCTTTTTTTTTTTTTTTACAACATGTGTTTTTGTCAAATTGATAAGGAAACACTGAGTTACAGAATACTTAAGAATTGGAGACTTTAGTACTGTAGGATGGCCTGGGAGGACAAGTCCCAAGTGGTGGACACCGCATGCTCCTCAGGCACAGCCTCAGTGGGAGCCTTCCCCAGGCACAGCTCAGCCACCCGAGGAAAGGGAGTTGTGGAGGTGCAGACACAGACAAACACACATACACACACACACACAGCACCTGCAGCCTCAGAGTCATGCCTGTCACTCCCCACCCCCACACCCCCGTTGAGAAGTTAGTGGTGTCACATACTTAGTTTTATTTTATAGATGTCTAGGAATAGATTGTGAAGAACACTCAGTTCACTACTGTGTTATTATATCACAAGCTTCAATTAAAATGGATTTTAAAGGATTTTAGGATTTACCTTTAGTATTAACCACTTATTTACTGACTTACTGTTAGCATTCAAAACCAGTTAAGTGTAAGAATTATTTCATGTGGTTTTCCTAGGGTAATATTTATAAAAGGTAGAAAGTGTCCAAGTGGCTCCTCAACAATTAGTTTTTTCTCACAAATATGCCCTTCTGTCAGGGTGAATGTCTCAATGTGTTATCAAAGACAAAATATACTGTGCCAAGCTGGGGTGCTGTGTGTGACTGAGTAGCAATGCTTCTTCAGTCACCTCTTCCACAGTTTGTGATTCCAGTGGTTCTGAGAATGTTCTGTCACATGATAAAAGCAGCTTGTATAATTCTACCTGGCATTTCATTTCTGTTCTAATGCTAAATGGTAACGCTTAACAGACTAAAAGCCATGTGCAGAAGAAAGGGCTGAATGAGTCCGGCCTCCCCAGGTTCCAGCACAGCGCTTGGGTATGAGAGGTAGAGCCCCGGGGTGGGGTGGCCACCCTCCGCCAGGCCAGTGTCTGGAGAAAACAGCTGAGCTGCTGCTCTATTTTGGGGGTGGGGGGCATGGAGGGGAGGGGAAATTTTGAGGCTTTTTTTTTAACAATGTTTGTGATCAACTATTCACTACAATTGGAGTGTTACTTTGTCAGAATATTTATTCCTTTCTGTGACATGCTAGATTCCCTGGATGTAGCTGATTGTTTTTATTTTGTAAATATTACCTAACTTTACATAAACTATATCATAATAAACTATTTTTGCATCACCCTTTGCATGCTGTGTTAGAAGATTTTGTTTAGCTGAGAGACATCTGCAAAGTAAGCATGCAAGTCAGAAGTCAGAAACTGGGCAGTAGCCTCCAGCTCTAGAGTGGGTTGTTTTCAGTTTCATTACCTCCTTTTTTTTTTTTTTTTTTAAGCAGGCTCTCACTGTGTCACCCAAGTTAGAGTGCAATGGCACAATCTTGGTTCACTGCAGCCTCTGCCTCCTAGGTTTAAGTGATTCTCCCACCTCAGCCTCCCAACTTGCTGTGACTGTAGGCCTCACCACCACACCCAACTAGTTTTGCATGTTTTGTAGAGACGGGGTTTCCCTGTGTGGCCAAGGCTGGTGTCAAACTCCTGGGCTAAAGCAGTCCTCCCACCTTGGCTTCCCAAATTACTGAGATTACAGGCATGAACACAGTGCCAGGGCCTCATTACCTCCTTTTTAATTATAGTGGCTTTTCTTGTTTTCTGGTTTTTGGTTTTTTTTTTAAGACAGAGTCTCTCTGTTGCCCAGGCTGAAGTGCAGTGACACAATCTGAGCTCACTGCAACCTCCGTCTCCCAGGTTCAAGTGATGCTCATGCCTCAGCCTCCCAAGGTAGCTGGGATTATAGCCATGTGCCACCACCACACCTGGCTAATTTGTGTGTGTGTGTATTTTTAGTAGAGATGGGGTTTCACTCAGTGTGTGTGTGTGTGTGTGTGTGTTTAGTAGATTGAACTCCTGACCTCAGGTAATCACCTGCCTTGGCCTCCCAAAGTGCTGGGATTACAGATGTAAGCCACCACACCCAGGCAGTTTTCAGCATTTCAGAATTACGGTAGTTAACACAAAAATTCAGGTTTTACCTGCTCACCCAATAGCCATCATAAATATTTTACATCCAGAATCTAATTAAGGTACACTGCTTCAGTTAAAGAACCCTTCAGGGGTTAAAGGGACGATGAGAAGTGCTGATGGTGGTGATTCCCTTATTAATCAAGGTTCTGTAATTCCCCATCCCTGTCCCTCTTATGAATGGATTTATTTACAATAAAATTTTAAAAAAGAAAATGCAATTTACATCATGACCTAATATACACACACACCAACAACCTGAAATTTAACAAAATAATGCACCCTTACTGTGATATACTCTGATGATTTTGTTCATTTTTTAAAATTCTGATTGTGACCCACTAAATTAATTTAAGAAACTGGGATTTTTAGGGCAGGCATAGTGACTTATGCTTATAAACCCCAGCACTTTTGGAGGCTGAGGTGGGTGGATCACCTGAGGTCAGGAGTTTGAGATGAGCCTGGTCAATATGGTGAAACCCCATCTCTACTGAAAATACAAAAATTAGCTGGGTGTGGTGGCACGTGCCTGTAGTCCCAGCTACTTGGGAGGCTGAGGCACAAGGATTGCTTGAACCCAGTAGGCGGAGGTTGCTGTGAGCCAAGATCATGCCACTGCACTCCAGCCTGGGCAACAGAGCAAGACTCCAACTCAAAAAAAAACGAAACTGGGTTTTCTAAACAATATATCCACAACATTCAGAATGAAATGGGTGACATTGTGGGAATCTAAACTTTCATCCAGATAACATTGAAAAAAGTTAAAGTTGATTCTACTGATAAGAAATCTATTTAAGAGGCCAGGTGTGGTGACCTGTAATCCTAGCACTTTGGAAGGTTGAGGAGGGCAAATCATTTGAGGTCAAGAGTTCAAGACCAGGAGTTCAACTACTGGCCAACATGGTGAAACCCTGTCTCTACTAAAAATACAAAAATTAGCTGAGTGTGGTGGTGCACGCCTGTAATCCCGGTTACTGGGGAGGCTGAGGTGAGAGAAACACTTGAGCACCCAGGGAGGAGGTTGCAGTGACTAAGATCATACCACTGCACTCTAGCCTGGGCAACAGAGCAAGACTCTGTCTCAAAAAAAAAAAAAAATCAATTTAAGAAATTTATAAAACTTAACCCAAAAAAGTGCAGACATAAGAAGATACATATTTTTAGTCTGCTACTCCAGTTGTTTAAAGAGTTTTCAATAATTTTTGCCCATTTAAAAAATTATTATAGTCAGGTGGTGTCCTATGGTTCCTGTTTGTTTTGTTGTTGTTTTTGTTTTGAGAGAGAGTCTTGCTCTATCGCCCAGGCTGGAGTGTAGTGGTGGGATCTTGGCTCACTGCAACCTCTGCCACCACCCACCCCAGGTTCAAGTGATTCTCCCACCTCAACCTCCTGAGTAGCTGGGACTACAGGAGCACGCCACCACACTCAGCTAATTGTATTTTTAGTGGAGATAGGGTTTCACCATGTTGGTCAAGCTGGTCTCAAACTCCTGGTAAGTGATCCAACTGCCTTGCTCTCCCAAAGTGCTGGGATTACACGCATGCACCACTGTGCCCGGCCTCCTATGGTTTTAACATATGCTATTTTTGTAAAGCTATGTAAATGCAATTTTTAAAATCAGTTGACATTTGAAAATTCAGCACCTTTTCATGACAGCCTGGTGACAGAGCGAGACATCTCAAAAAAACAAAAAAGGGAAAAAAAGATTGGGCTCAGTGGCTCATGCCTGTAATTCTGGCACTTTGGGAGGCCAAGGCAGGTAGATCACGAAGTCAGGAGTTCAAGACCAGCCTGGCCAATATGGTGAAACCCCGTTTCTGCTAAAAATAGAAAGATTAGCCAGGCGTGGCGGCATGCACTTGTAGTCACAGCTACTTTGGAGGTTGAGGCAGAAGAATCGCTTGAACCCGTGCCACTGTACTCCAGCCTGGGCAACAGAGCAAGACTGTGTCTCAAAAAAAAAAAAAAAAAAACTAGGCATAGAAGAGAACTTCCTCAATATGATAAAGACTATATGTGAAAAACCCACAGCTAACATCATACACAATGGTAAAAGACTGAACGATTTCCCCCTCAGATCAGTAGCAAGACAAGGATATCTATTCTCACCACTTCTATTCAGCATTTTGTCGAGGGGTCTACCCAGAGCAATTAGGCAAGAAAAATAAAATGCATGGAGATTGAAAAAGAATTACAATTATCTCTGCAAATGAAATGATCTTGTAATATGGGAAATCCTAGGAAATCCAGCAGAAAATCTGTTAGAATTCAGTTCAGCAGTTTGCAGGATACACGACCAGTTTACCAAAATCAGTTGTAGTTCTTCTATACTCTAATCATGAACAAATTAAGAAGTCAATTCCATTTACAGTAACATCAAAAAAAGTTACTTACGTATAAAACTTGTACACTGAAAGCTACAAACCTTGTTAAAACAAATTGAATAAAATGGAAAGGCATCCCATGTTCATGGATTGGAAGATTTAATATCGTTAAAATGGCAATATTCCCCAACTTCATTACAGATTCCACACAATCCCTATCAAAATCCTAGCTGGGATTTTTTTTTTCCCAGAAATTGTCTGGGCCTAAAATTCATATGGAGATATAAGGGACCCATAATATCCGAAACAATGTTGGAAAAGAAGAATAAAGAGGCTTCACATCACCAGGTTTCAAAATTTATTACAAATCTTCAGTAATTAAGACAGTGTGATAGGCCAGGTGCAGTGGCTCACAGCTATAATCCCAGCACTTTGGGAAGCCGAGATAGATGGATCACTTGAGACCAAGAGTTCAAGACCAGCCTGGGCAACATGGCGAAACCTTTTCTCTACCCAAAAAGACATATATATACATACAGAAATTAGCCAGGCATAGTGGCACATGCCTGTAGTCCCAGCTACTTGGGAGGCTGAGGGACAAGAATCATTTGAACCCAGTAGGCAGAGGTTCCAGTGACCCAAGATTGCATCACTGCACTCCAGCATGGGCTATAGAGGGAGACTCTGTCTCAAAAAAAAAAAAAAAAAAAAACTGTGCTATTAGCATAAGGATAGACATTGGTAAATCAGTGGAACAGAATTGAGAATTCAGAAAAACGGTCTTTACATTTATGATCAATTGATTTTCAACAATAATGCCAAGACCATTCAGTGAGGAAACAATAACCCCTTGAACAAATGGTACTGGGACAACTAGATAGCCACATGCAAAAGAAAATGAAGTTGGACCTCCGCACCATACACAAAAATTGACTAATACTCACAAAAATATTTAACATACTTAAAGAACAGAACTTTCAGCCTAGAATCTCATATCCTGCTAAACTAAGTTTCACAATTGAAGGAAAAATAAAATATTTTATGAAAAGCAAGTACTCAGAGATTTTATTACCACCAGGCCTGCTTTACAAGAACTTCTGAAAGAAGCATTATACATAGAAAGGAACAACCAGTATGAGCCTTTCTAAAAATATACCAAAAAGTAAGGAGCATCAAAATAAAGAAGAATTTACATCAACAAATGGATAAAATAGCCAGTTAACATCAAATGGCAGTAACCCTAAATTTAAATTGACTAAATCCCCTAATCAAAAGATACAGCCAAAACCTAACGGTATATCCAAAGATACACAAAGACTCAAAACAAAGGGTTGGAGAAAAATTTACCAACCAAATGGAGAGCAAAAATAAATAAATAAACAAAAAGCAGGAGTTGCAATTCTCACATTTGATAAAATAGATTTCAAAGCAACAAAGATACAGTGGTAAAAGGATCAATGCAACAATAAGAGATCTTAATACCCAGATACATAAGACCCATAATGAGATTTAGACTCAACGAGACAGAAAATTAATAAGGATATCCAGGACTTCAACTCAGATCTGGAACAAGTAAACTTAATAAATATTTATAGAGTTCTCCATTTTAAATACACAAAATATTGATCGGCCATTATTAATACCCATTTTTAGAATGAAGCAATATTCCCGTTCTCTCTCCCTCTTTTTCTTCCTTTCTTCCTCTCCTTCTCTCCTTTTTTTACTTTTCAACATCCTAGTTCCTCACCTCTACTCAATACATTCCTCTGTACAAATAAAAAAAAAAAAATTGACTCGAGATGGATCACAGACCTAAAGTGTAAGTGATAAGAACACAATG